TAATACAATAGAACGTCGGTAAATTAATAACTTCTAACGATTAAGAATTTTCTCCTGTCCCAACTTGGGACCAGTAGAAAAAGTGAACAAAGTCGATAAAATGATAAGATAATAATGTTTCAGAAAATCTCCTATACATCTATAGGTCCTAACAGTATCATAAATTAATAAATATCCTAAAAGAAAAAACAAAATTATTATTATTATAAATATTTAGTAAAATATGAACTATCGATAGTGATTTTTTAGTCTGCGTGGATGATATGAACTATGTATGAACTTTTAGTATCGGAAAAGTTTTAATACTTGATTGGTTTGGATGTAAAAACAAATTACACATTAAGGAATTTAGTGATGTTTCTTTTTTCTCATAGAAATCCTTTAAATTAATAATTTATTAATTTATCGATTATTTAATAATTCTCTAAATTAATAAATTTTGATGATCCTAGCAGTATTAATTTATAGAAGTTCTATTTGTATATTCTTTTTTTTTTTGGAACGCTCACTTTATTGATTTCATTTCCCACCCTTGTCCAAAATCTTGACTCTCCATTGATTGATAGATATGAATATGAAACAGATACTCTTGCCTCTAATGCTTCTATTGAGTTTAGCTCTCGTTTCCAACATGATGGAGTAATAAGAGTTGATTTTTTTATATATATATACATATATATATATATATATATATATATATATATATATATATATAACCGAAGGATGTGAGGCCTAAGTTACAACGTTTCGGGGTCTAGACACCCCTAAAACATCCGCCCATAATAGAGCTACGGTCCCTGGTGGTAGTGAATCCAATTTAAACAGACTGGGTGGATTCACTGCCGCCAGGGATGCTAGATAATCAGCAGAGAAATTCTCCTCTCTATACACATGCTTTAATTTAACAACCCACTCTCTTGATTGCGGCTCCCTAATTGCTGAAATCAGGCCAAAAAGTGCTCCCGGCTTCAGCTCCTGATTGCAACCATTTGTAAGACACTCAAATTATCCACTTTTGCCTATACCTTCCTATATTCTCACTCCCACGCCAGTGCCAAGGCTTGAAACAGGCCCCAATGCTCAGCTGCTGTGATTGGGCAGAAACCAATGTTCAACATAAAGCCCCCTAACCATTCCCCCCGATCATCGCTCAATAGCCCCCCAGCCACTAGTTTATGTTATAGGAACCATCGGTATTAAGTTTAACCCATTCCACCGAAGGAGGATTCTAATGAAGTTGGCGCCATTCCCTTGTTGGTTTCCCTAGATTCATCCCCTTTGCATAACGAATCGCATCCAAAATATCTGAAATTCTCCTCGCTATTTCCAACTCCTTGCTCCTTATTGTAAATTCCACTTCCTCAAAGACAGAGAGATTCCTCCACTTCCAGATTAACCACGCCATGACTGCAAAAAGGCAAGGCCAGTTACATATTTCAGTGGAGCTTCTTTCCTTCAAATTGAACAGTAGCCAATCCCTGGAGTCCATTTCAAAGAAAGAAGCTCTAATTCCCGGTGGCAACACTCGTTTCCAGACCTCCACCGCTGCCGGGCAATCTCTCACCTCGTGCAGATTCGTCTCCACCACCATGCCACACTTCCTGCACCAAATCTCCTCTGTGAGGTGTCTTCTCCCCCTCTCTGCGTTGGTCAGCAAACGATTCTTTGCTAACAGCCAGAGAAATGTTCGAATTCGTTGGGGGCCTTCCCACTGCCAAATCAACCTCCAGACCGGGTCCCATACAACCTCCCACTCCCCATTGAGAGATTCATATGCTTATTTCACCGTAAAATCTCCCCTCTCTGAGAAACCCCAGAACATGCAGTCCGACCCCCTCTCCTCCGCTGGAGGCGAAATTGCTGCAATTCTCAAGAGGACAGACATCGGGAGGAGGTCTTGGAACAGAAACCAATTCCAGTCTCCCCCTTCTACAAACGCGTCCAAAGTTCATTGCAATTGGGCTTCTGGAACATGGTCTAGTGCTAACATTTTGAGAGGTAGTTGACCCACAATCCAACAGTCCTTCCAAAATAGTACAGATTTCCCATTGTTTATGGCCCACCTGATCCCCTTCAAAACTTGGGCTCATACCCTACTGATGGCCAGGTAACAAATAGATGCTTTTCTCTTCTCTGGAACCCTTCTCACGTTCTGGGCCTGCAGCCCATATTTCGATTTGAACACATCCACCCATAAGGTCTTTTGATAAGTGGCCAAACTCCAGCCTAATTTCATCAAAAAGGCCGAGTTCATATCACGTTGTTTCCTCACTCCCAGACCGCCATAAACCTTCCTCCTGCATAATTCCTCCCATGGTACCAAACTCACCTTCCTCCTTTCAGCCGTCTCACTCCACAAGAAACGCCGACAGATTCTTTCAATTTCGTGACACACAAATACCAGCAAGGGTGTTGTATGCATAGCAAAATAAGGAAAAGTCGTTAATACCGACTGGACAAGCGTCACTCGCCCTGCCAATGATAGGGATGCCCCCGTCCAATTTTTAAGTTTTTTCTCCGCCGCCTCCAAAATGTGGCCATATGTGCTCTTTGTGACTCTGCCATGTAGAATTGGCATACCAAGATAACGGCCTAAATCGTTCACTTTATCAAAACTCATAATATTTGCCAAGGCCAAAGCTTTATCCATTTCCACAATCTTGGAGAAGACTTTAGACTTCTCATTGTTAATCAATAAACCCGAAACCTTACAAAAATCTCCCAAGACCCTATTCACCACCAAGGCCTGATCAACTTCCGCCTGTAAGAACAGAAAAATATCATCAGCAAGTAGGAGGTAAGGGACTTTAGTCTCCCCTCCCTCGAAAGAGATTGGATTCCACACGCCCTTACCCACCTCCTTCATAATTGCATGAGCAAGGCATTCAATACATAGCACAAACAGGTATGGGGACAAAGGGTCCCCTTGTCTGATGCCTCTCGTAGGAGAGAAGGCATGAGACGGTTCCCCGTTCCAAAGGACTTGCATGGTTGAAGAGGTAACACAATTCATAATAGCTTTTACCAGGCCCTCCGGTAAACCAGCCTGATTAAGAGTGTCATGAATAAATTCCCATCGGAGCATGTCGTAAGCCTTTGCAAGATCAATCTTCAATGCCATATGCCCTTTTTTCGTCGTCGAAGTTCTCATTGAATGGATAACCTCTTGCGCGATGATAATGTTGTCTGTGATGTGTTTACCCGGCACAAAACTTGTTTGAGCTGGTTCAATGAGGCCTGATAGTATGGGTTTGATTCTATTTCCAATGAGTTTCGTTATCACCTTGTACACCACATTGCATAAACTAATGGGACGGAATGATTTCATCGATTCTGGACTTTCTGTCTTTGGGATTATAAGCAATGAATGTCCGGTTCAACCCCTGTGGCAGCTCACCCCCCGCTATGATCTCTTTGACCGTCCGGCAAACTAAGCCCTTAACCACATTCCAATGTTTTTGAAAAAATATTGCGTGCAAACCATCTGGACCCGGCGCTTTTAATGGACTCATCTCAAAGAGAGCCTCCCTGATTTTCTCATCTAGTACTTCCCTATCCAATCTAGTCATCTGCAACTCTTCCAGTGGGAGAAAAACATCCCTGATACTATAAAGGGGAGTTGGTCAGTCCCTACCTGATAAATTTCAGTCAGGTAATTAATAGCAATATTTTGCAACGCCTGAAATAAGAGTTGATTCTTGTTTTATTTATGAACGTCTAAAAGGTCTCTTAAGACAACTTTATATATGTGGTTTCAAATTCTTATTGTAACTTGTCATTTTTTTTAATCTCATTCTAATATTTTTTACTTATAGGTTGTGTTAAAATTTCAAGACAAATTTATAAACTTTATAACTTTGCCCGTTTCAATACAATTAATAAGGAGAAAAACATGTATTTTAAATTAATTGTTAACTGCTTACTTATTTAATTTACGTACAAATTTTAAAATAACTATCTCCATTCTTTTATTTGTCGCTTCAGGGTGAATTCATTTTTTTTTAATATGTCGTACTCCCTCTATTTTTTTTTCTGTCTTTCTAGAGAAATAATCAAAACCAAAAAGATATTAATTCATTTAGTTAAAATACAAAATACCCATATTAATTGTCTACACAATTCATCACAAACCAATAGAAATTCATTATAAATATTATTTCATTTCCAATGCAAGGGTAATTTTGGTAAAAAGTGGTCAAATATGTCTCGATTTGTGAAAACGACATATATTCAAAAAAATTCACCAAATCCTAAAACGACATATATTTCAAAATGGAAGGAGTATTTTTTTACACTCTAATTTCGAATTTTGTAGATTTCCAATACTTGTAATTAGGTGAAAGAAAGACAATACACTTAAAAAATAAAATTTCAATCACGGTTTTTTTAATAGTTGTGCAAACTCTAAAACAATATATAATAGTGAATGAAGGTATTTTGAGACGACAGAAGTATAATTTTATATTAAATAAAAAATGGAGCAATGACTTGGAAAAGAGCTTATAAAAGAGAGTGAAATGAATCAGCATAATCTCGATTTCGATGCTGGGACTAATGAATGACGGACTGCGTAATAATGTGGCTAATTTGGGCAATTGCGTGTTTGAAATGATTAGTAAGAGTGTTTGATTGCTGTCATCAAAATACCATGGAATTTCACAACTTATTCGAAAATAAAGGTTTCTTCGGAAAATTAAAATGGTGACAACATTCTTATCCCCCACAAAAAGAAAATTCTGCGCTGAAATAAAATAATTGTTTCCTGATTACTTTTTTTAAGCCAACTAGGCAAATTATTTTTTCTTGCATTGATTTGCGTAAATATTTATTGGCAATTTTTCAGTAAAAAATGCGAGTATTTGCAGTTCAGATTTCAGACACTTTGGCTATTTTTTTTCTCTCCAAATTGGCAGAAGAAAAAAAATCGTATCCCATACATTTTAGAAAATAATAATAAAAATTTTAATTAAAAAATAATGAAAAAGGAAAGTGGAAAAAAAAAAAAAACAAAGCATAGTTTCAAAGTGCAAACAAAACGGCAAGCAAACAAGAAAAAACACGCTAAATCTTCCCCAAGTAGATGATACAATGTATTAGTTGTATCACGATAGCTCCAAATCAGGACCCCGGAATTTGAATTCAAAATTCCCATACTATCTTCTTTGATATTTAAGGTACGAGTATTTTAATTTGTTCTTCTTCTTCTTCTTTTTTTTTCATTAAAAAATCTTTTTAAGTTATTCCTGATTGTAATTATTGGCATTTATTTTCTTGAAGTTTGAACGATCCGGGGGGATGTTTTTGCATTGATCCCTGTCCATTGAATTGACCCTTTGAAGTGTTGACAGAACGTTATCGATTTTGCATTCGTTCCCAGATTTTGTTCTCCTGGTATTATAGTCCGCACTATTTGGAGGGTGGATTTAGAGAAACTATACGTTTTGGGTTTCTCAATTTAGTGCGTATGATTGGGGAATTAGTCATTAATCGGGATTGAGGTCTTTTCGTTGGGTTTGATTTTAGTGCTTTACTTAAGGAAACTTTTGTTGAATGCCAGGATCTTTGGGCTGCGCATCGGAAGCAGCATTGTGTTGTTGCATTTTCTAAATTACGGCATTGTCTTCTCAGTGTAATTGTTGTGTGTTATGAGTGGTGGCAGTCGTGAAGAATTTTGGTGGGGAATTCGAAACAGTTCTGAGATTTTCTAATTTGGAAGCTTTGGGGTTTGTTATCCTCTTACTTGCACTAGTGAATGAATGGGAGTGTTGAGAAAAGACAGAGATGAAGGGTGATATTGTTTGGTTTACGGTAAAATGAGTGGAGCTTCATTGGGTCTCCGAAGCTTGAGTTTTGGATCGATTCCGCGTTACACACAAAATGGTGGATTGCTTTCTCAAAATGTGTGTGCTCTGCGCAAGACTTCAAGGACCTTATCTGGTGCAAGGGAGAAGGAGAGGTATCTGCTACTCATACTCAGATACCTCGGTCGAAAAAAGCTTATCATGCTGATTTTGTTCACCATTGCTCTACTGGCCCTAAGCACTGGATTTTTCAACGCCAATAGAGGTTTAATATGCTACCATTCCCTTTTGTCTTATTTTACTGCAGAATTCCTCATTTATAGTACAGTATGCTAGGGGTGTGTCTAAATTTGAAGTAGTTATTGGTTAGTGGAAGGTTCAGCTAGTCAAGCATCGTGATTCGGAAGATGGGGAATCAACACTTTCAAACTCCAGGAAATTGTTATAGCGTCTTATAGTGGTAATCAAATCATTATTAGGTGAACTTACAGTGATGACATATGTTTTAATGTCACGTCCTTATCAATAAATGGCCAAGGTGGCCAAGTGAATGCATGTGAATTTCATATGTTTTCGTTGTTGGCCCAATTGAAATTAAATTATGAGCACTAATTCTATACATTTACTTTTATTTAGTTCTGCATATGATGCATCGGACTTCTGTTATGTCCACTGAACCACAGTTAGTGGCTAATTTGGTGTTTCAAAACTGTAGAATTTGCATTGGAGAGCTCTGTTTTGGGTATTGATGCTTGGTTTGGGAGCAAGACTGTACCATTACTTTTTCCTGAAGAAAAGGAAGGGAATCCTAGCAATAGTTCTTCTCTAAATGTCCGCATGGTTTGTGTTGAAAATGGTGGCCGAACTCTGCCCGTGGCTAATGATTCCGCTGCTGCTGTACAAACTCCAATTTTTTCGAGTCATCCATGCAAAAATTTTGCATTTCCACCTCCTCCTCCTGGTGACTCAAGGCGTATCGGACCTCGTCGTAAGTATGAATAATCAAATAGTATCTCACGAAGCTAATTGTTGCTCGACCATTTTTAACCTATCAATAACTTGTGTTCTTCAACCAAAAATAACTCAGCTTGTAAAATTCAACTTCCTTTTCTTTTTGCCTTTTGTGGTTGGAAGGACTATCCAGAACTTATTCCTGGTTTTCCTGTTTGTTGCCATCAGCTTGTCCAGTATGTTACATTCCGGTGGAGCAGGCTGTAGCTAGTATGCCTAGATTCCCTTCTTCATCTCCAGTTCTACATCATCTAACTTATTTTCATGAGGAAAGCTCAATCAGAACAGAACCTGAAGGAGGCTCTGATTTTGGTGGATATCCATCTCTGCAGCAAAGGAATGAGTATTTTGATGTAGAGGAGTCAATGACTGTGCATTGTGGGTAAGTTTTAGCCTAAGTACTTTGCCACAGTAGTTTCTATTACGTTCGATGTGTTTAAGGTTGTCATATCATCGGATCCCCTTTTTTTTGTGGACATTTTTTCATTTCTCTACCATGTCCGTTGTTATCAGATTTATTAAAGGATGTAGAGCTGGTGAAAATACTGGATTTGATATTGATGCGGCTGACCTTAAGGATATGGATGAAGTCCATGACGTTATAGTTGCATCGGCTATATTTGGTACTGCTGAGGATTAGCTGATCTGTATTTTCAAGATATCTTAACTATGTATCGTTAGTTGTTAGTTATCAGCCTAATGTTGCTGCCCTTGGAAAATTTCACTATGCGTAACATTTCTACTTATTCAGAACATCATAGTTTTCCTGGTGGTATGTGATTGCAGGAAATTATGATATCATACAACAGCCGAAGGGTGTTAGTGAAGTTGCAAAGAAAAATATACCATTCTTTATGTTTGTTGATGAAGAAACAGGAGCATATATGAAAAACTCTAGTCTTCTTGACAGTAGTAAGAGGGTTGGGCTATGGAGAATTATTGTTGTCCACAATGTTCCTTACGCTGATCCCAGGCGCAATGGCAAGGTATGTAAAGTTTCATTTGGTCCACTCCCCTACTAACTTTTTGTTGGTGCTGATCTTTTCACATATACAGTTCAGTGCATCGAAGTTTTCCTTGTTTGTTGTTGTTCTCATGCCTATTACCAGATTACATTACTTGTTCAAGATGAGTAACTTAGTAGAATGTTGAGTATGTGTGGATGTGAGCTATCCTCCTTTGATCTAGGAAATATATTTATCATACTGCATCAACTTGGAGAAGATTTTCCTCCTTACCAAAATAGTATGTGGAAATCTGGGAGAACCGGAAGGAAATCATCTTACTCCCAGTATAGATGTGTGTGATGTCGCTATGATCTTTTATTCCAGACATTGACATGTACTGTGAAACTAATGTGAAGGAGATAATATGCTTTATAGGCTTTCGTTGTTTTGTAAGTACTCTTGGAAAAAGTTATAGATGAGCAAGATTATGACGGAGTTATATGCTTCTGACAGGTGCCGAAACTCCTTCTACATAGACTCTTTCCAAATGTGCGGTATTCAATTTGGATTGATGGCAAGCTTCAGCTTGTTGTGGATCCATATCAAGTTCTTGAAAGGTATATTAGATGCAGCAGAGGTTGTATTGAGTAATGTTAGCATGTTTTATGGTTAGACTAGGGAAACACTGTTTATATATTATCTAATTTTTCAGCTTAAAAGCTTTGGTGCACTTTATGCACTTATGAGATCCCCTTTACATGATCTTGTACGATGTCATTTCACCAGTTATTTGATCCTTTATGCTCAATGAATATCTCAATGCTGATTGAAATGTTCCACCTTATGTTGAAATATTTGTGTGAACCATCCACTTGGTTCTGGAATTCATGTATTCTTATTTCCAATATGGTTGACCTTTTTAGATTTCCCCTTGTTGTTTTATGAGGTAATTTTCCCTCTCCTTCCTGGAGTATCTTTCTGCTCCGAATTATTGATTATAAACAATTATTTTTGTTTATGGAATTGAGGTTTGATAGAATTTGACAGTTTTGATCATCACTTGAATCTTCAGGTTCTTGTGGCGTCAAAATGCTACGTTTGCTATTTCAAGGCATTACGCACGCTTTGATGTGTTTGTAGAGGCCGAAGCTAATAAAGCAGCAGGAAAATATGACAATGTTTCTATAGACAACCAGATTGACTTTTATAAACGGGAGGGTTTAACACCTTACTCGGATGCTAAGCTTCCAATAACCAGTGGTACGAACATATAATAAACTGTTACATGTATTTTGCTTCTTTTTTTTTCCAACTAAGATTTATTTTTGCCTCAATTGCACGTGGACAGATGTTCCTGAAGGATGCGTAATCATACGTGAACACATTCCTATCACAAATCTCTTTACCTGTCTATGGTTCAATGAAGTTGATCGTTTTACTGCCAGGGACCAGTTGAGCTTTTCGACTGTGAGGGATAAAATAATGGCCAAAGTTAATTGGACCATCAGTATGTTTTTGGACTGTGAGAGGAGGAATTTTGTTGTACAGGTATATCCTTTTTGTCATCCCTCCTATTTAGACAAGAGTTCTCTGTCTCCATTTTTGCTTTTCTGTACAATGTTTCAATTATTCAAGTATTCTTCCCCATTCCCCACTAAGGAAGAAAATTTTTTTATTGGAAATCGAGTCACCTCGACATACTTAAACTTCATCAATTTTTTCTCTAATGGTGTAGTGGTTTGCACATCCATACTTTTGTAGACATATCACAGAGATTTATTGGAGAGAATGCCACCGCCTATTGCGAGACCGAGAAGCTATTATCGACCTACTGTTCGCCACAAGATGCCTCCTCAAACACCAGTCAAGAAAAGTCCCATTAGACGCTCAAAAGGAGGTAAGCGATCAGGATCAAGGCGGCACCGGAAAGTTGGTGCAGAAGTTAGAGAAAACCATTTACTTTGATTTTTTTTTTCTTTTTCCTTGAAGTTTTAATGCAAAGGAAAAAAAAAGAGACCCACTTATTCTTTGTCCAATTCTTTGAAAGGAATAGGATGATTTTGGTAGACGTTTGGAAAAACTTCAGAAACTGTCAATAGTTGTTCACTAGTGTTTGTATATTCCTTAACATCAGGATCATTTCACACAACATTATCTGAATTTTGCCAAAATGGGCAATTCAATTTTCATCAGTCTGATGACCTCTTCAATGAATCAAAAGCTCCAAGCTGTCTGGAGTTATCATGCTTACCGTCAGCTTGTTCTGTTCAGTTTGCCTTTTTGCTGACTTTTGTATAACTCCGATTTAGTTCATTATAAATGGAAATGTGCTTTTATGAAATGATTATTTCTTATTTTTTAATAAACGAGTCAATTGTTTCGAATTAGGACAGCAAATAGGATAATCATTTTAGGAGGACGGAAATATAATTTTTCCACCTTTGTTCGTATTATAGACCAAAATTATGTCATTATTTGATCAGGTTTTGGCACATCTTATCTTGAAATTATTGATTTTCATTTATGTTGTGAAGTATGAAAGCCAACCAGCAACCATATCCTGATCCAAACAGGAAAAAAGAACCATATCCAAAACTACTACAACAGATCATGCAAGGAGCTTGCTTATGCAAAACCCATAACCTCATGTCAATAGCCCTTTTCCAGATGCATGTAATAATAGTTGGATCTAGCATAAAAGAATTAAAGAATGCCTGAGAAAGCACAAAGTATTATTAAGTCACAAGATGAGACAAGCCATTATATGATGACGCAATAACTTACAAGTTTACTTTTAAAGATTAATAACGAGAATGATTTTCCCTATTCATACTAGTAAAAAAAAGAAATAAATTACTGAAAATTAATAGTTAATTACGAACCATTCAACCAAACCTAACCGAAAAAGTTTATGAGGGTATCCCTGTAATCTTAACATATCTGAAAGTGATTAAGGGATTAAGAAAGAGATCTTCATACGATTTTATCCAACTGTAAACTACTAGTCTAATTCTAAAGCAAGATATTTTGCTCGACTGTGATGATTACTAAGCCTGCCTTTCCTACCCGTAAATATTCTATCCATCTTGATTACTTTTTCCGCTAGGACTTAATTAATAACTCCCAGAATTAGAGCTACACGTCCAATAATAATAACCATTAGGTGTTAAAATTACAGATCCGGGATTCAACATGGACTCTACTGCTGCTTCTTTTGTCCTGGTTAACCCTTTTATAAACCCTTTTCTATGTTCTTCCTCCACTCTCATAACTGCTACCAAAAGGTTGAGTTTTGTACTCACTAGGCTGTTTTAGGATCTCTCTTTCTGTAATTATATTGTATATTTTCGCTTACGTTTTTGCTATAATTTTTAATCTTTTGTGTAGTTTGGGCTGATATGAATCCGGGTTGTTCTGCTTTGAGTGGAAAATATTTGTGGGCTTCGATTGTTGGTGAATTCTTTAGTTTTATTGATTCTGGATTGTAGTATAACCGATCTACGAGTTGGGTTCTTAATAAATTTCTATTTGATCGGCAAGTACAGGTACTGGGTAGGTGGGTTGTTGTTTCGAAGAAAAATCTTCCCTTTTTTAGAGTAGCCAGAAACTTAGAGGAGGGGCCCTATTGAGAATAGGGGATTTGCTTTTCTGGGTTAGGGGGCTTATTGAGTCTCTGAAGGAAGAGGAATAGATTAAGATCAAGTGTTGTTTTTTTCTGGAATGATTGATGGGATCAAGTGGGTTTTTCATAATCTGTCTCCTGCATTCTATGGTGGCATTGAGTTGTGGAGGGTTGATGATGTTCCGTTGCCATGAGCTCCTTGTGTTTAGCCATGGTATGGAACGAGCCAGCAAGCTTGTGGGTTCAACACCTGAGGATCAGCTGCTAATCCAAACCTCTGATTCATTCTCAGGGCTGTTACTGTTTGCAATTGGTTTTCTCTTGTTCATGGTGGCTTTTGTTAAAGACAGGGATTTTCAGAGCTTTTTCGCCAGAGGGTGTGTGCTTCTTCATGTGGCCATGGCCATTTGGAGGATATACTTCGAAGCAAAGCTTGAAGTTCTTGGCCGTGATTGGATACGTCTGGTTGTTGGTGATATCATACTTGGCCTGTCTTGGGTCCTCTTTCTTGTATATTCTTGGAGGGAGAAGTATGATTAATTGGAGATTGTGGATGATACTCATCAACTCCCAGAATCTCTGGGTGGCACAAATTGCTCTCAATGGGTGTTTCTTCACGATCTTTTTTGATAAGTCAGAGTATATAGATCAAGAAGTGCTTCTCAAATTTGCCGAATTTTCTCAAGTACAGTTGTTTCTTTCCAGTACAGGTGGTAAATGAGATCTTTTTCATCTGAGCTTATTATCTTTCTTTCTTAGTATTCTGTTTTACACAAGCTTGCTCATAGTTTCATATTGTGGATATCAGGAATTGAAATCATTACAGTGGTTGTACTCTTTTTCTTTTACTAAACAAACCAAATGGCTTTGAATTGCCTGAGCCAATTTTCTTTCCCATATTGAAATGGAGCTTTAGCTCTGCGTCTTTTTGTTCATCTAGAAAACCGGTTCGTCAATGTTTTGCACTTGTGTACTTAGATGAGATTATACCTGTGGGGATGATAGTTAAGGAAGTAGACACAAACGTATGTATCTGAATGAAAACTTGGTCCAGTTGAGCCACTGATTTTGATTGATTGCGTTGTTGTGTCCATTTGGAATCATTCCAGACCAAAGAGGCCTGTTGGTAGAGAATAAGACCCCTACAGGTCTTCCGATATTTTGTATAGATTCATCCTCTCCTCAGATTCCTTATATTCGTGTTAGTCTGAATCTTTTCATCTTGTACCAATCAGTCTACAAGATTGATATTTGCACTTGCTTCTTGTGTCCTCTTAAGACCATTCACATTGCGATCCTCCTTTTCTTTTTTTGGGTATTTTCTCCGTCTCTCCTAACACAACAAACTGCACAAATATTTTGGGACGGAATGAGTAGCCAATAAAATGAGAATAGTTTTGGAAGGAGCAAACACCATTTTTTTCTTCAGACTTGTTGGTTAGATGTGATATGAAGTGTCCAACTAGGTTGGTTTGCAAATTGTGTAATTAGTGAGAATTGAATTTCTAACACAGTCGATTTAGCATTGCTGAGTTCTTTTTCTATCTGGATGATTCGATTAAATCTAACGTAATGATGGTTTTTCTGCTTTAGCAGCTCCTTTTCTTTTTTTTTTTAATCAAAAGTGAGCTGCTCTAAACCCTTGTTTACATTTTTCATTGATGTTACAGCAAATCTGGTTACTATCTTATTTACACTTTTAACAGTATTGTCGGTGGAAAATTAACCACTGCCCACGTGTAGATTTTTCATCTGTCTGTCGACTTAGAGTTGGCACAATCACAGCCTTAATCCTACAACTCCAAACGTTTTACATACTCTACCCGTTTCTCACAAACAACAGAAATCATTTTATTGGAGGTTCACAATAACAAATGTCGTCAGATCTCAATGAAGCTGGGTAAGTTCTTTAAATTGTATTGGTCAGTGGCCACGGACTCTATTAAACTCTGGTCAAATATTGAATTTTTTTATGAGGAAAATGATCCCCGCAGATATGACAGGGTTGGGGAAAATTCATAGCAAACGCTATCAGATTTAGAACCAACTCTATCCAAAAAAGAAAAAAAAATAAAATACTAGTCCATTTTGAGTTTTAGTATTTGTACTATATATAACATAAATTTTAAAAATTTAATGTGGACTATTTTTTGTGATAAAGATTTTTGTTAGTATTTTTTTTTATAATCGTGACATAAAACACGTTTTGAGACATTATTAAAGACCATTTTTTCCCCCTTTAAGGGAAAATTTGGCTATAAGACAGTAGAAGACTCCAAAATATTTTATGTGAAGAGCGATGGTTTATTTATTAATAATCACAAAATAAATGAAATTTTATAATGACATAATTACCCTTATTATTGATGCAAAATCTAAAGAAGCTAAAAACTGGAATAGCGGCAGAAAGCAATGGGATTTCCACTATGAATTCCTGGGTTAATGATTAATAAACTGAACTAAGTAAATTGGAAAGTGGGGGGAGTTTGACGTTTAAAGATTACTTAGCTTAATATCTTCCCAAATAGCTAAACCAAAGTGAAAAATTCGGATGAATATTGAAGAAGTGATAACGGGTATTATGGAGTTGAAAGCCGTAGCAGGACTTCTTTGTTGTCGTGGGAGGAGCACTTACTAGTTTCTGTTTTTTCTCAGTAGTAGGAAATCATCTATTAAGATTTATAAATGCTATTTTGTTTTGGTTTTTCTATACACGATTTTCAAATTCCTGGCTTGGACTTCAATCATCGGCCTCTGTTAAATTTCAAATAAGTGAGGGTATATGAACTCACGAAAATTTTAGTTAATCATCGAACCAAAGAATATAATAATATGAGATTACGGAATAAAAGAAAGTTTCACCGTGAATTATCTATCGTAAATAGTTCCAAATTAAAAGAGTCAAACGTATTTTCGTGATGATGGTCATTTGATTCAGCTGAGGCTGTTGGAGCATTGTTATGTGCAAATATAGGAGAATAATTCTTATTTTATTATTTTATTAAACGGGTAATAAACATAAGGGTAATTATGATATTATAAAGTTATAATGATTTTGTGATTTTTGATAAATAGATTACCGCCTTCTATAAAAAATTTTCCCAATTAAAAAAACTACCATACATTTCAACCATCTCTATCCCTTGCCACCCTCTAGTCAACAGCCATCGGAGTCAACATTTGGCAAGAATCCGGGTGTTTGAAAAGTAAAATGCTATTTTTATCACAAAATAATTATTTTTTACTGTTAGTTCAAATTATACCAAAAAAATTAATGAAAGTAAAAATTTAAATAACACAATTATTTTGGAATGGAGGGATTTACAAAATCAATGAACCAAAAATAATATCAAAAAGACTTTTTAAATCCCAAAAAAAAAAAAAAAACAGGCCCGCCATCATGCCATGAAGCCCAGAATGAATTCCTGTACGGAGGAGCGGATTTCAGGAAGGCCCAATAGCATAGAGAGCCCAAGATGCCGACCTTTCTTTGGAATATGGTAAAGTTATTTTGAAAGGGGCAATTAACAACACGCCAGACGTGTAACCTGGGAATGCCATTCTTTCTGCTCTGAAACACTTTCTTTCTGACGGCTTTTGGCGAAAAGAAAAATCCTTTATTCTCTGCTTCCAGAATCATCTCGGCCAGCGAATTCGATACCCTTCTCTGATCAGAGGTAATAATCACTTGATGTTATTCATGAGGATGGACTTGTTTCTATTCTGATTTATGCATTCATTCTTTCTGTTATGATCACTGGCGTTCGTGGAGGGTTTTGGTGTTTACATCAATTTTTTTTTATTTTTTTTATTAGCGCTAAGAAATTTGTTTATGCTATCAAAAGCTAGTTTTTTTGTTCTGCCCCTGTTGTTGTTTTTCTCTTCTTGTTATTTCTTTTACATAATTTCAAGATGCTTGTCTTGTGACATTTCTGGGTTCAAAAGTGAATGTGGTGTTGTATTCGATAGAAATTGGATCCTTTCGTAGCTTCTGTAAAGCTCAATTTCAATTGAGAATGGAGTTTTAAGTTTTGTCCCTTTTGGGAACGGGTCGAACGGACATTCTTTAGTAAGTAACTAAACCCTTTAGGGTATGCTGGATGACTGGAACATCTGTATCTGAAATAATCTACGCATTTACAGAACTGATGCTTCCTGATTTCCTCCCCTTTATGTACATGAGCAGTAGTGCATTTGAAGTTTTTCTCTGTTAAGAGTTCAATTTGTGTATAAAAACATTAGAATTTTCTTGTAATAGGCTGCCTAGACTTCATACTGAGATCAAAATGATAATTCGCAATATAGGTAGCTGCAACCAGGCCCCTTCCACCACCCTCTCCTATAAGTTATCGTTTTTCAGCAGAAATAATTTCTTCCCTTAACATAGGTAGTTCGTGAAAACAATCTCTGCAATTGCTCACAGCAATAGCTTCCATTTGAAAGTATGTTTAACTGCAGAGTTTGTTCCGTCGAACCTCAATTTGGCAATAGGTTTCTTTTTCAAGCAGGTTTCTGGGGTTTTCTTCTTCTTGTTTCTTTTTATTACTGATGCAATAGCTAAATGGCATTTTACCTTTTCGAGAAAAATAAAAATACCATAATAAAATGGAATTTTGATTGCTTTTGGATGATGATAAAAGGATTTGTCCAAGAATACCAAAAAAATACAACTTGCTAGAAACATAGATCCTGATTTCAGCTACTGCTTAATTTCTGTGCTACACAATTTCTTTTGAAGATTGTATATATTTTGTACCTCGTGTTTATGGTCTTGTTTATGGTCTTGTACATATTCGTGTTTAGGGACATCATATAATGGGTGGATTGTCAGCAGAGAACTCTTCTTCCGTGATCTCTTTGTCTATACAGAAAGACAAAGGTTCAGAAGCCGCAGCATCTGGGACTGATGCAAAGCCAAAGAAGAAGATTTGCTGCGCGTGCCCTGACACAAAAAAGCTAAGAGACGAATGTGTTGTGCAGCATGGGGAAGATGCCTGTGGAAAATATATAGAGGCTCATTTGAAATGTCTTCGAGCCGAAGGCTTCAATGTCTGATGATATTTGAGTGATTGGCTAGATTATAGATAATGGGACTTGCTTCAGTAACTCACGTGCTTTAGTTCGGATGATACCGTTTCTTTTCTCCCTTACATTTTGAGTTTCTTCTGCTGCCAGTGGACTTGAAGGGCACAATTTTGTCAAACAAAGTACATTACAAATTGTAGACTGATATACAAATAAATAGTAGCAGCTTTTGCTGGTTGTACTGAGATATACCGTTCAATTTTGAGACATGGTTACTCCTTGACTATTAGCTCATTTTGGGAGTTTGGCTTTCATTCCACCATTTTGGGCACTGTGGAGGAATTTTACGCATTATTCATGCGTTCAGACTACAGTTCTTTTATCAACCAATTTTCAGTCAGGCTAATCACTTATGATTTAAGCTCGGGTCATCACATTTATACATGGAAGGTTTTCTTTGTTCTCTGTTTGGCTGTTGGTTTACATGAAAGGCACAATAATCTGTAATGCCAGATTTTCTACATCGTCTACAGGTACAGAGATCTTTGACATCTCCAACCAATTTCGGACTTTTTTTTCCGCTCCCTTGCCGAAATCCCGGTTTTCTATTGTATGTGGTACTGTATGCATTTGCTACTCAAAAATGTGAAACTGAGGCCTCATGAATCTTAGTGAACAGAGACTTTGATCCTCTTTACACACACACATTTAGTGCGCCAATCATGCCTCTTAATTTAGTATTCTTGTACATCTTATAAACATAATTACATAGTTGTATTTAGCAAAACACTTGCACGAAAGTCGAGATAGACGATTCGAGTATGTCTTGAAGGGTGATGGGAAATCCAAGGCAGCGCATCTTATAAATGCAATAGAAACTGTGGTGTAAAATCTTAGGAAGAAAACATGAGCAGTGGAGTTCTAAATCTAATAGTAAGAGAGCAAAATTATGAGTTTATACTCAATAGTAAAACCACTTGTTAATTACTATTGATCACATAATGATGAAGGGAAGCACACATTACATAATTAAGTCTCACAAACACTCCACAACACGACCCAGTGCTAACAAGGGGCACATTTTATTTGATGCAGTAACATAGTTAAACTATATTGTTACACAGAACACCATAGAGTGTCTGTTTTGCATTTTGTTGATGATGATCAGGAGACTTAATGAGCACCGCAGCTGCAGTTTGTGCAGGAGCAGCTCGTACCGCACTTGCACTTACCATCATTCTCAGCTCCTTCGACATCCATGACCAAGAAGCTACACGAAAAACAAGGAGAAAGTCTCTGTCAATGCACGACTAAAACATCATCCTTAAGGAGAAAGCTGTCTCAGTTAAGTCTTTTATGATAAACTAAAGGAAACTAAGGCACGTACGTTTTCTCAGTCTCAACAATGTCAGCAGTGTAGCTAGATCCCTTCCTGCAATTAGTGATATTCCTTCAAGTGAGAATCACAAAACAAACTAACAGAAAAATCTATGCATGTTTAGGTTGCTATCATGAGATGATTGAACTTAATTTTGTTACATGCAGGATAAGGTTACTTTGTGAAGGAAAGTGAACCTTTGGAGGACAAAAATACAAAAATATTAAGGTTACTTACGAGCACTGGCTCCTGTCAGAGCAGTCGCAGTTGCTGCACTTGTCCGACATGATGAATAGGTTGTGAAGAAGTAACGAAAGCAAATTCAAAACTTAACAAAAGGATTTTCTTGTAGCTTAAATGTTTGCTTATGTCTTCTAAACTCAATCCTAGAAGCAGTATTTATAGATGGTAGGAAAAGGGATGGCTGTATAGCGAAAATGGGTACCCTTGGTTGTGAATTAGAGCCATTGATAGGACCACAGAAAGCGCGAAAGAAGCACACGCTCCTTGGTAAAGTCTAAAGGAATCTTAATAATGGAAGGCCTGGCTTTCTATCCTCCTCTCATGTCTGCTTTCATCTCTCTTTTCTTCTGAATAGAGACGCTTATGGATGCTCTATCATTTGATTCTCAAGTTGCTTGCCAAATTTTTATTCTACTTCCCCACAGGCATTAAATTTTCGCACTGCCACTTATTTTTAGCTTTAATGTACATACTCAATACCTTTCCAATAGTAATGAGTACTTTTTTGTTGGATCATCCATGGAGATTTTCTGTAAGGGTTGAGTATATGGCCTCAAATTTTTAGCAGAAAAAAAGTAATGAAAGGCTGCTAGAATATAAAAACGAAGATCACACTCTTAATGTCAATTCTATTGGTAAAAACTAAAGGATGTCCCCAAAACCATGTCTTTTGAAGATTAATAAGCATTAACTCCCCTCCTCTTATTGCAAGTGTTTGATTGTTCTTGGAAAACATATCTTCTTTATTTTTTTTTCTTCCTCTTCCTGTCATTGTGAAAACTGAAAATACCAAATTAGAAGGTACAAAATTGGCAATATCTGATTGTTATTTTTATCCAACCCCTCTCCTTATCTTCATATTTAGATGACTGAGCATATTGTATGGACTTTCCTTTGGCCTGATGTACATTCAAAAATATGTTAGACCCACAAATAGAATCTTGTAGACCTTTGGCAGGTTGAAGCTGCAATGACAAACGACGAGAAGTTCTTAAACAAAATCGAGTAGTGTGATCTATTTTGTTGAACTGTTCTGGTTAGTTAAGAATGCGATATTTTTTTTCGGGACGGATGGAAGAAATATTTGTTTCTAAAGCCAAAGTGTTCATCTTTTCATCATGAAAAGAAAAATATTACACTTGCAGTGCGAATCTGAAATCACACTACTAAGGAATTTATGCTTGTAAATGTTGGCCACCCATATCTATTCGCACTCAACAGGGAAAGTACATTTTTTTTTCCCCCAACTTTTGAGTCATATAAAGACACAATAGAACATTTCTGCTTTGCAGAAAAACAGATTCTGACTGTCTCGTTCGATCCGATTAAGAATAAAAGAAGCTCAATGCCACTGATACAGTAGTGTGTACCGAGTGTAGGATACCATTGCTTCCTTCAGATTGCACAGTGATCGCGATCATATCATGGTTGTCAGCATCTTCATTTCTCCTTCTTGGTTTTCATGTCAATTCCTCCACATATAGAAAAGTCCATGTCAATGCATTATTCGTTTGTTCTGAAAAAATCTTTTTACTATTAGAGTAAAACTAGCAACCGGGAATTGGAACTAGCCCTACTGTCTGGAAGAGGGAATACTACATCTCGACAGCTAATGATGTTCAAAAACCCAACCACTGAAACAGCTACACGAGGCAAAGAGGGAGCGATCTTGAGGCACTAATCGGCCGTTTCTTCTTGTCGCTTAACAGCGAGGGAGCGATCTTGAGGCAAGATTTGGGTACTCCCATTACACTCCTATTTTGGATGGGAAGGAACGTAATCTCAGCAAAATATGCGCAGAATGGCCTTGGATAACGCAATTCAAGGGAACGAAGAAAAGGAAACAAGCATCCCTGAGCATTACGTTCTCCATTAATAATTTGTTGGAATGTGATGATAATTCTGATGAAGCAACGTAAACTAGTCTGCAACCTTGTCTGGAGAAACGCGAGAGATAGTATTAAAATACGTGCCCAATTGCCGAGTTGTCGCTATATATAGTTCATTCGGGCGCTGCTAATAGGATGCTGCTATTAGCAATGTTGATTTATTTGCTGTTAATACACAATAGGATGCTGCTAATACACAATAAATGTCCTTACAAAAGACTAGGAACACATACAGAGATGGCTATAGTGCTGCTAATACACTAAAAATGTTCTTACAAAAGACTAGGAAAACAGACAGAGATGGCCTCCATGGGCAAATGATTCAAACATCTCGAAAACCAAAACAAGCTAGAACCGAGAAGCCATTGATACCCATGATTACAGAGGAACGCCTAAAACCACCAGAATGGAGAATGTGGTAAAAAGCAGAAGTCTCAGCTCAACTTGTATAGATTAAACGAATACGGAAGCCGGAATAGTAGAACAAAATTGAGGTAACATTACATGGACTCCCATAAATCAACTCTAAAATTCTAGATCCTTATCTTGATATTGAGCAACGTCCTTGAGGCAATCAAAGAAATGATTAATCTGAATCTTCTTCTGGCCAGAATAAATTGCTTCTGCCTCTCCTCCTAGTTCCCCTTGAGCAGCCATTTCAACCACCATATAGATTGTTTTGATGGGCAGCTGTGATGCAATTTGCAGAAAAGTTAGTTAATTTATCTATCATTTTGTTCTAGATTGCACTATGTTTCCTGTGATCTGCTTTTGTTAAATTGGCCCGATCTCAATTACATTCTTTTTCAAAGATATTTTATGTGAACATTGCCAATGAAAGTTGAAAAGACGCAGATTAGAAAGAAAAAGAATGTGGCCAAACGTAGTGTTCCTTACATGCTTAAGTGCCTCAGCAGCTGAATCAATATCGTCATCAGAGAATACCCTTAGATGTTGCAGCACCTGAACAAGACACGTGGTAAACAATAGTCAGGGTGGGGAAGGGAATTACACAATCCAAGTCAAAACAATGAATAAGAAGAGAGATGAAGATGACAGGTGGAAAGACTAAAGAGAACACATTCCAGTAGCTAACAGATGTGATACGAAAAATTAAGATAAATTTCAACCCAAAAATAATGAAAATTAAGATAAAGTTGCTAAGGCAAAGTACACAGTTTGCCAGCAGAAGCAAAAACATGGACATTTCTATTAAAACCTTGGGCTAACAGTAAAGCAGATTGGCCACAAGTTGACCAAAAGATATACTATAGTAAAAAGAAAATAACATAAAAATAGCAACCGTTCAAGGAGAACCTCGGTATAGAGGTTAGAGCTATTGCCATGTGATTTCTTGAAGGGCAGTTTTGGCATAGTAGTAAGAGCGGTTCCTGTGAGTTAAGGTCACAGAAACGCGGAAACAACCTAAATCTAAGGTAAGGCTTTGTAAATTGGCTTCAACAGCCAAATGTAGAAATTCTTTGCATAGGCCTGCCCTTCAAACAAATTTCCCCAAGCATATTAAAAGTTGAACCATTGAGATTGTATCATGATTTACCTTTCGAGCATCTTCTGCATCCAAGGTAGGAATATGGTAAGTGACAGAGAAAGCATCGCGAAGACCAATCATCTTTAAGAAATCAAGTTCGCTTGTGGTTCCAATTACAAGAACATTTTTCCCCTGGATTTCAAAGTATGAATTTCGGAGGAGGGTGAGACTGTAATTTTTTAGTGCATGCAATTAACAGCATGTAGCCAAATAACATGATTATGAGACTAACAAGTCTGATTGGAAACTCAGCTCATCTTCAACAACAAATGAACATGGAAAAGTAAACTAGGCCTGAATTTACGTACTATTGGGGGCAACCGCTTTAGAAGCACCAACAATGTTTGAGAGATTAAATTTGAAAATCGAGGACCAATAGCAACATATTCAATTAGCCTGCAGGAGAGCATTTTTTGTAAGTTAAAAAACAGATCATCAATGTTCAAATGGCTAAATGTTCAGATTACCTTTCAATATCATCAAGGATGATAATGCTTAATGGTGACTTATAAGCATCCTCAAAGACCTATTATCACAGATTTTGCAGCTCAAATCAGTGTCCCAATACATTCTAACTAATAAGAATAGTAAAAAGTGAATACATCAGAACTCAAAGCAGTAATCTATCTATGCTGCTTAAAAAACTTTGTTTCAAAAACCAGAAAGCTGAAAGTAACACAGATTTCACCTACATCAGATCTACTTTTAAACAAGCACCCCACATCATGTGCAAACATGCACTCCCTAACTTATTAACTTTACTTAAAGCATACTAAGTACATTCCATGAAAACAAATAAATAAACATTCCTCGGAATCAGATATATTTCAGATTGTTGTTATCCCTCCAAAGGAGGAAAAAAGGAGGGGGAAAAAACCCACAGCCAAAGTACCAGGGAGGTGCCTAACCCAGCTGGGGGTTCCTATTAATCTCGTATTCTTTCCACAATCATATTTTTAAAAGAACTATGAGGAGAATTAACCATTTTCAAGTCTAACTATTTATGGGACCATGCATAGCATGATAAGGCCATAGCTAATATTTCTTCAGGTGGTGGATTGACAAATAAAGCAGAATTCTACAAATAAAAAATAAAAATTAGCAGATAATTCTGCACAAAAAAGTAGATTATTCCAGGTTGATGGATAAATGTATACAACCTTTACAATCTGGGCGCATTTACTGCTTTCACTGAGTCCAATCATTGTTTCAGCAGAAATCTATCAGTCATAAACAAAATAAAAAAGTTAAAAGTGAAAAAGTTAAAAGAGAATGGCATTTAAAACATCAGATAAATATCATGATGTGAAACGACTTACAATCTTAACATAGGGGAAATCACTTTCAATACCAATAGTTGCTGCCATCGCTGTCTTACCACTGTTTAAGATCAAATAGTAAAAGTGAAGCTAACCTTTCTTAACAACTACTTTCCACGTTAAAGGGGAAAAAAAACAAAGTAACATAAGAAAATTATAAAAACCATTGTCACCTGCCACTTGGCCCCTCAAGAAGACAAGTAATAAGTGGACTGCCTTTGCTCACTTTGACCTGTTCTGCCAAAAGCATAGTTCTTCTATGGATGTGGGCATGTCTCTCACCACAATCCACAATTCCATTGGTCCTGGAACTCAGAGTAAGTTACGAATTAGTTAATTCTTTTCAGATCAAAACCTATCCTAATCTAACAATGAGGGATCTTCAATATTTTCATATGTTCATGGGTAAAGATACGAAAAGATAAAGGCTTTAATCTGCCATAGACTTAACAGTCCTACGCATGAATAATTGCAAAAAATTTAACAATTGCAATAATAAGCAACTTATAATATTCCAAACAGCTTCAGAAATGAACCCACACGAGTACCAAATCCTCGAAATATCTAGTGTGTGTGTGTGTGTGTGTGTGTGTGTGTGTGTGTGTGTATACCTGCAACGTTCAAGGTTGTCTGTGGAAGCTCCAAATGCGGGAACAACTTCATGAAGAGCATGTATAAAATCATCCATTGTGACCTTTATACTTTCCTCGTCAACTGGTTTGGTCAGATCATCAAGACTTAGTTGACGGTTCAAAGCATAAGAAACAGCACTTTTCACAACACCTTCAAGCTCTGCCCCACTATAATTTTTTGTCCTTGCAGCTGGAACCAGAAACAAGTGCGATTATCACATATGTTATGTCTGTGTATCAAGAAAATGACAGTCTTCCACTCTGGGAATGATTCATTAAGCACTCAAGTTTCAACTTTTTAAATGTCCAAATTAACTATGCATTCTTTCCTCTATAAGAAGAGTTCATAGCTAATCAGGTGTGATATATACATCCACATCAAGGCAGGAAGAAGATTTTAAACCAGAAATGCTGAAATGAAGAGTATGTAAACAGCAGTCAGAAAGAGATGATCTATAGAACTCTATCAAAGAGACAAGGAGCCATGTTATTGGACATGTTGACCTGGGACTTGAATTTCTGATAATAATCAAATTTAAAAGGAAGGAACGAAATGAAAAGGTGACCCGAGAAACTGAGGTATACCTAGCACTTGCAAATTAATGTCAGGGGCTAGAAATGAGTTTTCTTTCATCTTGTTAGTATGTATCTGGAGAATCTGTAGACGACCATTTTCATCTGGAAGGCTTATCTCCACTTGAACTTCCAGACGCCCAGGCCTACAACCCCAAAGTTTCAATATCAAAGACACGTAATATGTCAACATCTTCAACTTCTTTTTTTCCTCACAAATAAGAGGATTTGAAAAACTTGATAACTCATAATTTTACAACATAGACCATTGTGAAGTAACAGTTGTTGCCATAACATGAGAAATTCAATTACCTTAAAAGTGCCTCATCAATCAAATCTTTCCTGTTGGTCATTCCAATAAGTAAAACATTATTTAGGGACTCCACACCATCTATCTGTAAAAAGAAACCAAGTTATAGTCAGTTGAGTTCAAATTTGTCTCTCCAAGATAATTAGCAGTAGTCAAATCAATCAGTAAATTTCAGCAGCTTCAGTGTGGAATCAACCAACCTTTGTGAGGAGCTGGTTTACTATGCCATCATGTACTCCAGTTCCATCCCGAGTTGAGCCTCTTGACTGTATGTAAACAATAAAAGGGAGAGAAAAAATAATGTCAACTATAAATCTGCAAAGGACAACAGGGAACAGATTGTTACATGCATATAATTGATTATATCTCACTGTGTATTAATTGAACTAATTTCGTGGAAGTATTAACAAAGGGGTGATTATGATAAAAACACATAATTTTGTCAAAAACTCCAAGCAGTTCTACCTTACATATGGCATCAATTTCATCAAAAATAATAACGTGCAAGTCACTTTGATCCCCTGAAATGGACAAGAAGAGAGAGAGAGAGAGAGAGAGAGAGAAGAGAGAGATTAGTATCTGCAGAAAAATATGAACCAAAACACAGCAAACCCCATACCTCGAGTTCTTTGATCCTGCTCAGCATCAGCAAACAAATCCCTTATGTTCTTCTCAGTCTCACCAACAAACTTACTCAACACCTCAGGTCCATTGACAATCTAACATAAAGAAAAACATGAATATAAAGTACTAAAAAGGAAACACTTGAGAAGAGCAAAATTTTTCTTTAACAAAAAATTAAGATAGGTATGAAAAAAGTAATTTAAGTTTTTCAGAAAGCTATTCTCAACATCTATGGCATCATTTTATAGCAAAACCTACAATCAATCAAGTTCCAGGACAAGATTAAAAAAACAACAACAAATGGGAAGATAAGATCGGGGGCTGAAGAAGGCTAATGAAACACTGATAACAGGTTTTAGCAGAAAATCAGGAATGAGCAACACCTTTGGTTCCTTTCCATTCAGCATTTTCCCAATTTGTCGGGCCATCAGCGTCTTTCCAGTGCCAGGAGGTCCATAAAGCAGCATTCCTTTAACATGCTTGATACCCAATCTACAAAACCAATATTTTATCGGGATCAATAACATAGTACAAAAGCTAACAGCACAAATTTCTGCCTATTTTGGAAATGAAACAATACTTGTTGGTGACATGTGGAGGAAAAACCCTGGAAGCAAAAGCTCTTCGAAAAATATCAGCAAACTCTGCACTTAAACCACCAATACCCAGTGACTGAAGATTAAAATCTTTTTGCCGAAAGATGCTGCTAGTAGCTGTTTCCTTTTGGTTGATTATCTGCATCAACAACCAAAGATACATCATATGGATTGAGATTAGCAACACATAGTATCATCAGTCACCCCAAATGTCAAAACAGAAGTGAACCTTGATTCCACTAGAGCCCGAGGCCTCAAAAACAATGTATGTGTCAGCAGAAATGATCCCGCGCTCAATACTGCTTGATCTTTCCTGCCCTTCTACAGCAGCTTCACTAACTGTGAAGCAGTAATTATTTCCAAGATACTCAAATATTACCCTCTGTCCTGTTGTCATGACCTGCATATTTAAGAAAACTAGTCTAATCAAACAATATATCTTACGCCCGCAAGTTTTTAACAATATATAGCCTGCAGAGATTGGACCATGTAACTTTGCCAATACACACAATGCACACATTAACTTTAAGAAAACACTAAAAGTAATACCAAAAGTTTTCTTGCAGGAACATCTTAAGGACTAATCATATCGTTAAACAGGTGAATGATCTTAATCAAATATAGCTCAACAAAGAAGATAGTATTTCTCAATAGCGACAGGCATATCTTAAATTCGAAGGATCTGATTCGGATGCTAATGACAGATAGAAGTACTACCATGACGACAACAACAATGAGAACTTAGCCTTTGCATCACTATCTGGGCTGGCTATTAAGATCACATCTAACAAGCATTAGGCATATCTTAAATTCAAAGGATCTGATTCGGATGTTAATGACAGATAAAAGTACTACCGCGACGACAACAATGAGAACTTAGCCTTTGCATCACAATCTGGGCTGGCTATTAAGATCACATCTAACAAGCATTTATTGCCAAAACACGCACTCTGATTTAGGAAACATCAGTGTGATACAAACATCAAAAAGCTATATATATAATCAGAAACAAAGCAGATCTTGTACCTGGTTCAGAAATCTCTTCTTGATCTGCTGTGACAGTTTGACAGCATCTATCTACAAAAATCAACATATTTTGTTAGCTTGTCCAATTTTAGGAACACAAAATATGCACTCTCTAAAATCCTCAGGCACTACCCAGGAAGATGGAAGAAGCAACAAGCTAAACAACCGCTCTACCGTCTACACTAAAATAGCATAACTAGAAAAAATTAGAACGATGCAGAGAAGATTAGCATGGCCCTGACACGCACCAATCGACAAAAAATGGCATAACTAGAAATAACATTCCGGAAACCTAAAAGGGAGAAAAAATCTTACATGTTCTTCTTTTCCTTTCTTCAAAAACTCCAACTCAAGGGTTAGCATAGCGAGATTGAAATCTTCTGGTGGCTCAAATCTGAAGTTCGGATAAAAAGGAAGAACTAATGAGTGATAAGAAACTTTGTAACAACGAAAGCACCAGGAAGAAAAAGAAATGAAAGTTCTAGCAGCAAAACCTGGTCACAGCAACTGAATCCCCCGCAGAAACTTTTGCTTGTCGCCTCTGACCAGCATTGAGCCCAATAGCGCCACTGGGAATGGAATCATGGCTAGTTCGCTCCAGTCAAGGTGTACAAGCACATACATATTAACCGTAACAGACTCATGTGATGCTATATTTATACAATTTTAAGCTAAGCAAAGACGATGAAGAGCTAAAGCGTGCGTATAATTCACTTTAATGACTTATCATAGCATTCCTCAGGAGTCTAAACTACTAGCCATGATAGCATCGGGAGGTTCTAAGAAGAAGTAACTCATAGAATAGCAGAGGCAAATAGAGCTTTTGCACATTTTCGTTAATCCATGAAATAAACAAGCGCTGATCTTACACTGCACTTATTTCTTACACTCCCTCTGGTCCTAATTATAAGGCACAAATTCGAATTAAAGTCTTATAATTAGGATCGGAGGGAGGAGGGAGTATTATGCTGCCAAACCATATTCTAGATTCCACTGATCTTGGAAAACAGTCAAAACCCAGATAACCCAAGAAACGAGATTAAAGAATTCTTAGATGCTGAATGATCAAAATGATGATTCAATTGAGACAGGTTCAAGTCTACTCCACACCAACCAATTAACACAATGCCAAGTCTTAAAACGTCACACAGACAAAACAAGGTTCAGTTTCTCGGAAAATTAAGGCAAGAAACAAAACAAAATGCAGGATCATAATCTTATGGCAGTAAAAATTTCCAGGAATCACGATTATTTCCCAAAACGCAGTAAAGAAAATGGGGGAAAAAGAAAAACTGAAAAGACAGTGAAAAAGGATATTCCAAGCAAAGAACAAAAACGTCTCCGACGACGGCGTAAGCTAATCTGGATCCAGGAACAAGGAAATTGCGGAGATCGGAAGGAGAACAGTAAGCTTTATTAGTGAGGGCGAGATCTTGGCTGGGGGTGTTAACAACCCTCAAGCTGATTGACCTCCCAGAGGCCATTATCGTATCCTATAACGTCAAACACAGAGATCGAATTCGTCGAATTCAGGTACAGCTTCGTGTTTTCGCTTCCTTTTCTTTCTTTCCTTCTTATAGTTTTTGGCTGACGAATTCTTATGAAACTTCTGAATGAGTCCTCTCTGCTTCCATGTTAAGGAATGACAGAAAAGAAGATGGAACGAGAACACAGTTAATTTGAAGCTACACGTCGTCGTATAACGCAGCTTGTGGTATGGGCCTAATGGGCCAATGGAGAAACTAACAGGGCGAGAATCCTCTGATCCACATTATGAATATGAAATATTCATTAGCCCCATGTTCAAAAAGAAAATTTTATAGTTTTACTGTTATGAAATTATATGATTTGATTAAATTGAATGTCCATTTAATGTGTGTTATTCTATTCACAATTAGAAAGATATGTTCTGTAATATTTAGCATTAATGATAAAGTGATTTGATTCACATAGTCTGGTCTCCCTCCTCCTCCTTCGGGAGTGTGTTTGGCTACGATCTATTGCTCATCACATCTCCTTCGGGAGTGCGTTTGACTACTATCTATTGCTCATCACATTCGAGAATCATGTGACTTACATGTGGACAAGAATGCTCTTACCACAATGTTTGAAGATCATACTGCATTCATTGCTCAGTTGAAGGACGGATACATCAAAAGTGATAGAACAAAGCACATTTCACCAAAATTTTCTTCATTCATGATCTTCAGAAGAATGGTAAAATCAATATTCAGCAAATTCGTTCAAGTGAAAATCTGGCAGACTTATTCACAAAGTCACTACCTGCGTCAACATTTGAGAAGCTGGTATACAAGATTGGAATGCGAAGATTGAAAGATGTCAAGCATTGTGTTTAACAGGGGGAGTAGCCCACATTGTACTACTCACATTGTACTCTTTTTTTCTTGACTAAGTGTTTATTCCATTAGATTTTTCTTGGCAATATTTTTAACGAGACAACGTTATGCAAAGTTGGAAGATGGACATTCAAAGGGAGAGTGTTATGAAATTATACGATTTGATTAAATTGAATGTTCATTTAATGTGTGTTATTCTACTCATAATTAGAGAGATATGATTATGTAATATTTAGTGTTAATGATAGAGTGATTTGATTCACATAGTCTGGTCCCCTCCTCCTCCTTGTATAAATAGGGAGCTCATTCATTCTTCAGAAACATATCTGAATAGAATCTCTTATCTCTCTCTACTCTATCTCTCTTGTTCTATTCGCAGTTTCATATTATTATTTTTATAATATTTACAAAGTAATTAGTAGAAATTTAAACTAATTTCGTATTTGTACCTTGTATAAATAGGAAATAGAAGGGATATATTTTCAGATAAGTAGAGTGTGATTTGCTAAAGAACACCGTGTTTTTTTATGAACATTGAACTTGGTCTTAACGGTACAAGAACATGAAACGTCTATAAAATGAAAGGTTTTTTTTTCTTTCTCATTCGTGAGTCGTGACAAGTAAATAGTATCTACATATATATAGAAGGGAATCCCCTTTTTGTTAAACGGTTAAAGGCAAGTTGCAAGTTGATTTGATGACGTGGCAGATTATTATTGGGTCGCTTAATCTTTTTCCCTTTAGCAGCTGGTGTGTATCAGCTTATTTGTCTTTCCCGTTGCCAATTTCCTCCTTTTTTGAGCTTTGGTTAGATCGTGAAGAACAGAGGTTCAGACGATAGTTTAACGGCGCCCCTTTTCTTTCCCCGATCTTCCATCGCCCCTTTTTTATTGCGTTTTCCATATTTACGCCCTCAATTATTCCCTTCCGGTTGGCCATTGCGGATTTTTCTTCCAAGTTTGAACCACAGCTTCTCTTCTCCTACCGGTTTGCCGGCACCGTTTGTTCTCGCCTCAGTTTCTCTATTGTTGCCGACCACTGGTAGTTGTGTTTTGTTGTAATTGTCTTTAACTTGAAATTCATAATTAAAATCCTTTATTTGAAATTTTTTATTTCATGAGTTCGTACTTTTGGGTTTAACTGAGTATTATACTAATTTCATTATGGTTTTATTTTCCATGGGGCAATCAATTCGGGTGAATTACTTGTGCTGTATAATTGGGACTTTTGTTTGGGGCTTCTGTAAAATTTATCGTGCGAATTTTTAGTTTTGGTCTATTGAGAAATTCTTTGCAGCTCATGGTTTGGTCTATGAGAAATGTTTACTGCAGAAAAGATGCATTGTAGCTTTGAAATTTAGTTCCCTGTTGTGTAGCCAAACTAAAGACCGGCGATGTTTTGCTAAACTGAATAACAAAGGTTAATTATTATTTCCGATTCATTGTTTATGAGTTTTATGCTCTAAATACTTTGATCTATAGGATGCTCTTCGATTGTTTTCATATCAATATAGACTGGTTGGGAATTTTAAAGGAATTTTTCCCCTTGATATGAATTTATGTTTGGTCGTTTAAGCGTGTATAAATGTGTATAATCATTGATAGTAAAAAAAGGGTGCATGTGGTTTTTAATTTGTCCAAAATATTTGACAGAAAGTTTATATCTTAATTGCATGTTTAATGTGTTGAAATGTTAGATATTATGTAACAAAGAGTGTTATATTACATATCGGTGTTCTCTAATTGGTCATATCAATTTTGTATTTTTGGCATGAACAAAAAAAGGAGGGGAAGAGAAAGAGTAGAGCACTTGTTATGATGGATCATTATACTTAGAAAACTGAAGTTGGTATATTTCAATAGATTCTACTGTTATACGTAAGTGTTGGTATGAATTCTTTGAAAGAATCATCCTTTGGCATTTAGCTTCAGGTATGTTTTACCCTGTTACTGAATTGAAATGCATATGCCCTGCTACTATTCTTGTTTTTTTTTTTCTTGTAAATTTTGGAAATTCTGATTTCGGATCTTGTATTTTTCCTATGATGCATATCTGGACGCCAAGCTATCTTGTCGCTTAGGCCAGTCTATGAAACTGCAATCATTCTTAAAATTTGGGGAAGCTCTTTCGTTCTGGGCAGTCATCCCTTTGCATCCTGGTGAGGAAAGCGCAAGTGTAGCTGTTAATTCAGAGTAATCTTAGTTCATTTTTTTTTAGAGTCTCTTTTCTCAGAATTATGTTTGTAAACGTAATGTGGTTTTCTTTAGGAATAGGTTCTTTCAACTTAGCTGATAATGGAAGTAGCGGTTTGGGATGTCTATTTCACAACAATCGAACATATACGCATCATTTTTCACCATGATTATATGATTGAAACCAAATGTTGAATCATTGACCTAATCAATGACTATGATTATGTTTTTAACCAACACCATGACTATATGACTATGTGTGCAATGTTTGTATTGGTTTTTGTTTTAAATTTGAAATATATTTTAATAAAAAAATTAAAATCGTGTATGTTCAAAACATTTGAACCGGATAAATTACCGTAACACACCGCACCTCGTGCGGTGCAACCTCGCTAGTATTTATATAAGTCATGAGTGTCTTAATAATTGTGATCCCTTTTTTGAAGAAAAGGCATTATATTAAGCAGACAGCAGACCTGTGATTAAAACTTCAAAGAAAAAGTGGAAGGGCAACATAAAGCATTAAGAGGAGCAACTAATAGACGAGATTCATCTCTTTATCGATAAAATTGCCATGCTAGCTTAGCAATGTGTCTTTTCCTTTTTTTTTGCCTTAAAAAATCTAACCAATGCGTTGTTGCTTAAAAAAACAACATCGCGCAGGTAGTGATTGCTTAAGTTCAAGTTCTAAACTTATATTAGAGATATAGAAAATATAATTATCAATACTTGCACCGAAGGAGGGATACTAGTATAGTAAAATTGGAACTTTAAACTTTAAAGTAACGTTATTTGATAGTGTCCATTTTGTATATGTACTACTTGAAATATCAAATGCAATTCTTATAATCGAAATATCTATGACAGCTACTATGGAATTCACTTCACAAATATTATTGTTGTAAATATAGTGATTGGCGAAGGTAATTTAAACACTTATCTATTTCAAAATGTAGATCGTTTTAAGTTTGGAGAGATTTTTCAAAATGTAGGTTTAAAGCACTCAAAGAAATGCATTTTTGGATTATGGTACTCCTTATGTTCTAAAATAAGTGTTATCCTAGAGTTTGCATACAGTTTAAGAAAATCTTAATTAAGATAGTTAAATGCTCACCAATAATATTATTTCTTTTGAGGGTTATGTTTGGAAATTTTTGACAAAAATGCATTTAAACCAGAAAATGACACTTATTTTGAAATTTCTGCATTTTGCTAAAACAAACATTTATTTTGGAATGGAGGGAGTAGTTTATAAAAATGAAGTTCATTTATTTTATATTGGGATGAAATCACACATTATTTTTCTTCCTTCTTAGAAAAGAGTTTACGATTCATAAATAGGATCGAAGAAGTATGTGTAAAAACTGAAAGCAAGTCATTGTTACACGGCACGAATTCCCAACCTTGGAAGCTATTTCACACTAATCTACTGTATTACTACTACTAAAGTCTTACCACAATTTCGAAGTCAAGTAAAAAAAGTTGACCGCATTCACATTATCCTGCTGACCATCATCCTTGATGCCCAAGCTAAAAATTGATAAATCATAAATCCTTCTTCACAAGAAAAATCCACAATTCCACACGGCATTTATCCAACGTGTCCTACATGCAAGTCTGGGTCCCGCATCCACAAACACTATGAAACCAAACCAAACGGCCCCACATCTTTCCTACTACTTTTGACATCCCAATTTTAACCCCAATCCATTTTAAATTAATTAACCCAAAAAAAAACTAATCCAATCCAAATTAGAAGAAGGTATAGTGGGGTAAATAAACTAATCGAATTTTTAATATCAGCCCAAATGAATAGATAATAAAAGGATGATTTTTGATACAGTTGTAATTAGAAAGTGACGTTGGCAAAGCAGAGATTAATCTAATGACATGGCACAAAGAATGTGGGTAAGTACTAAGTACAACCAACATAGGAAATACTGCTAGTCTACTACTTCTATTTGACTCGTGTGTGTGTGTGTGTGTGAATTTCAATTCTAGCTCTTTCCAATGTACGATACGACCGGACCATGGGCACATATTTAACGAACTAACGTTAGTACTTTAAGTTCACTTGACTCAGGCGCGCGAAACCCCAAACACACTCCCAAAGTCCCAAACATTAAGCCCAAACTGGGGTGTCTCTATCTTCCCCCTTTCTCTTTCTCTATATATCTATCTCTCTACTTGCCTTTTCCCTCTCCCACCCTATATATATGTCATCAGTTTGATCATCTCCAACGTAATCAGCTCTTACTTCGATTTCTCCGAGTGCTTGTTAATTTATGGGAAGTTTGTGTATTCATTTGATGAAACTTTAAAATTGCTGAAAATGAGGCTTTTCTTCTGAACCGATTTTTTGCAATTCAAGAGCCCACCGATAGGAAGATCAAAGCCCTAATTTTGATTTTTTTTTTTTAATTATTCCTTTACCCTTCTCTTTCGGCCCCTGATGATGGAATCGCCACCGCCGCTATCCCGTTATGTCCCGCAGACTCCATCGTAAGTCTCTCCGTCCGTTTAAGAATTTCTTTTGTGGGCTTATCCATTTCTTTTTGGGGAATTCTAATGAAGTTTGGTGTTTGCAGGAAAAGGGTTTTTACCGGTAGTAGTTCGGCGTGTATGGAGGATGAAGTGGTCGAAATCCCCCCACCAGCTATTCGGCGTTCCAAACGGGTTGTCCCCAAGCAGAAGGAGGTGTGCAAGTTTGTCTCTTTTGGGTATTTCTTTTTAGTGTGAATATATTGATGATTGCTTGTCTTGACTGTGATAATGTATCTTTTTTGTTCGATGCAATTCGTGACATTTTTCTGCGCCTGCTTGAATAGCATAGAGTAAAATTCGGTTTCTTAAACTTCATTCCGATTTCCATAGGTTATGGTCATTTTGAAGTCTTACCCAAGTTCTTTTCCCTCCCTTCTCTTTTGAAGAATTTTGGATCATAGGGTTGATTTGTTAATTTTGAATGTGTCCTCTGGTTAGACAAGACGAGGAATGAATTTTTAAACTCTATCTTGTGTAATTTGCTTGGTTCGTGCCAGAAGTATTGTGTAACATGAACATTATGATTTCGTATGCTTTTTGCTCGGTTCTGAAATATATCTTTTCTTGTTGATTTCTCTATCTATGTTTGCTAAGACTTCATTGCCCCCATCAATGGAAAGAAGCTGTTTGTTTGTGCTAATTACTGTCCGAACTGATAAGAAGAATGTAGGAACTTTATTTGGTTATTTGCATTTGCCCTGCGTAATGGATAAACCCGAATGCTTACTTTCACACTGTTGCTCATTCAGCTGTCTTAGCGGGATGGATCATTAGTTCCTTTTTAGCTCATTTGCTTCTTGCAAAGTAAATTAAGTATGCTATTTTAGAGGTGTTAAAAGGCTTTTGCATTGTCGCTGTTACTTCCTGGTTCATTGAAGATATTGGGTGATGCTTCCTCTTCATGTTGAGATTGCTATCAGTAAATGTACTCAGATGGTATTAAAGTTTGAGTCTTTTTGCAGGTACTGTTGCCTGAAATTATAGATGTTGATATGGATGACGTTTGCCCAGATATGCTGCTTTTTGATAAGGAAGTTGATAAACCTGGGAAAGGCAAGGTAATTGGAAGGAGTGATGATCACTGGAGAAACATCTTAACTATCAGCTACTATTTCACACGCACACACCAAAAACCAAAAAATTATTGGCTAAATTTATTTACAATTTTCAGTATATTAACCGGCATTTACTGATCTTGTAGCTTTTGCACTCATAAATTTTTTAACTTAATAATAGTATTCACTTATTATAGGAAAAAAAAAAAAATTATTCATGCTAGAAGCTGTTTACTTCTGGGATATTCATGGAGTGATGTATATGTACGCTTATCATTGCTACTATCTCTATTTTGAAGGAAGCCATCACCAAGTTTTTGCCTGGTAGTGGAACTCATGGAACAGGGAAAGTTGCTTCAGGTCCAGATTACATATTTGATGATGATGATTTTAAGGCTGATTTATTTTATGGAGAAAATGAAGCACACTATGAAGAAAATGGATTTGATATGATTCATGATGATTACTTTTATGATGAGCAATATGCAATTTTGCAATCACATTTGGATAGCCTGGATATACCTCCTGGAGTTGAGGTTCCTGTACCTTGGTTTTCAGACCACCAGGAAAATAAAATGAAGTCCACAGCCACAACTGCTCCAAGCCTTTCCACCACTCCAATGGAAGTAGACCAACCATGGGATGGATCAATTTCTGTAAACAGTTCACATGTGGGTGAAAAGTCCAAAGAGATTGGGCATTCCATGAAGTGGGAATCGTCTTCGTCAAGGTTATTTGATCGTTTTGTGTCAGTCAAGAAGGCAGCCGCTTCCAGTAGTGGCAACATTGGAGAGAAATTCCTGAATCCTTCATCCAAGGCGGAATTGCACAAATCTCTTAATCATTTCACTCAAACTTCAGCTTCAAAGGTTCCTTATGGTGTGTCGGAGAGTGGTTCTCTTAGTAACTACCGTGATTTTGCTTATAGAGCTAAGAAACGCTTCAGTAATGATGGCCCCCTTCATGTATACTCGCACAAGCAAGCCAAGCCGAACCTTGTTGAAACTGGAGGAGCTAATGATTCAGTGAAGTGGCCAGATATTAAGTCTAAGAAGATACCATCATTCCTGAGTTCTGGATATAAGCCAGGATTTTTGAGTTCACCTGATTTCGTGCATGTGTATCCCTTCTCGACTGCTGCTGCTCCAGAGTCTTCAAGTGCATCATTCTATAGTAAGGAAAAGTATGGGGCTCCCGATGAGTTTTTGAAGAAGTTTGAAACTTTCAAGAGATTTGATATGGTAGAAGATTTTTCAGATCACCATTTTTCAAAGAATAATTCATCAACGAAAGTAAGCTTCAGGTTTTAACGTGTTTGTTTTATCACTTCCTGACGTATTACTCATTTTTTTGAAATCTTGTTCACAGCCTCCTAGGGAATGGGCTAAGAAAATACAGGAGGAATGGAGGATTCTTGAGGAACATTTACCTGGTAGGTGCTTAACCTTCAAGTCTAATGATGTTGCTCTTACTCTAAATCATCAATGTATGCCATTACTTCCTGTTGTAATGGAGAAGCACTTTCTCTATTTATCTTCCTTACTTCTCGAAGCTGGGATCTATCATTACTGTCCTGCACTTTTCGATCATTCTAGTCATTTTCACTTTTATTTTTCTTTTAGTTACTTCATTTTTTATTCCTCTTCTTGTTCTATGATCATCCAACAGGACAAATTTTTGTTAGAGTCTACGAATCCAGAATGGACCTCTTGAGGGCCGTCATAATTGGGGCAGAAGGGACTCCATACCATGATGGACTATTTTTCTTTGACGTCTTCTTCCCAAGCAATTATCCTTCGGTACCACCGGTATGAAGTCCAGAATTTTTCTTTTACATTGGACATCTGCTCATTGTTATTTTGTCGCACATGCACTCTTGACCATTTTGGAAACCTTGACTATTGTTTTTGGATTGCTCTTGTCAGCTTGTCCATTACCTCTCTCGTGGTTATCGTATCAACCCCAACTTGTACAATTCTGGAAAAGTTTGCCTCAGCCTTCTTAACACTTGGAATGGTAGTGGCAAGGAAAAGTGGATCCCCAAACAATCAACCATCCTACAAGTTTTGGTATCTATACAAGGGCTGATTTTAAACACCAAACCATATTTCAACGAACCTGGGTATGCTAGCATGAGTGGCTCCCCCGAGGGAGAAAAGCTCTCACTGCAATACAATGAGAACACTTTCATCTTGTCTCTCAAAACAATGGTGGGCAGCATTAGGAATCCACCTAAGGTGATTTTGTCGTGTCGCCTTTTCTTTTTAGTTTGTATCTTATTTTTGCATGTATTTAAATCTATTTTGAAGTTCATTTTTTGTTTTGAGCGATTTTACATGTAATTTGCTGCTGGATGTGTCTTTGCATTTTTGAATTATGATTTGTTGATGTTCTGCAATGTAATTGTGTTTGATGCTTTCACCAAATCGAGTTAAATACATGCCGTACTGATGGAATTTCATTTTCTCTTTGGCTGTAGTATTTTGAAGACTTCGTTGCTGGGCACTTTTTCCGGCGTGCTCGTGATATTCTGGTGGCATGTAAGTCATATATTGATGGGGCGCAGGTGGGATGTCTTGTGAAGGGGGGTGTTCAAGATCTTGAACAGGGTGACACAAGCTGCTCAGACAATTTCAAAAACCAATTGGCAGGGTACATTACTACGCTTGTGGATGCATTTAAAGCAGTCAGCGTTGACGATTGCGATGAGTTTCTTTATCTAGCACAGAAGGTGACTCCTTTGAAGAGTTCTGGGCCAAAAACATATGGTCGAGTTCATGGTTCGCATTTCCCTCCTTACCCAGAGTATTTTGACGACCCGTTCACTTCTTAAGAAGTGTGCGCCCGCGAAGTTCTAGCTAGAGGAAGCTGGTAATTAGATTAGCAAAAAGCTAGAATTTCGTCATTTTGAAAATCTATGTCTATGGATAGTTGCTGACAATAAATGTATATAGCCCTGTAGATGCAAGTTCTTGACAGTAATTTTGTGCTGGGGTAACTATCTTATGAAAGTTTGAACTTCTTTATATATCATCAACTGGATGAGTTAACTGAAACTGTGTGATTGCATGTGTTAAGTCGACTCTAATAGCCAAATTTAATAAGCTCTGGCCCCCACAACGTAGGAAATTCACCACATATTTCCATGATTCAACCTTCTGCAAGCCCTTGGACCTGTGGACCTGTCCACAAGCCAGGATTCTTAAAATGATTAATTTATTACGAGGAGTGATTAGATTGTTGTCGATTCCAAATGTCATTGCAGAATAGGTTAGTAAACTGCTGGAATGTGTATTTGGTGTGCAGCTTTAAACAAAGACTTCCAAGCTCATGTTCCCAGTAGTTGATTCCCGTCGGGCTTGCCGTCTCTTTTGGTTTATAAGACTTCGACAAAGACTTCCAAGCTCATGTTCCCAGTAGTTGATTTCCGTCGGGCTTGCCGTCTCTTTTGGTTTATATAAGACTTCAGTTTTGTTCTCAGCGGTCAATACAAGGAAAACCATTTATTTATGGACATTTAATTTCGGAAACTTGCAGGAAAGTGCTGGCTTTCCTAAGTTGTTTCAACGGTCAAGTGATTGGTTGATTGGGCATTAAAAAAATAGCGAAATGCGATCGTACTGCTAACGAATATATGAATTGATTGACTCAAGAACAAAGAAGCCATTAATGTGAATATAAAATGTAGAGTAATGATATTCCACTCTACTGTTATAACTCTATCTATAACTCTACTTACATGACAATCCCAATTGACACATTCACATCATCTCATATATCTAAAAAATATTTAATTTAAAATTAAAAATCAAAATTTATCATAAAACTTCTTTTTCCTTTTTTAATATTTTCATCGTCAAATTTATCATCAAACCAGGATTCGGTTTTTGTTCGGTCGTCAAATTCATCGCCAGAATAGTGGATCATACCAAAACTAGTCCAGTTCTTATGAATGGAGTATATAAATTTACATTGAAACAAATGAAGATTTCAATCAAAACAATGTTTAATATTGTTGAAGAAATTTACATTGAAACAAGTGAAGATTTCAATCAAAACAATGTTTAATATTGTTGAAGAACTCCGGCCCGCTGTATTCGATGTATAACCTATGTAGTCACAAAATAAAGCATTACCAATGTCTAATGGAAAACACTTGCCATTTCTGCTAAAGCGTATGCCATTTGATTTCACTCCAGCAAAGCAAGAAGAGTGGAAGTTAATCTTAAATCTTTTTTATCCAGAAAGACACTAATTCCCTTTTCTAAAATCTGTACGATACTAATTTTCTGATTGCAAATGGATATTAAATTTAACTCCCATTTGCGAGGCATGCGGAGGAAGAGAGATAAAGAACACACACCCAATAATAACACCTTAGAGAATTGAGGGAACAATAAGACCAATCCAAGAGAAATAATGATATGGATACAAAACCCTAAAATTGATGCATAGTTGGTGGAGATTCATGAATATAGGTGAGTCAGAAGGCTCGTCACATACTAATTTTTTCGGCAACCGCAGCAGGGCAAAGGGTCAGTTTTTCAATAGTGAAGATTTGTAATGAAAAATTGTAATTTTTCCCCGAAAAATAAAGATGGTAAAGTTGAGGGGAGAGAAGAATTTCAATTCTCCAGTGAAGAGCATCAACAAGAAACTCAAATTATTGGATTGACCGGCCACGATAATTCTGACGATAGGGAAAAAAAATAAAGTGAATCCTGGTTCAACGATGAATTTGACGATAAAAAGATAAAGAAAGGAAAAAGAAATTTGATGATAAGCTCTAGTTTTATTTTTTAAATAAAATATTATTAAAAATTTATGAGATGATGTGGATGTGCCAATTAGAATTGCCATGTAAGTAGAATTATAGATAGAGTTATAATTGTAGAGTGGAATATCATTACTCTAAAATATATACATGTATATCGTATGTATAGATGGACTTCTCAACAGTCGACTTGACGAGGACTTTTTGACGATTGGTGCCCAATAGATAATAAGCTCAACTAAGGCAAGAAAAGAGTGAGGATTCAATAGAAAAAAAAGAGGGCAAACAGATTGAATCATTTTGGGTAGAGTTGAGCAGTTCCTTTTTCTTTTTCTTTTTTTTTTTGCAATGAGGATTCCTCAACTCTCTTGTTCCAAAAATTTGAGTCAACTTCCATGGCTCTATGCCTTGTTGTTTTGCTTCCTTGTCCTCTTTAGTTTCTTCAGTTGCTCTGCTGCGAAGCTTTCTTATGCTGATCATTGCGCTGATGTCGTCCCTGAATCCAATCCTACTGTTGGGGTCGTCCCTATTGGATCTTTCCCAGTTTTTGATCTTTCAAGAAGTTACATCCGAGTTGGTGACAAGATTGATAAGGTCAAGACGCTAGGTAATCAGAGCTGGATTGATTATCAAACGTTTGTTGCATTCCGTACCCGGAATGTGCTTACCACCAGCACCAGAGGAATCTACAAAGTTGAAGGCTTCCTGGTGTTCAGATTTCCAGGATACGGAAATTACTCAGGCCGAATCACCCCGAGTTTTTACCGGCGCCGGCGAGGATTGTCCAGAATTTTCCTGAGTGGGTTCTGGTCAGAGGATTCCAGGAAGCTTTGTATGGTGACAGCTGTGTCTGGGAGAACACAAAGAAGTAAGTCTCTTGATTATGAAGGTGTTTTTGAGCTTAATTGTGCAGAAAAGAATGCAACTGTGTTCACTAGTTTAGCTAAAGGTTCCTTTGTAAGTGTGAGTCCATCAAACAGCAATAACTATTTTGAGCCAATTAAGATTGTTTCATTCCCATCCCTCAATGATTACAATTATACTCTGAGCTCAAGAGGTTGTTTAGGTGGAAATGATATTCCACCAAAACAGTCCCTTAGCTTGCAGCAGAATAGCATTTGCTCCATGCTGCAGTGGAAAAGCTATGACCTTGAACTCAAGTATGCAGCAGGATGCAAAAGTTCACAGGATTGCAGTCCTATTGATGAGGACCTTCCTTACTTGTCCTTGTCCGGATTTCAGTGTTCCGAGGATGAAGGAAAGCTTCGATACATAGCTTCTTTTCGAGGCAGGGGATATGGTTGGCACGGCGCAACCTTTGACCCGAATAGAACATTGATTGGGGAAGGATCCTGGGACAATGATAGAAACCAACTGTGTATTGCGGCTTGCAGAGTTCTCAATCCTTCTAATTCTTTAGAAGATGTCAGTGTTGGTGAATGCTCAATCAGGTTAAGCCTAAGGTTTCCTCTAGTCTGGACTATCAGGGATACAAGCAGCATAAATGGCCTAATTTGGTCTAACAAGACGGCCACTGACGCTGGATATTTCAGGAATATCAGCATAAGCAGTCCTAACTTCGTCAACAATGGAGTGGAATTGCCTGGTCTGAAATATGAGTTCACTGAAATGCAGAAGGTAAGAGAATTATGTCCCGCAAATCTTAAAGCTGTTAACAATAGTGGGAACTCTTACCCTAAAGGGAATTCTGGTGATATGAGGTTTGATATGTATGTTGAACATTCAAAGGAAAGAATTGCTTGGGGTTATGCAGACCCTCTCTTTGTTGGTGATAAGCTTTTCGGGCAAAACTCGGAGCTCATCATGGATTCTTCAGGTCAAGTTGAGTCCATCAGCTACAGTGACCCGATGGATGCCAGCCAGATGAATGTCAGCTACAGACTTTCATTCTCAGCAATAAAATCCCATTACCAAAACCAGCTTTTCCCCATTCCTTCGTCATCCAATTTCAGCAGTTTCATCGAGATTTCTGCTGAAGGTGTTTATGATGCTGAGACAGGACATCTATGTATGGTTGGTTGTAGAGATATCTATCTGATGAGTGAAAGCGGAAAATCGCAGGACTGCGAAATGTTTATTGAATTTCAGTTTTCCCCTTTGAATTCAAAAGTTGGGCGTTCAATCCAGGGAACTATTAAAAGCAATCGAGCAAAAGCCGATTCTCTTTACTTTGAACCATTGAAGATATCTTCTCGCTCTTACTATGGTGTTCAAGTTAAAAAATCCTTATGGAGGATGGATTTAGAGATTGTTATGGTTTTGATCTCTAACACATTGTTATGTGTATTCGTCGCATTGCAGATATTCTATGTCAGGAAGCACCCAGAAGTCCTCCCTTTCATTTCGCTCGTCATGCTCGCTATCCTCACCTTGGGTCGTATGATTCCTCTGGGGCTAAACCTTGAGGCCCTCCTACTGAAGCACACAAACAGGCAACACATGGTTCTTGAAGGCGAAGGATGGCTCGAGTTGAACGAGGTCAGCGTAAGGGTGGCCAATCTAGTAGTCTTTCTCCTCCTGTTGCTCCTCCTCCAAATGGCATGGACTTCAAGAAAGGCAAACGGAGATGGAAAACAATATTGGGCTGCCGAGAAAAGAACACTGTATGTGACATTGGTTCTCAGTGTTTTTGGTGGAATAATTACATTGTTGGTGGAGTGGATGAAATCTAGTGCTTGGAATGGCGGATATTCTCATCAAGTTTTCCCTTTAACATACCTGAAATCATATTCTGGTTTGGTTCTTGATGGTTTTCTCTTACCTCAAATCCTTTTCAACATATTCCAGAGTTCAGCAGAGAAGTCACTGTCCTGTTCTTTCTACATTGGAACCACATTCGTCAGGTTGTTACCTCATGCCTATGATCTCTACAGGGTTCACAGTTTCAGGCAACAGGACTACTATGGTTCATACATTTATGCGAACCCGAAAGCCGATTTCTACTCCATTGCTTGGGATGTCATCATTGTTTGTGGCTGTGTAGTGTTGGCTGTGATCATTTGGTTTCAGCAGCGATTTGGTGGGCGAGGTATTCTTCCACGAAGATTTTTGGAACTGGCTTCATATGAGAAGGTCCCTGCAGTTAGCAGTGAGTAGAAAGAGTAAAGCTTTTCTAGTTCACTTCAAATATTGGAGATATCAAATTTGAAGTATATATAATTGATAAAAATTTCCATCGTACTTTGGTGTAAAGTGATCAACCTTTTCTTTTTTCTTCTTGGCGTTTTTTATTTCGCTTGATGTTTTACATTAGTATACAATTCTTGAATTATTGGTCCCATCCATCTTCCAACATAGAACGCTAATAAACGGATTTAGCAGTAACCAAAACAAAAATTGAACACTTGTTTAGCCTGGGGTCCCGTCTAACCAAATATCTCAAGTTCGAGTCATGTTAAATGAATTAAAAAAGAAAAAGAACACGTTGATCTGGTTCTATGTTTTGTAAATAACCCTTTCAAAAGACAAATGGATTAATGTTAGTGTAAGTATCCGGTATGATATGAATTCGTTTAAAAATCATAACACTTGATCTTATGTGTGTGTATAACAGAAAATTGAGGAATGATTAGCCCCAAAAAAATGCATATGATAAGAACACTCCCTAAGGCTTTGATTAAATGAATTAGATAACTTCTCATACCAAGATGAGTACCTAGATCTACAATACTCCTTCCATTTCAAAATGTATGTCGTTTTAGGTTTGGAGAAATATTTCAAAATATAGATCGTTTTAGGATTTCAAGACAAATTATTGGTTAACTTCTCAACTTTGCCCTCAATAAATGATGCTAACTATTTTTCTTCTAGTCTTAATTATAATTTTAAAATAATTAATGATGAATAAATTACATATTTGACACACAAATTAATTGTTAAATAGTTGTATTCTTAATTCACATGCAAAATCTAAAGTGACTTGCATTTCAGAAATGGGGAGTATATCACTAGAGAAGTGAACTTTGCAACATGATTGATGAATGCTACATATTCATGTGTTTCGGGCATAGATCCACATTGAGAACTTGGCTTAATAATAATATTTGCAAATTTTGTACTACCCTAATGTAATCATTTGACTCCTTCAATGGGAAAAAAAAAACGAAAAAGAAAAAGAAAAAGGAACCAATTGGGACCTTTTTTTAAAGTTTAAACCCGTTGCTTAACAGAACAGTCTAGAAGTGCTCCTTGTAGGAAGTAGGACCCAGCTAAAACCCTAAACCCCTGGTGATCTGATATATTACTATATAAATAAATCACTGGAGACGAAGGCCATTTCCATCCTGCCAAATCTAGCCTCCAAAGTCGCAGTAATCACACTTTCCGACGAAGAAAATGGCCGCCGCCACCACTTCAAAGCTAGTAAACATTGCCAGAAATCCATCCCTCCGGAAACTCATACACCGCAACCTCCTCCGGGCTCCGGCCATTTCAACCACCACCCCAATTTCTCAAACCCTCAGCCCCGCGGGAGCATACCAATTTCCGATCCTCTTTAAGAGTGAATCCCCTGTCTCCTGTGGGATGATGGGACTTCCCGGGATTGATCGATCCGGGATGTCTCTGAAATACGGGAAGAACAAGCAGCGTCCGGTATCCGATGACGATGTTGATGATGATATGGACGACGGGGATTTGGACAGCTATGACGGCTCCGACGTCGACGACTTTGTCGATGACTATAGTGATGACGTGGACGGGGACGATTCCGATTAGGCCGCCTTCAATTTCTCTAATTAAAGCTTTCTTTGTGCGCTGGTGATTATCATATTGGAGTTTGTTCTTGTTTTTAAGAATGGCATTTTGCTTTCCTGTATGATCGTTGTCATTAGTCCTTACAGATTTGTGAGATGGGAAATGTGAAGTTGTAGCCACTTTTGTTTGGACATTTTTATCAATCAAGGAAGCAAATACTTCAATCTTTTCTTACTGTTGTTATGTTTCAGTTCTCAGGGTATGGCAAAATAATGGCTATTACATATGAAGTTTTGAGGAAATTATGGAACAATGTCTTCAACTAAACAAAACAACCTTAAAAGCAAGTCATCTGACCTGCTAAAATTACTCTGCTTGTTCCATTTACGCCCTGAGATTTGACTTATTCAGGAGCTATAGGAATGTGAAATTCCCATATCTTCAGAGTGTGCAGTAGGAACCGACCTGCACTATCATTGGACAATCTGTATAAGAACCACAAATAGTTGCATAAGTGACTAGAAGATTATGTGTTCAGCATGAGTTCCAACAATATGTTTAGCAACAATTGGCAAGTTTTAACCGTATTTCTCAAATTAAAAAATCAGTTCTAAAAGAACAACCAAGTCTTTATAGAAGAACAAGTATAACAGGATTCCACAACTCGATGAATTGAAGAAATTAATTGAGAGTTTAAGAGCCCTTACTGACCTCTTAAAAGTTTTCAGCATTCTCTCATGCACCTTACGGTTAACTCTAGCTACTAGACAATTTTTTGAAGACTGAATTTGTATTATAAAAAACAAAGCATTATTACATAGTTGTGTGATAGAAAGCTAAGTTGTGCACTTCCTCTACCACGTCACGATCTACTTGGATAATACTGCAGTGCTAAACTTATTCTTAAGCTGAAGTAGAGAAACACACAACACTTGACATTCTAGAGGAATGTCATTCACGCAATGTTTCTGGCTGCAGAGCTTCACAGTCTATGAATTAGATCCTTGGTTAAGCCTAAATCCCATGCCTCTTGTAACCACAATTTGCAAGTCCTCATCATCTCTGCTTGTAAGGGAGAAAGGACGTGGCTTTCTGAGACCTTCAACTTTGGAATTGTACCCTGAGCTGGGGTGATTTTCCAAGCGGCACTTGCTCTATGATTTACAGCCCTGTAAGAACCATCGAACTTGATAGTGGATTCCACATCTGGTGGCAGCTCCTGGTAGACAAATTGTTTCAGCTCATCCTTTGCTTTTCTGCACTTCTGGAAAAGTTTAGCGGTAATGTTCGCATGCCAATGCCCATTCTAGAGAAGGGTCTCTGCTTTTGTGGTGCCAAACTTTCTGGTTTCTAGTTTTCCATATCCGCCAGAGGGTACGAAACGATAAATTGATGTCGATAGGATGTTGTTCCACAATGTACGTCTTCAAGTCAATAATCTTAAAGCTTGTGTTGCTCATCTTGTTCACACCAACCGATCCAATCAAATCCATCATTCAAGATATCCATTAACAGCAACGAAAGGATGATGCAACAGTGTTTTGGCTGACATTCTTTTCTCCACCCTTCTCCTCAAGCAGCACTTCAAGAAACTACGAGCCTCTGGCGATATCTCTTTCTTCTTCGGAAGCTTAGGCACCGCGAGCGTCTTCCCAATCTTGTCCAAGATCACTCTCTCGCCCACCCCTTTGTTGAACTTCCAGGGGCGCTCTCCGGTCAACATCTCAAGCACGACACATCCAAGTGCCCACATGTCACTACAAGGTTCTTGCAGGCCATGCTTAACTGCTTCGGGAGATAAGTACATAGGCGTTCCCCTCCAGACGCTGCCCTTCTCGGGTCTCGGCTTCCTGCTTCTCGGATTAATCTTCTGCGCCCTCTTTGCCAACCCAAAATCGCAAATCTTCGCCACGAATTCTACCCTTCCACTCGATGTCGTCCTCCATGGCACCAGTATTATGTTTTCAGGCTTTAGATCACAATGAACGAACCCGACTTCATGAATGTGAGCCAATCCCTCAAGAATTGTTCTCGTGTACCATCTTACTTCCAGTTCTTCGGACATCCTCCTGTTTTCTGACCTGTGAATCCGATTGAATAGATTTCCACCGGATCCGTATTCCAATAACAGATTAAAGATGGAATTTCCATGACTATCAGTTGTGGTCTCTTCTCCATAACATTGGATTATGTAAGGACACCCCACCATGAACGACAATATAAATCTTTCCTCTTTGATGGAACCCGAGTTCATAATATCAGTCGACTTTACAGCAATAAGTGAGTTTGTATTTTTCAGGATGCCTAAAAAGACTGATCCGAAACCTCCTTTTCCGAGCAACGAACCGCGGCGCCATTGATGTCCATCACCCCAATTATTATCAGTAACCTGGTAAATTGTTTCCCCGTTATAAGTGAGCCTGAAGGCCTTCATCCTTGGAAAAGCTTTCTGAAAGTTAATTACGAACTGGGAAAAAACTATATGAACAATTCACCACAATTGAATTCTGAAAACTGAAAAAGTTCTGAAGTGATTTTCAAGTACAGCAGAGCAGAGCAAATTAGCTTGAGAATTACGACGACAGAACCTGGTTTCCTGAACTAAAATTAATACGTATATATATATATGATGAACAAATGTGTTTCCTGGGCGATTTGCAACCGCCAGGGCCCAGCTGCGGTGCGGTCTTGTTCCCTTTCCTATTTTGTTTTAGTTTGCCTAACTCGAAATTCGCCATTTGAAGATACGCTTACTATTTGGATTCGCCATTCGCCATTAGATATATGTTTAGAAATTTTATCATACCACCATTTATTCGGTCTTAAACTTTTTTCGTGTTTCTTCCTTGTAACAAGTACAGTACAATCGATAGTCCTATATTACGCGAGTAGTTCTTATAAATTATTTTGTACTAAAATAATAGTTTATATTATTATATACTTGAAGAAAAACGAAGAAAGTAATCAATTTTTTTTTTTATTTTTTTGTATCAGTTAGTAAGTGTTATGGTATGTACAATGAAAAAAATACAACCTAAATATTTAGTTTATTTGACATGTGTCTTATCATATCAAAGCATGTCCATATATATATTTTTAAAAAAAATTATATCATTTGGTTTGAAATATGAGCTACTACCAATAATATTAACATTGCTTTCCGTTGTCGACCGTCAAACACTATAATTCTATAATTTTATTTTTTGAAATGAATTCCATAATTTTACTTCTCCGTAGATCACCATCCAATACAATTAATATATAATCTTGTACGGCCATCTTGTACCTAATAAATCGTGTTTAGTGTTAAGGTTACAATTAGTACAAGTGTACAACTCTTTCAGAGACTGTAAATGACTAAAGAGTTTAAAGTTACAAAATTGTCCCTTTAACATTTCTTATTATCTAATTGTATCCTAAGATATTGGAAAATTACAGGAAAAATTGGCGGATCTACTCAAAATTTTACACGCTTCGTCAATTTTACCTTATTTTTTTTAAGTTAGTCAATATTACCCTAAATTATCCAAACGTTAGCCGATTTTGTTCAATTTGCTATTTTCTGTCTAATTAACGGAATTCTATTTATTTTAATTATAAAAATACCCTAATAGTTTTAACAATTTATAAAAATAACCCTAAAAATTTATAAAAATTATAAATTTATACTATATGATCTTTAAAAAATATTTATTTTTAAACTTTAATGTACAAATTTTTAATTACATACTTGTAAGTCATGTTTGATTTACATAAGCATATTAATTTTTTAATAATATGCTTTTACAATAATGATACTATTTTTTAATCTTTTTTTTTAATCTGAAGAATAAGTTTTTTTTTTAATTGGATGGCCCCAGCGAGAATCGAACCCTCAACCTCCCGGTAATAACCATCCCTCATCTTAATCCCCTAACCATCCCACACAACCCTCCCACCCTAAAGAATAAGATTATATAACTAATACTAATTTTGCCCAAAAAAATTTAAACAATTCACATAGATTAAAAAAAATCTATTGGTATACTTTAATGTATTACAATTTAATTCAACAGACTTTAGATTGTATTATAAAATTTAAAAAGTAATCAAAACTAAAATATAAATATTCTTTAAAAGGCCAAGTCCTTCAAGTATGAACATGTAAAAAAAAATACATGTAAAGTTTTAGGTAGATCCCCCAATTTTTCCGAAAATTACATGAAGGACACAACTTTAGTGGGCCTCAACTTCCCCGCGTATTCAAAAGCACTGAATTCCGACCCATAATATAAACCCGACTGGAACGAAACCCGCTTGAAAGAAGCTCCCTACAGTTGAACCGCCACCAGCCGCCATGGCTCCGGCTGCTCAAGATGTTCCGTTCGTCATTGATACAGTGCTAGCAGCAGAACCGGTTGCCGGACAAATTTTGTACGAGACCGTGAACCCTATTGGTTTTCCCGGCGCCACCGTGAGACCTATTGGTTCTCCGGCTGCTGAGGATATTCCGTCCACTACACCTGTAGTCTTCCGCAACGAAATTTCTCTTTTTCCGACTTCTTCTCCCACAACTGAAACCACAGTTACTGACTATTTCGCCCTCGACGTCAGCGAGAAGGATGTTTCAGATACTCCGGTTCCATCACCGTCGGTTTCTTCGTTTGTGACGCCCGTAAAACAGCAGGAGAGAACACTCGAAGGAAGCTGGTTTCGCTCTAACTGCCGGTTTAGAAGTCCCATGCTTCAACTCCATAAAGGTATTCATAGCCCACAGTTTAAAATGTTTCTGAACTTCAAAAAAAATAAAGGAAGTGGTGATTGTATTAGTTTGATTAGACATATGAAGAAGATTTTGTGGCTTAATTTAAATATTTTATTTTGAAATTGCAGAGATTCTTGATTTTTGTGATTTTCTCTCGCCAACGCCGGAGGAACAGGCATCTAGGAATCAAGCTATAGATGCTGTTGTTGGTGTAATTAAGGTTATTTGGCCAAAGTGCAAGGTCAGTGTGTAAACCTTTTTTTCGATTAATGTGTCTAATTTTTCAGTTTCATTGCTTGCAAAGTAATAGTTCTTCTTTTATTATCTCGCAGGCAGAAGTTTTTGGTTCATTCAGGACAGGACTTTATCTGCCTACAAGTGATATCGATGTACTCTTTCTGACGACTTTTTTAACGTTTTGATGTATATTCTTCCCTTAGTTTTTGAGTTCAAAGGGATTTTGCTTTTTTTTTTTTTTTTTGGGTAAAACAAATGCTTTTTCCTAATTTTAATTTGGTTAGGTTCTTGTTTTTTCTTGTTGTGTTTCTAATTCAACCATCATCTTTATGTTTCTATTTCACCATTTAAATTGTGGTTCTTACATATTTTGTTTATGCACCATCGTTACCAACCTTCAATTTCTATAATTAATGAAACCTGAGGAAATTGGCTGGTTATTAGTTTTTTTTTTTCAAGTTGTGGAAGTTTTTATAGAGATTTCACTTTATGCTTTGACTAATTATCTTGTGCCTGTGGAAATCAAACTTAAATTGGTAGTTTGCTTTTGCCGACAGATTGTGATTTTGGAGTCACATATTAATCGTCCTCAACTTGGCTTGCAAGCTCTAGCTCGAGCCTTAACGCGGGAAGGAATTGCGAAGAAAATACAGGTATTTAGTTTAATAGTTGAACCTTAATACTGGTGTATGTTTTGGCGTGACATCAGCCATCTGTAACTCATTTTTTTTTTCTCTATATCAGGTCATTGCTAAAGCTCGTGTTCCAATAATCAAGTTTGTGGAGAAAAAAAGCGGCATTTCATTTGATATTAGGTAGGTAATGTTGTTTGTATATCTGGCCTTATGTTCTTGAACATATGAATGTCAATAATCCTCATTGAATTAAGAAGCCCATAGTATATTTGTTTAAGAAGTGATGAAGATATTGCTTCTTAGTAGCAATCTTATCCTCTTCATTGTTCGTGAATATTTTCTAGGATATCTGCTGCATTTTTAAACTCTTAAGCCGTCCATTTCCCTTGATTTGTTACTTAGATGTAAGAAGAATAACATAGTGCCAATGATTAGCTGTAACCACATATGAGCATGTTGCTTAGCTCGTATTTCTCCCGTAGATTTGACATTTTCATTCATTCTTTGCAGTTTTGATGTTGACAATGGACCTAAAGCTGCTGAGTTTATCCAGGTTTCTGAACCTATTTTCCTTTGGGACAATCATGTCTGATGTAATAATATTTTGCTTTTACTAAAGTTTATTTCTAATTACTACCAGGCTGCTGTGACTAAATGGCCCCCGCTCCGACCATTGTGTTTAATTTTGAAAATTTTCCTACAGCAAAGAGAGTTGAATGAGGTAGTCATATATTTTCTTCTCAATTTACTGATTTGTTCTTGTCTTTATCTGTTTGCTTCCTGATGCTTGTTATTCAAACTTAGTTGTGTTTTACCTTGCAGGTGTATACTGGTGGTATTGGTTCATATGCTCTGCTTACTATGCTAATAGCAATGTTGCAGGTAATTGAAGTTGAGTTCAAACAGAGATGCCATTCTGATTCATGCATGTAGAGGTTGTCTATAGCAGCTCAGAATGTGGCCTCAGTATTGTGTCCCATGCTGTGCAAGAATTTTTTTTTCCCTAAAAAATAGGTCCCGTACACCCCCCCCCCCTCCCCGCTCGATCAAAATAATTTTGAAATGGATTTTGTTTTCTGGTCTTTGTGATCCTCCATCAAGCAAATGTGTTTTTGTGGGAGATCCTAGACTTTTGGGTGCAAGCCACTTTTGGCCTTATTATCTCGCTTAACAAATATGGAATAATAAAAGTGATTGGGTAATATTGGAAACTATGTGAGAGAATAGAGCACTGTTCTACGAGGTTTGTGTTGGTAGTTTAGAAGTAAAATGATTGTATGATGAATGGTCTGCTCACTTCTTATATCACTTGTGGATTTGCCTTTTTGTAACTGCAGAACTATTATCATCGCGGAACTTCTCCAGAACATAATCTTGGAGTTTTGTTGGTAAGTTTGTATTGATGAATATGTGCAGCATTCAAGTTTAAGCTTTTTACTTTCCTGACTTGCTATTAATTGTTTCTTTATGTCTCTTTAATATCTTCTAGAAACACTTTTAATTGTCTGTGTTGGCGAGCACAGATTTCATAGGACAGTTAGGAACAAAAAAAGAAGTCTGAGTTAATTTGCCTGAGAAATTTCCTTCTTCCGTATGTAATTTCACAGAATTTCATTGGATTTAGCTTGTGCTACTTTTACAAACAGAATAAAGGCCTCCTATTAAATTCATGCTTGAGACTCGTAACGTGCAGTTTACTCTTGAGATAACAAAAATTAAATGTCCTAATCTGCAGTTTTCATTTTCGCTTTTCACTTGGATTAAGAGTTTCAAATATCTGAATGAAACCGAAGGAAAACTGGAAACTATTATTGTTTTTATTTGCTGATAGCATGTCATGTGAATGAAGGTGCAATTTTTTGATCTTTACGGGCGCAAATTGAATACATCCACCGTTGGGGTATCTTGCAGCGGGGAAGGTACATTCTTTTTAAAGAGTAGAAAAGGGTGAGAATATCTGCTAATTGTTAGCTACTTTGCTTTTTTCTTGAAAATTCTTTTCAGCACCAAAATGCTATTTGAGTTCTGCTTATAAGTTTATGATTTGGCCTTTTTTTCTCTGCATTTTCAGGTTTGTTGTGAATGGCAAGGGAATGCTTATCTCCATTCAAGACCCTCAGGTTGGAACCATTTAAGGGATCAATTGAGAGTTGCAAGTGTTTGTGTGTTTACTTCTAACAGTGAGGTCACAGTGTTTTCTTATCTTGTGGTATGATGAAGCTTGGATTATAGAATAAGAATAGATGTAATGGAAGTTGGAAAGGGCGATATCAGTTTGAATATCCTCTGACTAATTTGCAGAGTTATTTTCTAATTATCAAAATTTTAAATTGGGATATGTTGTGGCTGTTGACTGTATCAGTAGTTGGCAGTGAGTAGCTCAGGTGTCCATTTGTTTTTTGTCCTCTCCTTCTTATTCTGATATTATGGTGCTTACATGTACTAAAGATGATTATTGAAATCTCTACATACATCAATTTGTGAATAAGCCTGTGATCTTTTAGTGTTTTGTTTATTTCATTCCGGATCTTATCTACTTGGTTAATTGCTTTGTTGTTGTAGGCTCCGGAAAATGATATAGGCAAGAGTTCCTTTAACTATTTCCAGGTACTCATTTTATTGTTTGAAATTCCTACTTTGTATGTCTTCTGTTGGGAATATACTAGGTATCTTGTTGTTGTTGTTGTTGTTGCTGTTGTTGTTGCTGTACATGTCTCCTGCTACAGACAGATATTTACCATTAAAATTCGTGAATTTGGGATAAAATATATCATTTCTTATGAGGACGATGATAAATCTTCCACCAGCTTCCAAATGTTCCATTATGCTATTTTGGTTTCTTATCTCGAGTTGGAATGCAAACTTCTTACCTACATATCGTGTCAAGTAGCCGGTTCCTTTAGTTTGCATTTTTATAATGTTGTTCGAAGGTTCCTTTTAGTCACTGACCAGAATTTCGGGTTACTTCTCAATTCATTTACTCGTAACATTTTAAATGAACAGTTTGGTGAAGGACGAGAAGAATTGACCTAGATATGTGTTCTCCTGCAGGTTAGATCGGCTTTTTCAATGGCTTTCACCACCTTGACCAACACCAAGGTCATTTTGAGCCTCGGGCCCAATAGAAGCATTCTTGGTACCATTATTCGTCCAGATGCGAAACTCTTAGAAAGGAAAGGCGGGTCAAATGGGGAGATAACATTTGAGAAGTTGCTTCCAGGTGCAGGAGACCCACTACCAGAACAAAATGGTAATTTAAGGGATATTTACTGTAACTGGCAGTTGGATGATGAGGATGATGAGCCACTCCCTCGAGATTTCATAATTTCTGAGCATGGTGATGCAGATTCCTCAGGGAAGAAGAGGAAGAAATCTGGAACAATGAAGAAATCTGCAAAGAAGGCAAAAAGGAATGGGGAGATAGGTAGCGTGGGACATGAAAGGAATGGCTTTAGAAAAGACAAAGCCATCAAGAAAGCATTAGAGGCATCAGCAAGATCGTGATGGCGGCAACCTATGGAAACTTACCTGTTGAAGCACTTGTTAACCTGTGTGCAGCAAAGCTCAAGGAAAGCATTGTGAATCACAAAGGAGTATGAAAATCTGGCTAATTATCGAGGGTTTCTTTAATGAACCACGAAGTTCTGGAGCCGTAATTTATGGCGGCTCTCAATCGCCTAGACGCGACTATTTATTCCCCGAGCTTTGATGTTTCAGCAATTGCCAGCAAGATATGGCAACAAGATGGCAACGTTGAAATCTATTTCGACAGTGTTGAAATTTTGTAGAATTTTCAGCAATTACACATGTAGGATTGTTCTTCCTTGGAACTGCTTACCTGAATCTTGTGAATTAGATTGTAGTGATGTGACTGTTGTTGCCTAACCTAGTTTTGTTTGTAGTAAAATATCTTTGCTTCAGTCTTCAGATGCCTGTTTTTAACACTTTTTTATTTTGAAAACAGTTTTTCACACTCATGTCAAAGCATAATTTAACATTGAACATTTGAACTGAAGGTGGTGGTTTAATATTCATTTTATTCTAAAATAATTGTCATATTTTGTTCGTTCCGAAATTATTATCTACTGTCTAGTGGGAATTTTCAATGTTAGTACTCTCTCCGCCTCGAAATTATTAGTATTTAGTTTGAATTAATTTTGAGTACAAAATAAACTAAAATTAAAAATTTAAACTGGACAATAATATTGAGATTTTATAGGAATGTAAACTAAACTAAAATTCAAACTTTTACAATAGACAGATGAAATAATTGTTACCATTCAACAAAGACCATCACTCGGACTAAGGAGCATAGATTTATAATTTAAAACGTTTTCGTGTTCATCTAGTGATTTTTTTGTTTGAGCTTTCCCTCCTATGGGCTATAGGTCGCTAGGCTACCTTCCTCTAAACGCTTTAGAAAAAACCAGAACTTTTCTTTGTTCTGCGATCTCTCTACCTGAATTGCTAGGGTCAAGTAGGCCGAGGGTTTGCGAAGTACGAGTGTAATGACGATCTGTACGACGTCGTCATCTTCCTCATCATCTTCAAGCTCGACTAAATCTTGGATATTCCACGGCCTGGCTGTCGGGACAGCTGTGGCGGTGGCCATTGGAGCTCATGCCTACTTTTATCTCCGCCGTCCCGGAAAGTTCCGGAGCCGAGTCGTCGGAATTATTCCCGCGCGTTTTGCTTCCTCCCGCTTTCCCGGCAAACCTCTTGTTCAGATCCTCGGGAAACCCATGATCCAGGTCATTTTCAAAATCAATTGAATCTTCAAATTTTCTTTTCAGAATATTGGTCTTGATTATCAATCAGCATTTACAGTGAATTGCGTATGATGAACTCATGGCTTATGAGTCCATTTCGCCTTGTCATCAGTTTTTTTTAATTATAATTGGTTTTCGAGAAGCACAAAAGAGATCTTGCTGAATTCATACAGAAGAGAAGAGAAGAAAATTGGTTTTGGTTGGTCTTGCTGAATATCTATGCTGCTTGTTACTCATTTCTTAAGATTCTGATTTACAGAGAACATGGGAAAGGGCTAAATTGGCTTCATCACTAGATCACCTCGGTATGGCATTCAGAAATGTACGGGAAGAACATTACGATCTACATTCATTCTTTTTAGTTAATTTAGGATTTATTTTCTTGTGTAGTGGTGGCAACGGATGATGACAAAATTGCCGATTGCTGTCGTGGATTTGGTGCTGAAGTGATAATGACTTCAGAATCATGCCGAAATGGTTTGATTCTTCATTGACCTTTTCTTTTCTTCATGGATCTAATCTGCAACTTTTATGTTTGTTTTGTATAAGCTGCACTTGAAATAGGTGATTGGATTTGTAGGTACTGAACGTTGTAATGAAGCTCTTCAAAAGCTTGGGAAGAAGTATGACATCGTTGTTAACATCCAAGGAGATGAACCCCTGATTGACCCTGAAATAATTGATGGCATTGTAAAAGCCTTGCAGGTTAAGTTTCTTTGTTTTGTTTACTTTCCTTTTTCTGATGTTCAATTTTATCCTTGTTAATAATGTAACCAGTGGCTTCAACTATATTAGGCATGGATGTATGGATTTATGTGGTAAATAGAAAACCTCTTTCCAAGATATTCAACTCATTAGTTTCAAGATGCTTATTTTTCACTATTTTCGGGTATCTATGATAAACCAAGTTCTGTCAAAATTGCACAGTTTAAAATGAAAATATCTTTATGTTCTGAAGTGTATCAGAAGAAAGGAAGTTACCCTTATAACATCCATACCCTGGATATAAGCAGTTTGACTGATGCCATAAGGCTTTACACTTGTAAAATGATAACCAAGTTTTCAAGGTTGCTATTTTTGCGCCTCTATGTGTCGTGGTTTACTTATCTGAGTTGACTATTTGATTTTATTTGTTGCAAAACTCAAACTGACTTAGAGCTTTTTAATGATTTGTTTAGGCTGCACCAGATGCAGTTTTTAGCACAGCAGTGACTTCCCTGAAACCTGAAGATGCTTTCGATACCAATCGTGTGAAATGTGTTGTTGATAATCGCGGTTATGCTATCTATTTTTCGCGGGGTCTAATCCCATTTAACAAGTTGGTACTCTACGTCACAATTTCGCTGCACTTTGCTGTTCTTCTGTTCCACAATCTCTGATTTGTTTGCTGTTGTTCTGGTGCAGGTCTGCGCAGGTGAATCCTCAGTTTCCCTATATGCTTCATCTTGGAATTCAGGTATTGGAACATAACGCACACAGTGAAAATTTCAATACCTTGGTTGCGTAGCTAGGTTGTGAATTCTAATTTTATGTCTCTGATAATGCCTAGAGCTTTGACTCAAAGTTTCTGAAGATATATCCTGAGTTGGCTCCAACACCATTGCAACTTGAAGAAGATCTTGAACAATTGAAAGTCCTTGAAAATGGCTACAAGATGAAGGTACCAATCACATTGTTTTTCTTCTTTTTCCATTTGAAAAGGGAAATTGTTGCATTTTCCATGATAAAATGAACTTAAACCTCATCTTGTCAATCTTTTAAGGCTCGTCATGAATAGACTGTAGAAAGAAAAAAAAAACATTCATATTAGTTCTTCATTGGCAATAGATCCAGTGTATCATATAATGTAGGAAATCCAAACTTCTTATATTCTTCCTGTTTGCCATATGTTCGTTCTCGTTGGCCACAGGTGATAAAAGTCAACCATGAGGCTCACGGTGTAGATGCTCCGGAAGATGTTGAAAAGATAGAAGCTTATATGAGGGAGAAAAACTTGCCTTAGGACAGGAGGATTATACTAAGCATCACTCCACAATTTGACATTTGCATTATTTCCCCTTTCCTTCTTTCTGCTGTTGATTGTTTTACGTACATCCTGGAAATCCTCTTGTATCATAATGTAAGAGATGGTTAACACTAGTTTCAACCAGTAAAATGGAGGTGTGTGTAAAGGCTTGGCTTGGTTGCTGGTGTTGAGGGACTGCAGTTTTGGATATTCTCTGAAATTTCTTGTGTACTAGTTCCTTTCTAGACATATTAACCTTGTCTGGATACATAATTTTCTGATTTTCTCAAACGAAATAAAAACATTTGTAAATGTTGTTATATGGCTATGGAGCTAGTCATTCTGTGGGGAGAGACTAGTCATATTGTTATGGATCAAACTGGAAACTTGAAGTCTCCTGGGGAGGGAGCCCAGATGTCACCTTCTGTATCATTGAAATGGTAAGCTTTTCATTTATGATTGCAAGTATTGGAATGGTTTTTACTCCCATTTAATTTCCACCGGTAGGAAGAAGCTCTGGTAAAAGATTGACCCAAATCGTACTACTGTGGTCCCCCTCTTTCTCCATGATAATAATTCAGGAAGCAATTCCCCAAGGAATGCATTTTCTTTTCTTCATTAAAAATTAACAGTAAATTGCCAGTGTTAACAGTTCGTTCATTCTTCGGTTAGTGGTTAACGATTTTCATTCCTGCATGATTTTAAGTTCCAATTGTAATATAATCCTTAATTTAATGGTCAAGTGATGAAAACCCTCGACCAAATTTTCGAGTAGTACAAACAAAATGAAGAAGATATCAGTCCTTGGAAAATGGACCTCCTACTCCTCTGGCTAGGCAGCTCTAGCTCCATTTCCCCTCACCCCCAAACCAAACAACAACTCCAAAGATCAAATATTCAAAATCCAGAAAGAAGATTATCTTCTGAAATAAAAGCTTTGCGTGTACATATCATCTCTGATAACCAGGACCAGAAGCAGAAGAAGAAAGGACAAAGCAGGCCAAGAGGTGCAGAGGTTCAGAGAAAAGAGCACAGAACAGAGAGCAGTTAGGCAACTTGGGATGATGATGATGGTGAAACATGTTCTGTCAATCAACCCAATACTACTATTATTAAGATATGTCATTTCATCACCATTGATTAGACCTTTTGATATTACATCCATCTGATCAAAAGATAGAAAGACTTTGAGAACTGTTAATCACTAATTAATTAACACATTAACCAGTCTACACCTAGAATCGCTTATTACTAGTATTTGCATTTTCAAGCTCGTTCCAATGGCGAATCTTTGACTAACTGAACTTCCGTCTTGAACAGCAGGAAAGACAGCGAATCCAACGAGAAATACACAAACCCACCGGCCGAATGTGTCACAAACGACCCGAAACTCTTGCCCACCACACAATGCCACGCAGGACCATACCGCCCATCAAATTCCTGTTCATATGGAATCAAATCAACCGACAGCACATTAACATACTGTAAAAAAAAAAAAAAAAAACTCAAAGATTCAATCTTTTGTCTCTTTCGAATTTAAATTTAAAGAGTAAAAAGACTACACAATTAGATACTAACCCGTTTGAGGGAACGGGCGAGGAGGGTGGAAGAAAGGCGCTGAGGAGGCGGAGGAGCGGCGGCGGCGGTGGCGGGGGCGGTGGCGCCGACGAGTAACCGCGCGAAGCGAAGTGCATGCTCTTGCATGGTTATCGGCATATCTGATATCCTCAAGCGGACGTTAAGATTGATCGCCATGGCCGCTAACTTCAGTTCCTGTTCGGACGGCGGAGTGTTCTTCTTCGAGATGTTCACACTCTGTTCAAACCGGGCTGCGAGGGTTTCCGGAACTGAAGCTAATTGCCTTTCTTGAATCCTTGATCTGGAGAACCCATTTGACGATTTCTGCATATCTGCTCTGATTTTCTGGTGATGATGATGATGGGTTTCATCTTTGCAATTGCAATTCTTCCCGGTGGTCATTTCCATCATGTATTTTTTTCCCTCCCCCTTTTAGAATCACAAGGAAATGGGGCTTCGTTGGTGGAAACTTTTTGAATGTACTGAGAAAAATGGTGGGAGTAGTTGGGGGAGAATGGAGAGAGATTGGGGAATGTAAAGATTTCAACTTTGACTCATTTTTTTGCTGCAGTGGGAAACTCTGATGGGGACAGCAGAGAAGAAGAGAAAAAAAAATTGGAAATTTGTTTGAATTTAATTTAAAAAAAAAAAAAAGAAAAGGGAAAAGGGAAATGTGTAAAAATAAAAGAGAAACGAGGAGGACATGAGGAATGTGTGAGGAAGGAAAATGAGCACATATAAGTTATAACTTGTGTCGTGGGATCATCAGCTGCTTTTGGTTGCCGCTGCAGTGATGCTGACCAGTCTAAATTCATTCCGGGTTGCTGCTTAATGTGAATTGCTTACTCAGATACTTTTGAATTCTCAGTACTATATGGAAAGACGAAGATGAAATAGGGAAATGGAAAATTATCAAAGATGCATATTTAATTCAATCCAAATTAAGAAGTAACAGTTACATGACTGATTTGAGTGTGTTTAATTTATACTACTAATTCTTAAGCGTATTACTATTCAAGAACGAACAATAATACGTTTGATTCCGAGTTTAGACACTGTAATAAGCAGGGTATAATTGATCGTTATCATGATCTAATAACCCTTTAGATATATTACTGACTCTGGACGTAATGTTAATAAACGTGTCAAGAGGAATGATGTGGTTCGGCCATGTCCACGCATCGCCAGATGTTTGTGTGATCATTAAGGAAAAAGCATGCAATAGTCGTTACATAATTGGAATAGGGTAATGATCATTATTTTCTTATTCATAAAGGTAAGCAAAAGTTATACAGATTACACAATATGTTCTCACGGGGCATGTCACCCCAATAAAAAAAAATGAAGTCTTATTTATTAACCTCGCGGGAGTTCCATTACGAAAATAAATTGATGTCTTGTAAGCTATAAGGATCTCTAGTGATCTCTATTTTAATGGCATTGCACATGCTACTTGAGATGGCCACTCTCAAATCTCAATGTAAATCTCAATGTAAAAACGCTTGGTGTTATCTTTGCATGAGATTACAAATTTACTAGAATTTCGAATAGAGAATATTGGGTCATGAACTTGAGGAAAGGGGAAAAAAAAAAGAAAGAAAGACAAAAGGGTGGGAGGGGAGACATGTGAAGCAGCAGAAATGAGTGTAAATGTGCATAATTATGTACTGTATGAGGTAAAGGCAGAAAATTGAACCCCTTTATTTTCCTGAAAAACAGTTTTAAGCAGTAGTAACTCAAGCTAACAGCAAAGTTAAGAAGTGGTTAAACGACAACAATGGGAACTGGTAAATCAAAAGATGATCTTTTCTGTGCGATACAGAACTTCCTTCTTGTGACCCTCTCTCTCTCTCTGGACTCTGGTCAATTGAAGAATCGTTTGCCTGCCAATCCACTACTTGTCTGCCCCTCTCTCTGTCTCTCTCTCTCTCTCCCCCTGTGCTGTAGACCAAACTGATGACCTCATTTTCCCACAAGAAATTTCCCTAGCCTAGGAGAAGCCTCTCTCTCAAAACTCTTATCTTATTTGTCGACCAACTAATGGGGCACTCACATTAGTTAATTGGGTTCTGAAGAAAAATATCCCTTCTTCAATCTTGGCCATCAGCCGAATTGCTGCTTCCATTGGCTTTGGAACTTCGTATGGGCTTTCTCTTTTGGCATTGCTATAGTTATAGATCCTCTGTTCCTTTACATTTTTGTGATCGACAACGTCCATAAGTGCATTTTTTCTGCTCCTGCCTTTCTGTTAGATGTCATCTTTAATTTGTTCTTCCTGTCCCCCAGGTAATTTTCATAACGAACTGGTTAACAGTTTTGATTGTGTGATGCTCAATTTCTTATAGCATGCATATTGTGTTTGTGTGGAAAATGAAACGTACGAATACATTTGAGTGAAAAATGCATATCGGTGTTGTTTCTGCTTCAAGCTTTTTAATCAGATATTAAACTCAATGCACTGATTCTGTGCACTACTATGACGTCTTTCTGATACTTGCTATTGGCTTTAACATGGCTTGCACTGGACAATTTATAATGCATCCTAAAAGGCACTTTAGATCATTATACGATGGCGGGAGCTTACTGGAAACCTTATATATGCTGAAACTATGCTACTTACTCGTGCTTGCAATTTGCAATCCGGATTCTGTGGATCACTTTTAGCTGGTCATTCTGCATATTCAATCAATTTAAGAAAATGTGCAATCACATGTCTTAATCTGAATTTTAACTTTTAAGAGTTATCAAAGTTGTCATACCATGTCAGGCATTTGGAGCGCTGTGGTATATTTTGACTATCTCCCGTGTCTACACATGTTGGGCCCAAGCATGTACTAAATTCAATTGCAATCCTGACGTTCTATTTTGTGGAATTCCACGATTTGGAGACCATTCAGCTCTAGATTCTTCTTGCCCTCCCTTTGAACCAAGAGATAAAGTGGCGAACAGATTTTGATTTCGGCATGTTTCTTGATGCTTTGCATTATAACATGGTTGAGCAACAACCCTTTTTGGAGAAGTTCCTTTATTTCTTAGTGTATAAATTTGAGGTATGTTTTCAAGAGTTTGATAAATTTTCTTATGGTTTGATTATCATTTTACATGACTAGTATTACTTGAGTTTCCTGCTTGACATGTAGATATAAAATTTCCATTAATCTATGCCTGTTGTTTCACATTTACTTTGATCATTGCATAACAAAAGACTAGGGTTTAGCTAGGCAGTTAGAAGCTCACTTAGTGCTGCAGAATGTGATGCAATTGTTGCAAGATTATGATAATCAGCTTGCTTAGAAATAGGAGTAGTACTTACTGATTTTCTTCTTTTTTGCCATTAATAGACTAGGAAGTGGGGAATGTTAAGTTCTCTGTTTTGGAAGTAGGAAAGGCTGTTGAATTCTACGTTCTGGACAAGCTTTTAAAAGGACTGATCACATATGCTGATGGAGAAAAACAAATATGGGATTAGCCTATCAGTCACAAGCTTAGTTAATCGCGAGTGTTTGATGACATTGAATGAAAGAAGCCTCTCTTGTGGATTATCTTGAAATGATAACCTTTTTTGTTGCTCTAATTGAATGGTTGGGTGTTTTTGGTATAGTACCTTGGGAAGTTGTGACCTGGCTAACATTGAACTTGGTAAAATGAAATAGTTGAATAATTGAAAAATAAGATTACTCAGGAATACACATTGAATGCTGAGATTACGCATTAAATTTCGGTTAGCAGATCCATAATAAAAAACGTGCTTGTGATTGTTCCAGAAGAAATGAAACTTAACTTAACCTTCGTCCACAGTAAAAAAACAAACTTAACTTCGTCGTCATTTGGATCAGTGGCTTGATTATGTATGTGGTGGCCGTCAAGGTAAAACATAAAACTTAACTTTCTTTCCTAACGCCATGCTTTGTTTCAAAACTCTGTTGTTGCTGCAGCTAATTTGTAATTCTGTCCATGAAGATCAAGATGAAGAGGAGGAGAATGGGAGCAAGGAAAAAGATTGACATTTGTTGTCATGTGGCTTTTGGTTCTGGCATTCAGGATTTCTAAATTAGATAGGATTAAGAGTAGTGTTACATCAACTTTTGCTTGATAACTGTTTCATGGTATTGACTAGTGATCACTCAAATGTTTCTTTCTCATTGACCTGTTGGTGGTTGTAGTACCCTTGTACATTGATCAGTATGATGACATTTTGGGTAACTTGTTCTTATGTGCAATTTTTCCATTAGAGTATTAATATGATGTTTTCAAATACTCTGTAAGTGCGTAGCCAAGGAGAATGAGCATGTGTGAGATTTTTATTCTTAGTGGATATGTTTTTATATATAAATTTTACGTACCTATAAATTTTGCAATTGCTACGTTTTGTTTGCGTTTTTTTTTAGTGATTATACTGAAATAAAGAAAACAGATAAATAGCTAATATCGCGTATAATTGATCTTCAGGTTGGGTTCTCGCTAGTTTACATGTTACTACTTCCCTTATTAAGATTGTTTAGTTATGTCCCCCAAAATATGATCTTTTCTTATTGAATAACTGTAGTACAAATATAAGATGAGAAATTATTCAGTGCAGCTGATGTACTATGTAGGATTGTGTAGCTAGACACAATAATAGGGTAAACTAATAATTTTGTGGGGAAGAGATAATTTCTACGGGAGTTATATCACTAAAATAGGGGGTGCTAGTACTTGTTGCACTAAAAATCAGGGTACAACAGCTGTACCCAATAATTTTTCCAAATATCATGGGGCTTAACATTACTTTTGTAGGACGGAATGAGAATTTTTGTTTCAGAAATAATAAAATACTCCCTCCGGTGCTTATTATAAGGCATTTTGATTTCGTCATAGGTTTCACTTAGGATGTTTTTTTTAATTGAAATAAAAACCTTAAAAGCATTTTATAATAATTAGAATAACACAATGAATGAGAAAATATATTTTTAAATTTTTTTTTTAATTAAAAATATATCATAGATTAATTTAGGACGAAATCAAAATCTTTTATAATAAAGACATGAGGGAGTAGTAAAAACCGGTTGGAAAAATATCCTTAATCCTTAATATTATATCCATAAATAAATATATTTAAAAAAAAAAAACCAAGAAGAACATTAATTTTTGGATTGTGAGTAGGGCCAGAGGCCCAGGGTCCAAATCCACGGAATAATGCCCAAGAAATGAAAGCAATTGCCACGTGGCCCAATCTCCACACACGCCTCATCCATCTAATCTGGAAACCCAAACAAACTATACTCAGCCACACAGTCACGCAATCACACTCTTCTTCTTCCATTTAATTTTCCCTGTAAATATCCAACCTGAAAAAAGCTCTCCATTTTTTCTCAAATTCATCACTTAGATATCCAGATCCCCAATTATTTTATCCTCACCGGCTAATTAGTACCGGTTCCCCGATGGCTGCCGTTCTCGAAACCCTAACCGTGCCTCGCGCCTCCGCCGCCTTGCCGTCGGCTTCGTTTGCTCCGATTGCAGGTTCTTCGTTCACCATTCGTGTCAGATTCTCTGAGTTTAAAGGACTTAAGATCCAACCGACTAGGTCGTCTTCTCTCACTTCTAGTTCCAGTTCCAGACTCGCTCGCCGTGGAAGTAAAATTGTTTGCGAAGCTCAGGACACAGCCGTTGTAGGTAGGATTTTTTCGATTGTCTCATTTCCTTTTTCTCACTGCTTTCGGTTTATCGCAGAATCTGTGTATCTAGAGTTATTGATTATCGTTAATCTTGAATTGGAACTTTATTTAGGGCCTGCGTTGTTACTTTAGATAGTTCAGCTTTCGTTGATAAATTGCCTTGGATTTTTATTTTTTATTTTTCTCATTCCCTCTCTATGAGTTTTGGGAGCTTTTGCAATAATGCTGTTGTTACATCTCATTAGAAAGTGATGGTTGGGTGTGACTGAGAGGAGTCAGCTTGTGAAGCTGATTGCATAGTTGGAACTTTTGGGTTGAATGTAGAGATGCTGTGTTGGTGGTTGAATTTGGAGCATGTCGCTTATTAGTTTTTGTCAACTTTGCACCCGGGCATTTCATGAAGTTAAGAGAACTGATTACTAGTAGATTGCTGAGTTTGTCATAAAATGAACTATTTGCGTGAAGAGACTATTTAAGATGCTCCGGGTACGCCTCTTATGAAGAAACTGAGATATTTTTAATAGGTCAGGTATCCTAGATTATGATGAAGATGTACTTTGAAGGGCATTGTATGATAGTATCTTAATCTCATGTAATTTTTACTGATGTGGTTGACATGGATATTTCTTTCTGATTTGCCATTGCTGCATCGCAGTTGAAATGACTTAGTTGAAGAGGCTATATAGGACGTGATGTTTCGAGTGCATACTCACACTTACATGTATCTTTCCTCTCTTCTTACCTGTCATTCCTCTCTGCTGGAATGTTCCTGTGCACGATGCTCAGGTGCCCTTGTCATGTAAATGTTAACTATACTCATAATCTGCATTGCATTTAGTTTGACATGTTAGCCTAGGAAGCTGCTTATGCTATTTTGGATGATAAAGTCCTTATTTGTTTGGTGTTTGATGGCGAAATTCTTAACTTGTGCTCATCTCAATCACAGTAAATTTGTTTTGTTTAAAGGTGCATTGTGCCTGTGATTATTGTGATTTGAATTTATGCATATCTGCAATTCTGGTGGAAGATATTGATCCGGAGAGTGTAAACGTTGTTTCTTGTTCCTTGGAATGTTTGCAGTGCCGGCAGTTAAGGATGACGGATGGCAGTCACAAGTCCTAGATTCTGAGGCTCCTGTTCTGGTCGAGTTTTGGGCACCCTGGTGTGGTCCGTGCCGAATGATTCACCCTATCATTGATGAGCTAGCTAAAGAGTATGCTGGAAAGCTTAAATGCTACAAGGTTAATACTGATGATGCACCCTCAATTGCGACTCGATATGGCATCCGAAGCATCCCTACTGTCATGATATTCAAGAGTGGGGAGAAAAAAGATGCTATCATTGGCGCAGTTCCAAAGCAAGTGTTGACAACTAGCATAGAGAAGTTCTTGTAAAGGGACGAGTATCCAGTTAATGATGTTTAAAGAAAAGATTGAATAATTCTAAGATGCGTATGTATAGTTTGATGATACTTTCTCTCTTTTCTCTTGAGATAATGTTAGTTACGAAAAGTTCCTTACAGTCGAATGTAGTAATAGAACCAACAGCTGTATGCCTTCTCATGTTCCTTCATCTACTATACGATGCATCAATATTGGGAGCTCATTTCCCCTCTGCATTTTGATCTTGGCTCAATTGCTTCTCTTTCTCTGTACATGAAAGGCAGCAACAATGCTGCTGCTGCTGCTAGAATATATGATAGTTATCATGTTGATAAGCCGAGGTTCAGCATGATGTCTGGGAGGAGTTCGGATCGTAGGATCCGAACAGGTATGCAACGATCAGAGAAAGAAAATGAAAAATGATTGGTGGTGATCTACTCTTGTCATTCTTTCTTTGCACAGCATGTTTCTTCATTCTAAAGTGTTGTAATTAGTGAGTTGAGATTCTGATCATGTCACAAAAAACGAACAAGCAGAGGGCAAAGTTGCCTCAAACGTCTATTTAAAAAAGCAACCATAAAATGGAAGAGAACAAAGGAAGTCTCAAAAGTAACTTGAGTCTGTCCAAATTTCAAATATAAAATGCAAATTGCGAAAGGACTGGCTGAGTTAGGGACGACGAAGAAGTAGATAAGTTTGAGGCCCCCCAACCAAACATTAAAAAAAAGAAAACAAAACCTACAACTGTCCAAAAAGAAAAGGGGATAAAGGTTAATCCATCAATCCATCATTATTACTAAAATTAAAGTTTTGAGCAAAAGTACAAGAAATATTCGCATCCGGGATAAGGAAAAATGGAAAAGAAATAAAGGAAGTGAGAGATGAAAATTAAACAATAAATTAATGAAATTAATTAGAGGAAGAAGATAGGGGCGGAAGCGGGGCAACTTTCCCCCAATTTAAGCTAAGATGAACAAATAGAGCTCATAATAAAAAGTTTGGTAAAAATTGCGCCTCCATTTCCTCTCCACCATTACATTTCCGCCTCCATCTTCGTCTTTCTTCACCTCCTTCCACCCACCTGCGATCCCCTTTTCTTCCTTTTTCCGTCTTTATATCTTCTTCTTTCTTCTCCCTCACTTGACCCGGATCCTTTCTTACCCGACCCATTTTATTATTACTATCCTGCCTTTTTTTTTCATTGATTCTATTCAATTCTAATTATCAAAGGAATATTTATCCCTTCCCCCATTAGAATTGCAGTTCTCTCAATTTGGCAGTTTCGGAGTTTGTTTATCGGTATGTCCTTTATTTTGATTGTTCAATTGTTAGCTTTTTTTTTTTTTTTTTGATGTTTTAATGTCTTCTGGTCTAGATCATGGAATGTTGAAGTATTTCTGAGCTTTCTTGTTAATCCGATTAGATATATTTGTGATGTTAAAACATGTTACATTCTTTGATAATCTGGTCGGGGGATTGTGAGAAATAGCTTCCTTTTGTTTATTATCATTTGTTTTCTCTAGTTTTACTGTTGCAATGTAGCATTTGATTAGTATTTTAGTTGCCCTTTTAACATATTGTGATGTTGAAATTTTCTTTCCTAATTTTGATTCCTGTAACGTAGCTTCCAATACCATGTTTTTATCAAAACTATATTTTCCCGAGCTGAGGGTTTTGAATTGTGATTGGCTGTTGGATGAGTTGTGACACAATTAGAGAAACTGCTGCGAAGGATGCTGAAATTTGTAAGCGGTTTCTGTTCTATAAATCAAGAGTAATGCTTTCAATTTTGCTGATGATAACAAAAAGGTCATTCCTTGTCTCTTTCTTGGTGAAAGGTTCTTCAAACTTTATCTTATATTTTGAATAAAATTCAATAGCAACTCGCTTTTTGAACCTTTTAAGCTACCATTGTTTGTAGGACTTTAGTTTCTATGCAATCTTTCTGACCTTTCTGCAGTTTAAGGATTAAATTCGTACCAAGTGCTATTTTTTGAAGATTAGCCCCCTCAATGCTTCTTCCTTGGTGTAATTTTTTGTTGCACATTGTAAAGCCCTGCCATTTACTCATCTTATGAAGCTTTCTACTCACTATACTCTTCAAGTTCTGAAACTGTATGATTTTTTTTGCCAAATGTTGTATAAGTTTTACAGTAGAAATTTGTGGCCCATACATACTATTCCACATCGTAAATCCAATCTGTGCTTTCACCTTTAGATGAGGTTATTGATGCGTGTGTGTATCTATGTGCTGCCGTGTCTCTATTGGCTTAAGATATGGTTGGGGAGATTGGAGATTCAGATTTATGTGTTTTTTGGTACAGTATTTCATTGATCACTTATCTTGTTGTCTACTCTATTCATGATTTAGATGAACTTTGTGCTACTGGCCCTAAGATTATGCTTTGTTCGGTATTATATTGAAGAAAATGGCGGGAATGGGACCAACCCAACTACTGCATTTGTTAGTATGTGGAGCCAGTCTGGCTAGTTGCAATTGTTAACTCTTGCCCTATCCACTTTCTTTACTCTGGAGTTTGGAGTAGGTTTAATTTTTTGTTATTTTTATTTCTGGGGTGGAGAGAGGAGTTGAGATAGAGTAATGACTTTTGTGCATGAGACATTGTAAAGAGGGATTCTATTCTTGAGTGTGTTGCTAAGAGTATGCGTATCTCTACTATTAAATTCTCTTAGGGGCCATTCAAATGCTTAACTTTATCACGCTATGAGGCTTGAACACTGTTATACCTACTTGTTCATTTGTGCTTCTATGTTTTGATTAAACCTGTGTCTTTATTTATCTGGTTGAATGATATCTTGTTTCTCATTTTATGATTACTCTTTCTTCTTTTATGGATGAATCCTATATCTATTTTTGCCTTAGCATTTCTTGTTCTTTTTTCCTCTTGAATAGGTGATATGGAATCTCCTCAGCGCTTTAGTGAACCTAGCGTCAACTTTCAATATGAAGAAGAGGATTCAATTAAGCAAAAATCAAGTTCAATTCCAGCTCCCACCATTGCTTCTGAAAATCTGAGTGGAGGTTTTGATTGCAACATTTGTCTAGACTCTGCTCACGACCCTGTAGTCACCCTGTGTGGTCATCTCTATTGCTGGCCTTGCATTTACAAGTGGCTACAAGTCCAGAACTCTTCCGCTGTAGACTCGGGCGATCGGCCAAAATGTCCTGTCTGTAAAACATCCATTTCGAACTCTTCAGTGGTTCCCCTATATGGTCGTGGTACATCCTCGGCAGAATCAGAATCTACAAAGCTCCAATTGGGTTCGGCCATACCACACAGGCCCCCAGCTATTGGCGCCAACTCGCAACCAAGTAATGCTGCAGCTATGGGTACTTACCCACATCAGCAACTTCATCCCAATCTATTCAACCCACAGCCGGAGCCTTTCCAACCACAACAGTATTTTCAGCCGCAGTTGCCAGCTTTCCATCAGCAGCCTTATTTTACTCACCCTTTTGGTAGTCATGCATCCATTGGACAATCTGGAATTGGGAACACAGCCATGACCAGTTTTTACAGCCCAACAATTGGGATGTTTGGTGAAATGGTTTTCTCAGGGATTTTCGGAAGCTCAGGTCCAAACTTGTTTGCACCTGCCTATCCTACATATAGTAGCCCAAGGAGAGTTCGGAGGCAAGAGCTGCAGGTGGAAAAGTCTCTGTGGAGATTGAACATGTTCCTGGTTGTTTGCTTGGTCCTTTGTCTTCTACTTTTCTGAATTCTATATTCATTTTTTTTTTTTGGGGTATAACTGTACAAATTGTGGGACTATTCTTATGATACGGTCAAGAGGGGGTTTAGATACATGTAGCATTTAGAGGTTTTACTGGAAAACTGAAACCAGTCGGATGAAGATGAAACCGACTATGTCATTTAGAGGTCTTCTGTACATAATACTATGTCATTTAGTAATTTACATGGAAACTTAATGTATTTGAGTATGAACTTGGAATTGTTGAAGGAGAAGGATGTGATTTCCTCAATCCAATGGGAATAACAATGCTATATCTATCAGTATTATCTTGTTGTAACCTGCAACTGTGATTTTATGTTAGTTGTTGAGGAAAGCCTACGAAGAATAATATTGGCTTGCTTGTCTGGGGATGGTATTCGACTATTTTTCACCTTCATTAGTGCAATGTGTTACCTTTTGCCCGTTTTTGCAATATTCTATCTTCTCCCTTCTTTTTCGTTTTTTTCTTTACTGGACACAATTACGGACAAAAATGCGTATCATTTCATTCTCCACAGTCATCATGGAAAGGATTATTTTGTTCAATAATTGATTTCGTTTACTAACAAATTTATTAAGTTTCCATAGTTAATTAGGGGGGGCTTTATCTGTTCCAGCCCATTCTCTTCACGATATCGATACTAACATCATCACCATAAATAACAACACTCACTTTAGTTGTTTGTTATTTTCTGTACTATTTGTTATTAGTCTTTTTGGGGGATTAAGATGGCTAGCACGCTTGGATTGTTCGTGTTAGCGTTCATCGGCTTTGTTGCTATAATACTGCTATGTGCCATAATTTATTATTATTGTCAGCATCGTGAAGAAATACATGAGGCATGGCGGAGCGGGAATACTGATGATTCACACTGACATATGAAAAGAAAAAGAAAAAATAAGGCGCAGTTTTTATTTTTATAGTTATAAGAATGGATGCTTATGAACTCTTTGAAACTCCATATTACTGTCAATAGTCTTTGCAATAGCACTTTTTTTTTTTTTGTTTGTTAAATAACTTTGCCCACCACGTTATATATATATAGTGTTATTATATTTATTGGTATATAGTTTGATTAGCGAGTTAATCCAGTGGTTGGTATGTTTATCTTGAAAGAATCAACTGTCCATCTCTTTTAGATTTGTACAAGAAGAATCGCATGCATCCCATCTCTTGCTTTAAGGTTTACACGAGAATTTTGAGATGATTAGAAATTAATTGATACTATTACGTTATCATTTTTAGTTGTTTAATCAAATATAACAGAATTTTGTTGGAACTACACAGTTCAATTCTCAGACTCTGTTATTCAACTTTTTCCAGTAGCATATTGTGTTGATTTCCTGATTTGTCCGAACCTTAATCAGTTAATCTGAACGGCAATTTTTCAGTCTTGTCATTCAAAGTTTAACCTGTTCAATGCAGAAATCAAGGTCCATAGACTCATGAGCATATCCATCACCAATTATCAATTGTCCTGTTGGTTTCCGCCCCCATGCCCAAGGTGATCATCATCTAGAGTCTGGACAGTAAATTAATTAAAATCCTCTTTTCATTGGATCATTACAGTTAACCCTAGCCAATTTCACATTCACGTCCGTACAGGATGCCAAATGCCCTACAGAAACTCTAATTCCAATGATATCCTGGTTTTGAGGCCCTTTCCATTACGTTTAGTTTCAGGAACATGATCACTATCAATATCTTTCGGCTTAACAAATTAACCCAAAAAAAAAAAAAAAACACTATTGAACCTATTAATTTTATAGTATTCTTGGCAATTTTATTTTAAAATTTAATAATATTTAAAAAACTGTAATTCTGAATAAAAAGAAACAACTAAACTACCTTCTTTCAAAAAAAAAAAAACTAAACTACCCAAAAAGCCTCTAACCAAAATGGACAGATGATGGAAAAAGTAGTTTGGCGTCAAAAATGTCATAAAATTGAACTAGATGCTTGGGTGTCGCCTGTATTTTTAAATTGATTAAATAAAAAATATGAAGAATAAATAAAAATTAGAAGAATAAAAAATCATTGAAAAGACAGAAAGTGAGTTATTACATATAAATCTATGCCCAGATTTACATCATTTAATTTATAATAGTTAACTTATGCCTAGGTTTACATAAATCATAAACCAATATCTATGACAGAAGAATAAAAAAAAATCATCATTAAAAAATCAAATTTCTTTCATGACAACTTATTTTTTCTCCATTGTAGAAAGAGATGGATTGATAATTGATGTCAGATTTTAAGTAATTGATTTAAAGGCTCGGGTGTGAGAGAGGAGCGGAATGGAAGAGATTCTTTGAAATTGGGGATTGGGAAGACATTATATTGTTGTTTTAAGGGATTAGTATATACCTATAATAAAGATAATTTTATGTAGCTATAATTAAGGGATTTATGTATTTATCTATTCTATTTTTTTTATTAGTTAGAGTGCCACGTGTCAAAAATAATTTTGTATTGAAAATGGCTTTTGGCGGAAAAATTTTCATTGTGGTACTGATACATGTCCTTTTTGTTTGCTGCTTTTTAATTAAGTATTATAGATATATGAGACTATAATATGTGAAAAGTTAAATTAGTCAAAAATTTTATTACCAATTTTATCTTTCAACTTATGAGTTCAATTAAATTTTAATCGATGAAGTAGCGAAAAGAGACCAAATTCGATAAGAATTTCAGTAAATTTGATGCAAAATGTTTTTTTCCTATGTATACCCCAATATGCACAAAGGGAGTCTGAAACCGAATCAAACTCAAAAAAGTTTGGGAATGTAGATTATAACACATTACAAAGAAATTTTTTAGAGAAAAATTTCGTTGACCAATTACACAACACACTATTGGTTTGGGAGAATTTAGAAGATTAAGTCAAAATTAAAATCATCGAAATTCCCAAAAGATATGAAACTCACTATTACACCTATGTAGTTTTTATCCTGGCAAGAAGATAATTTTACGTTCACGGGCGCATCTGATTCTACCCGTTGCAGGTTTCGATTTGCTTACAGGCAGCACACAGGTCAATAAATAAAACTTGGCCTTAAAAATAGCAAAGAACATTATTTCATGAACTCAAATGATCAAACAAGTAGCATACAAACGTGTACAAATTCTCATCACCCCCACTCCACGAGTTTACCACAAAATAGAGCATTCCATTTCAGACATTTTAAGTAAATAACCAATTTTCATAATTTATATTTAGCGAAACCCATTTTTCATAAACACCAAAGTAGGGTTTGCGATTTTGACAGAAATGAAAATGTGTATTGGCTGGTGATGGAAAGGAGGAGCTACGATTTAGACAGAAATAAGTGCACTGGAACTTGAGTTTAGCCTTTGATTGACAGAGAGAGATTGGGAAACGAATGAAGCAGATATTCATTGCATCAGCGGATCACAATTTAATACTCCTCCTCCGTCCCCAAAAAATAGTCCACTTATTAAATTAATTATTCTTTTGGGACGGAGGTAGTACTTTATAAACCTTGATTATATTTCTTTTTCGTTTTCCCATGACTAAATATATTGATTATTTCATTAGTTTCATAGGTGTTGCTATAAATTCTGGGGCCGGCCGGGGTTGTGAGAACACAACTTTGATGCCATATTAAAGTACATGGAAAATGTTTTCCTTATCTCTCTGGTTCATTTCACAATGAGAAGTTTCCATGTTAAAAAAAAAAAAATCAGATTAAAAATGATTTACGGTAAAATGATTAAAAATGTTTTCCTTAGCCTTTGATTGATTTACTTTCTTTATTAATCTGGCTTAATTGATTAATTTTTGATCCCGGTCGGCTAATTTTCTTATAAATACGTACATACATATTTTTTCATAAAACCTTAACTACAACCCACGGCCGGTTCATAAGATCGTAGTAGAAAAGAAGAATCAAAATGGAGATGACGCCGATAATATGGGCTTTTATAGGTGTTGCAGTCTTGATAGCTATCGTTTTGTTCCTCGCAGCAATTTATGCACTGTATTTGCGTCGTAGATAGTAGTCATAAGTAGGAATATGATGATAGAGGAGGTTTTCTAATTTTTTTTTTTGTTCAATGAAGGAGACAGGAGTCTTAATTCAAAATAAAATAATGATCAAGTGGCGGACGACTTGTGTTTTTAGAATAGTTGGTCTTTTAATTTGACTTTTTTAAGAATCTATTTATTTTTGTACACTTATTTAATTTTTCTCTAAAGTTGGGAAAAATCCACTTTATGTACCTTAAGAATGGAGGATCTTTAGATTATGTACCCTTGAAATTGGTCTTACCAAATCATGTACTTTATGTTTGAAGTTTGTTGTTTTAGTTATTTTTTCAAGGGCAAAATGAGAAACTACTAAAATTGTCCTGTTTTTGCCTCCAAACTTTTGGAAAAGAACAAATTGTATCATAAATTCTATTAATTTTACAAAAATTTATCTTTCAGACAAATTTCAGTAGAATTATACTTAAATTTTAATGAAATCTAACTGAAAGATTAAATTTGGATAAAATCAATAAAATTTATGGTCCAATTTGCTCTTTTCTAGAAGTTTGGGGGCAAAAACATAATAGTTTAGGTTAGTTTCCCATTTTGCCCTTAAAAAAGTACTTGAAAAAACAAAATTCAAAAATAGGGTATATAATTTAGTAAGACCAATTCTTAGAATATATGATCTGTATGCCTCTATTCTTAGGATACATAAAGTGATTTTTTCCCAATCAAGTAAGTTTATAATTTCCTTTATACCTTTTAGTTGGGCTTCTATTAATTTCTGAATATGCTCTTTTTTTTCATGAAAACTTTAATTCACCTTCACGACATCATCAAATTTTGTATTCTACATTAGTTATGTACCTTCCTCGCTCCATTTTCGTTCTCCAATTAAAAGTGGCTTGCATACGTATACAGTATGAAAAATAAAGAATTTAATTAGTTACATTTTGTAAAAGTATGTAGCAAGTAATATGCACCTTATTTAAAACTTATAGCTTATACCAGTGAAGTAGTTTAATAACTCGATTGTAGTTTTATTTATAACTCGATTCAAGGGTCAATCTCTATGGAAGAACATTAACGGCCAATGGCATGGGTATAGATGCACTATGAACAAAGATGAAAAAAATGTAGAAACTAAATTAAAATTATGATTTTTAATAGTCATAATAGCGGCTTAATAGTATTATTGATGATATATCTTAGGGTTATAGAAGAGAGTAGAAGAACTTATTAATATTTGAAATATCTTTCGTTCACATACTAGTAAAACTAAACATCAAATGACACTCTTAATAATCGTCAATTTACTAAGGGAGAATTATATAATTTTATTACAACTACTATCTTAGACACTACCCAACTTCACTGTTTTTCTTTCTGAAGAAAAAAAATATGTATCACTTTCCTAATAGATTTAAAGTAGTACACATTACATACATAATAGAAATACACCAAATTCTAAAACTTATTTTTTTGAAGAAACAAAAAAAAAAAAAAACTTTGAAGATAGTTGAAGCCTAATGAGGAAGAGTCATAGTAATAATTTATTTTTCTTAAATATAAATTTACATATCGATGTAACTCAAAACATAAAAATAAAAAATGAAAGATAAGAATCAGATTCGAGTTGTAGAAGAAGAAAAAAACTGCTTGGGAAGCACATGGTAATCACTGTGTCAGTATCTTCCGAATTCATATTTAATCACCGGAATTGATAGTTGATTTGTTTTGATTTGCTTTCTCCGAAAGAAACTCGAAGACAAAGTTAAGGAGAGAAACATACTAATAATAGTGAAAAGGTATATATATCAATTACTCCCTCTGTCCCATAATTATCATCCAGTTTGTATTTTTATTTTTAGTTTAAATTGTACTAAAAGTGAAATATGACTATAATTTTGGGACAAAGGGAGTATTATCAACTATCAAACACTGAGAACAAAATCTTAAGTCAAAATAATACAACAAAATTTTCCTACTTTTCTGAAAAGGGATTAACTTTTTATTTGTGACCATGAATATGGCCTGATTAAAGCCATTTTGAGTTCACTCTCTTTTCAAATTTTCCTTCCTCTCGGAGATACAGTCTGCCTCTTATTTTCTTTTTTAAAGCCATTTGGGAGTGTCATAATTTCGGGGGAGGTTCCTTAGTTTGAATAATTTAAGCAAAAGAAAGACTTTGAGTCTTTGATATATTATCAATTGGGCTTGTATATTCCCCATTTGTCTTCGTACCCGTTTGATAATAATTAATTAAATTTTCAAGATTCGAATAGTTAATTATAAAAAATAATTGGTCGTGCTAATTAGAGCTTTGATATAGTTCGCTGTGTGTAATTTGTATATCCCACACCGTCCTAACTTTCAGGTTTGACGTAGTTTCCATTTCAACTTCTTTTTTTTTTTTTTTCCATTCCTATTTTCAACTTGTTAGAACTGAGGAGATCTACATTATTCTGCCCAAGTTGTTTGATTTATGGGCAAAACGCAAAACACAACGACCCAGGGAGAGTAAGTCAAATTGATTAATGTTGCTATATACAGGATCGACCGTTGATGGAATTTTTCTAATTTTCTTAGTAGGTCTAGAAGAATATTAAGAAATTAAAAAGAGTGAAAATGGCGAAAAACTATATCTCTCCATCACCCCGTATAATCGATTTGAAGACGGTGGGGAGGAACATGAAATTTTTTAAAATTTTACAGAGAAATACGAGGTAAATGGTGTTGAATTTTTTTCTAATCACTCATGATTCTTAGTTTACTAATTGTATCTGTAAACACTACGTAGGATGATTTTATTATATCGATCATTACTCATTTTCATTGTTTGAGCGTATGCTATATAGAATTAAACTAAGTTTTGAACATGTCATATAAATAGGATTAATTACTGAAAATAATGCATCAAACACAATGTATCGTGTATCGTATAAAAAAAATTTAAAAAGAATAGTATAACATACATGCATGGAATGAAAGTCTAAGAATATTATGTAATCACACACACACCGGCTAATAGTACATAAATTTAGCACAGCAGACTTTATGGAATTGATGGAATTATTATCCAAACTAATTGCACAGAATAATTCCACATGTCCATGTCTTCTTGTCCAATTTTATTCGAGAAAGAATGGGGAAAAAAAAGAAAGAAAAAGAACGTACATTTCCGTACCTTAAGGAACAATTAAAAACAACGCGTCTTTATTACAAGAAGAGAAAAACACACAGTTCTGCAAAAATAATTGAGGTGGAGGAAATTAAGACAACTTGGATTAATTGTATAAACACCGACAAACGCGTTCGATGTCTCCGATTTCCTTAGTATATAAAGGAGTGCGTGCATTTTTCTCTCCAAGAATAACAAAAATATTACAACGATATATAGTTGATCAATCAAGTAGAGTCACTGATCGATCATCAATCACACAACTTAAAACTGTGATTCATTAAGTTGTTTCGTAATTTAGTAAGGAAACTACATTGCGGGCGTTAATAGGTTATATTATGGAATTGGCCAGGAATTTCCTATTGGTTTGGCAATTTGCTTTGTTGTTGTTCAATATTGGTGTTCTTTTTCTGGGAATCAATGAAGTTGAAGCTGCAGGTGGTTGGCTTAATGCTCATGCAACCTTTTATGGAACTAATCAAGATCCCAGCACTCTTGGTAAGAAGTTATTAATGAACCTTTTTAGCTTCTCTCGTTAAAATTTACAATTAATCATACGTGATACAACTCGTTGCACAAAATAATTTTTCAAAAAAGAAAAAAAAAATTCACTCATTTGATCCTAGACATAATGACGTTTATAACATGTTTTTCTTGAATAAAGGCGAGGGCAACATTTTGCATTGTTAGAATAAATTAATTACTCATCATCAGTTACTCAACGTTATTATTATTTTGTTAATTGGTGTATGTTGTTATTTAGGTGGAGCTTGTGGTTACGCGAACACATATCAGGCGGGTTTTGGGGTGTACACGACGGCGTTGAGTGGACCGTTGTTTAGGAACGGTGACTCTTGCGGCGCTTGTTACCAGCTGAGGTGCGACTCCGGCCGGGATCGGAAATGGTGCCTCCCTCACGCTTCCGTCACGGTCACCGTGACAAACTTCTGCCCTCCGAATCACCACGGCGGGTGGTGCGACGCTCCCCGCCACCACTTCGACATGTCCATGCCCGCATTCCTTCGCATTGCACGACAAGGCAACGAAGGAATTGTCCCTATTCTTTACCGAAGGTAACATATAACTACTTCCCATAAATGTACATATCTTCCCGTTGATCAACATTAATTAGTTGAAAGTGATAAAAAAAATTTATTATTATTATTGTTTTACAATGATGAACATAAAGTGACCTTCGTTAACAAGTATAATCTTTGATCGGATTCTTGTTGGTAACGTGCTAGAAAAATGCACAATATTAAAAAGTTATATACTTTGGCTAGCTAGCTAGTCCATAGAGATGGAAAAAATGTGACAGCCAGCTAGCTTTATAAAATACATTATTCCATACATGCAAATCAATAATTCATTGTTGCGGTGGTAGTATAACGTTTTTTGCTCTGTATCATCTTACGTAATGTAATTCACATTTTATAATTAATCTTGCGATCGAGTAAATTAATGTGTGCTCTGCATGGCAAATATGTATAGGGTGGCTTGCAGGAGGAGAGGGGGAGTAAGATTCACATTGATGGGGCAATCGAATTTCAACATGGTGAGGATCACAAACGTGGGAGGAAGTGGAGAAGTGAATAATGTGTGGATAAGGGGTTCAAGAACCAGAACCTGGGTGCCAATGCACCGCAACTGGGGTGCAAACTGGCAAAGCTCCATGGACGTCCGAGGCCAAATGCTGTCGTTTCGACTCAGATTAGGGGATGGAAAAATGCTCGATTTCCCCAACGTTGTCCCTTCTTCCTGGCAGTTTGGACAGACTTTTGCTGCTCGCAACCAGTTCACCTAAATCACTATACTTAACTATATATAAATGCAATATTACTTGCATGTTTTGGGCTTTTTGAATAGCGTAGATCAATTGGTATATCATACAAGTTGGTATATATATCATGACGCTGCTAGTTTAGAGCCCTAACTATAATTATTAATCTACATATGATATCTATATATATAGCGTCCAACTTGACATGCTTAGTCGTTTTTCATAGAGCATGTGTCCAGTTGGACGTTTTTTCCCCACATTCTTATTGATTTTATAAAATTTATTATGTTGATAGGAGATCATTATGTAATGATGATGAGATTTGAATTATGAGAGCTTTGGCCTATGGGGAATGCCTTTATTGCCCCCTCTAATTGGTGGGTATATTAAACTTGGCTCAATGTTTAAATTATCTTTATGTTCTAATACTCACTTCGGTCCTTATTATAAGACATTTTGATTTCGTCTTAAGTTTCACCTATAATGTATTTTTAATTGAAGGTTTTTTTATTCCAATTAAAAAGACATCATTAGTAAAACTTAATACGAAATCAAAATGTCTTATAATAAGGATCGGAGGGAGTATTAGATATAATACATGTATGTAGAAACATTATAAATAAGAGAAGAAAAATGCAGATGAGGAGTGGAAATGAAGCTCCGAAATAAAGATGGGTGATGATAGCTTTTGTCTTATCTCCGTTCCAAAATAAAAACCATCCAGTTTAAATGTATTTATCATAAGAACCAAGGAGTTGTGTTTATGCAACCTCCAAAGAGAGAGAATAGAGTGATTCGAAAAAAAAAATTATAAAGAAAATGATTTAATTCTCAATTTCAAAGTGGAAAATGAATATAAAAAAATTGAATACAGCTATTATGCTAGTTTATCAATTTTATAATTATTTTCAGATGATTTAGATTTCACGAGTTCAATTTTAACATTTTAATTCCTAAAATTAGATTTTTTTTTTCTAGAATGGTGAGAGTACTATTTGGTACAACAACAAGCTTCCCTTATTTTTAAATGTAAAAGTACTATTACATATTAATTGACCTAACGCACTAATGATAAACATACAACAACAAACATGTCTCTTATTTTGAAATATAAAAATATTATTATTACGGATTATGATGTCAAAAAACTAAAAGCCGAAGACATCAACAGGCTTTTCTCTAGTTGGCTTCTTACAAATTAGGTGCACATGAAGAGCAACACCTTTTATATCTTATTTATATTTATTGAATTTGATTAAAAGAGCAAAATCTTTTTAGTTGTGCAAGTCCACAACTAAAGATGAAACACCTATTTGACTGGTTAAATTGCTCCACTCTAAAAATCACACAAACATTTCAGCAATGATGTACCCAAATCTATTTATCGATTCTCTAGTGGTGAATTCATGGCTTCTTTAGCATATTTAGACAGTTTAGTTAGCCAACGTTATTTTTTATTTCGGCATGATATTGTATCACTTAGCAAAGTAGTTGTGTATAATATTTTAAATATTTTGCCTCTTTTCAAAGTAAAAATCCATAATTTCATAAATGATAAGTCTAAAATTAGCGACATAGACAAATTTGGGACGGAGGGAGTAGTAAAAAATAAATTGTAATTTTCCGTAAAAAGCAGTTTAAAGAAAAGTAGAAAATGCATTTTAATAAGTATTTCTCTCCCAAAATACTGCTCTCCTCTGTTAAACGTTTCTATTGATTCTGTAAACCTTAATTGAGCCAACAATGTCAATGACCTTCAACTGCTCAATTTCACATTCCAACTTAGAATATCCAGTTTATCCCGCCATGTTTAGAACCTTAAACCAATCATTTATCGGCCAAAAACCCATTAGCCTATCTTTGTTCTCCAAGATAAAAACCTATTGTTCTGCCATTAAAACTGCTTCCGCCAGTAATAACTTGTTCTCCAGAATTAGTCCTATCAGGGAAACCTCCCAAATCATTCCGGTCCTCCAGCAATGGGTTGAAGAGGGCAGGAGGGTCCAAAAGATCGAGCTTCAACGGATTCTTCGTGACCTCCGTAACCGCAGGCGTTATCCGCACGCCCTTCAGGTTTAGCTTTCGAAGTTTCAAGCTGTAGCATTTGTTTATTGTTTAGAGAGTATTTCTGGACTAGAAAGCAAAGTGGGATTCCAAATCCAGTGCATTTTGTTCCTTTTATACGATTAGGATGTTGATACTTGTATGAGTTGATTGAACCTCAGAAAAGTTATCGTTTTTAAGCTCTTAATTGGAAAACTGATGATAATTATTGTTATACTAGCTGCGTTAGTGTATTAGGTCTTGTTTTGGTTTGTGTACTGTCTGGAATATGATTCTGCTGTTTTTAACGGTTCAAGTTAAGGGAATTGGAGAGTTATCGAGGTATAACCTCTTATGATTTCCAAGGAAAAACGAATGATAAAATAGAAAGAGAAGAATTTCTAATCATTTCTGAGTTTATTGCCCCAAATTTGATTCATCTGATGTTTGAGGTGAATTTGGAAACCTGGGACTGCAATTTACTTTTGTCGAGAAAGGGGGAAATGGATTCTTGGCAGGAATTCTGATACCTTCGGCTTTAAGCTCATAACAAGGGTAGGTCTAATTGTTTAGGGCGAGAGGATTACACCTAAGTTGTGAAACACTTCATTAAGTGAATCCATCGAGGGTCTTCACATATAAAGCTAGTGACTTTCTTTAGGGGTAGAGTAGTTGTGATGTTTAGTAGTAAATCTGCATATTTAGCAGGACAATTGTTGCTAATGACGGATAGGATCTTATATTACTCATCAATAGATGGCAGTTTTGTTTTAATGATATATAAGCCTCCGAATTGTGTGTTAAGGTGCTTTATCTTGGTATATGGACCCCTATTGCTTTTGTTTTTTAGGATGTTTGATAATCAATATTTGTCTCGAAGGTTTCTGAATGGATGAGGAGTGGAGGTCTTTGGACTTTCTTACCTAGTGATTGTGCTGTACATTTGGATCTTGTTGGAGCAGTAAATGGATTGAAAGCTGCTGAAAATTATTTTTCTAGCTTGAAGGATGAAGAAAAAAATGACAAAACATATGGTGCTCTCTTAAACTGTTATGTTCGCGAAGGTCTTTTAGCCAAGTCTCTGTCTCACGTTGAAAAGATGAAGGAACTTGGCTATGCTTCCACGGCTCTTGTTTACAATAACCTTATGGGCCTTTACAAACAAGCTGGTCAACTTGATAAAGTCCCTGAACTGTTTGAAGAGATGAAAAGGGATGGGGTTTCCCCAAACAACTTCAGCTACAGAATCTGCATAAACTGTTACGGGGAGAAATCTGACTTTACTAGCTTGGAGGAGCTTCTGGTAGAGATGGAAAACCATCCTCACATCTCCATGGACTGGACCACCTATTCCATTGTGTCTAACTATTACATTAGAGCGAGTCGAAAGGAAAAGGCAATTATTTACTTGAAGAAACTTGAAGATACTCTTCGCAAGGATGCTATAGGATATAATCACTTGATTTCTCTGCATGGGCAACTTGGGAATACAGAGCAAGTGTTGAGGCTGTGGGATCTTCAAAAAATTGTTTGTAAAAAGCAGATAAACAGAGATTACATCACCATGCTGGGAGCCTTGGTGAAGCTTGGCAAGCTTGAAAAAGCTAATGTAGTGTTGCAAGAATGGGAGAGTTCTTGCCACACTTATGACTTCAGAGTTCCAAATGTTGTACTAATTGGATACTGTCAGAATCATCAAACAGAGGAAGCAGAGGCTATGCTTCGAGAAATAGTCAGGAAAGGGCATGTTCCAACGCCAAACAGTTGGGCCATCCTTGCTGGGGGATACATGGAAGAAAAAGACATGGACAAAGCCTACGAATGCCTGAAGGAAGCTCTTGCAGTACATGAACAAAACCCGAAATGGGATCCGAAGCCTAGAATACTTTTCAACATATTTAATTGGCTTGGTAATAGAGGAGAGCTTGCAGAGGTACAGAATCTTATAGGCTCACTGAAGTCTGTGGTTCCAGCGGATCGAAACTTGTATCATGCTCTAATTAAAGCGAACGTAAGAGGCAAAAGGGACGTTGATTGGATTTTAGAGAGCATGAAAGCTGATGGCATTGAGGAGGATGATAAAGTCGAAAAGCTGCTTAGTGAAAGATGAACAAAGATCGTCCTGGCATAAAAAATGCTTCAATTTTGATGGTTTACGTTGGGAATCACAACTCAGGATGCTAGCCGGAACACTGGTTTATATCCAGGTGCTGAAGATTGCAGAATGCAATCAACAGTCTTGTTGTGAAGAGAAGACCTTAGGAAATCCCTTTCATTTTGTGTGATAGGAATGATAAGCTAATTGCTGTTTTCTTGAGTAAGAAAATTTTCTGCCATCCTAGTTACCTTGTATGCCTTGCCTTTTGTTGCGTATCTTCTTTTCTTTTGTATTGTGCGATGATAGAAACTGAATTAGAAAAAGGTAAGCTCCTAGATTTGTAATGAACACGCATGCATACGTTTCATGCATATACAAATAGGAATGAATTTACTGTATTTTTCAATTTTTTTTTCTAAGGAAAATAGCAGTTTTCATAAATAAGAAAAAGGTTCCAGATGGATGAATTTCAGCTGTTCAGCAACAAAGAGCGTGAGGCCTATTACTTCCTTGATCCATTTGATCATTACGTGTTATCAAGATAAGATTTTGTTGTTGATGAGCATAAGGGTGGAGCTATTCCATTTGTTGGAATTGGAATTGATCTTGTGTGTGATTTCTTTTCAGAAATGGACTTCCTAATCACATCAGCAATTGAAATATTTCAAGGCAGATTCCTAGACCATTTCTTATATTTGAGGGTAACATATATGGATTTCGGGTTTAAGCACAAATTTTTATTTTTTTCTAAAAAAAGTTTTTACTCTCCCCAGTAATTTTAAAAGTGAAAATTCAAACCGCACAATAATTTTGGTACACATGGAAGTCAAAATAACAAAGTGGTTGTGTGAATATTTGAGGTTTTCCATTTTCTTGGGTTAAGAAACCCAATTTATAGATCTTTTTGGGGACTTACTTACCAATTTCAAAAATTACTATTCAAATTGACCCTGCTTCTTATAACATATATAACCCGACCCTCTTCATACCGGGCTCCTAGGCTCTTCTCGGGAAAAATGCGGAAAGACAGAAATAAAACTCCAGACGACGGGAACGGAGCTCCGTCTAAGAGGGACCGGAGGGTCGCATCCGATTCCGAAACAGAATCTAGGTCTGCTTCCGATGAAGGGTCGAGAAGAAGTCATAGAAGAAGTGAAAGCAAGCGGAAGAGAAAATCACGGGAGGATGATGAAGATAGCTATACGTCGTCGTCTTCTGAGTCTGACGACTATTCTGATTCGTATTCCGAGTCAGATTCGGAGTCGGAACCGGGGAGCTCTGAGGAGGAGGAGGACAGAAGGCGGCGGAAAAGGAGAGAGAGGAAGAAGAAGGAGGAGGAGGAGGAGCGGCGACGGAGGAAGGAGAAGGAGAAAAGGAAGAGGAAAAGAAGAAAAGAGAAGGAAGAGAAAGAAGAGAGGAGAAGGAAGAAGAAGAAAGATAAGAAGAAAAAGAAGGATAAAGATAAGGGTAAAACTGGAGCTGTCACAAATTTATGGGGCAAGTATGGAATCATCAGAGAAACTGATATGTGGTAGGCTTCTACGAATGCCTTTCTGCCTTCATTTTGGTGTTTGTTTTAGTTTCAGATTGAAGTTCTAAATCTCTCTTTCTTTATTGGTTAGTGTTTACTTTGCTTTACTACTTGGCTTTTACTTTTGTCTGTTGTTTTGTTTGTTCAAATAGTCAAGTGTTTGTTCAAATAATCCATATGGCTTTGTAAGTGTTGTTTGCTTGGAGTCAATCTACTGTTTGTAGTCGATGATGTTCTAAATACCGTATTTTGTTGGGTTTGCTGTTTTTCACTGGATTTTGGATCAAGACATCCATAAATCAGTGATTACAGTTGACAGTGATGTTAATTACTCTCAATTTCATCCTATCAGTGGTTGAAAAGTTCCTATTTCTCTTATCTCCACAGGAATAAGCGGCCAGAGTTTACTGCTTGGTTACTAGAAGTGAAAAAGGTTTCTTTTGTTCCCTTTTTCTTCCCCGTAATGGTGGCACTTAGTTTCAGCTCTGATTCTACTTTGACGTCAACAGCAGTTGTAGTCAGTCTGTCATTTAGGGATTTATGTTGTGAATTTTCGCTTTTTATTGTGATTAAACTGATTTGCCCTTGTTTCGTAGGTGAACCTGGAAAGTCTTGCGAACTGGGAAGAGAAGCAGATGTTTAAAGAGTGAGTAAATAATATGTGATTTACATTTAGAGTTCATCATGATGCCTTTTGTTTTCTCTGTAGATTTTCACTCTTTGTTTTAGGGTGCATTGTTTTGCTCAAAGATATTTAGTAACTCTTTTTTTTTCCGCCAAATTATCCTTGCAGATTCATGGAAGATCACAATACTGCGACATTCCCTTCTAAAAAGTAAGCCGCTTGATCATCTATGTTGTGTATTGCATATATGAGCAGGGAAGGGTAATGGCGTGTTCTATTTGTGCTTTAGTTGACTGAACAAGTTGATAGTATTTTATCCTGGATTAAATTAAGTTTTAATTTAGTATAGCCATAGGAGAATCAGGAAATGGAGATTTTAAACCACAGGTAACCTACACCTTGAGCCACAGGAAGCATTAATAAATCTGTACGCGCATGAAGATATGTTGTAGTTCCAAAATCTAACTATAGATAGCAGGCTGTGTACTCATTTTGAGATGTGCAAACTTGCTATCATTTTCAAGTCCAGGTTACTTATATTTGGGTGACTATTCATTCCTGGCGACAGGTATTATGATCTTGATGCTTATCACCGACATAAGATGGAAAAGGAAATGAAGAGAGGTACCAAGAGTGTCAAGGTGATCGAGCGTACTGTATTTGATGATGAAGAACAGCGCAGGTACGCATATAAGCTATTAAGTGATTTACTCTAAATCAGGAAATCTTTTATCATTTTCGGGGTGATTTGGTCTGTTAAATTAATTGTTTTACTCCTCTCTGTTTGGTGGTTTTGGTGGGGGAAGGGTTTTCATGATGTCATTCAAACTGATTATCGTTATGTGAAGGTTCCATCTGACCGTAGGCTGAAATGGGCTCGATTCCCACTTGGAGCAGTGACACTAGTTGAGTGTGTTGAAGTCTACACCTGTTAACCTTGTAATAGGATTACTGGATTTGGGTGATGCAAGATGAGTCGGAGTTTTGGTCGTTTTGTGGTTTTTTTTTTTGTTGTGGGGGGGAGGGAGAGAATGCTGGATTTATAAAACATAACTGGTTCCAAGGAGCACCTCCCCTTTAGAGATAATGTGTTTCTTTAAACACATCCTAATTTGGTCCGAGAATAGCATACTTCAACTTCTGATCATCATATTACAGGCAAGAGATGCTGCAAGAACGTGAAAGACAGAAGCAAACAGAGGTGGAGTCGTTGAGGAACGCAATGAGAACTGGAATGGTAAAGTTGATAAAATAATGCATCTCACAGGTCACTTTCCTCTAAGTTTTTACTAAATATCTCTATTATTCATTGTGAATGTCTAGGCCCAAGCGATGAAAGAGCAAGCTCGACTCAAGGAAGAGATGGCGTACCAATACAAGATTGGTAATTTTGAGGTAAAGATGATCTCATTCTCTATCTGTACTAAAATGACTGTCTCAGTTTAGATTTTCAATATTTGTACATCAATCATTTCGGTACGGAGGGAGTTTTTGTTTTGTTCAAACACCCCCTACCTAGCCACGAAAAGGTCTCATTTCAAGCTTCCATTTTTTACATTTATATTTGTGTCTTCAGGCCGCCGCTGCTATACAAAGACGGTTGGACCCGGATGCTGCCCTTTAGTTTGGTGGTTCTTAGTTATAGCCTTGATAGCTCGGGGCTCAGGTGTAATGTGCTATAATTTTGAAGACTATTTGGATGGGTGCTCATCGAACTAAACATTAGCAGCCGCTACTGTATTTGGTGATTGACATCTACGTACTTGATTTTACTTTCACAAGTCAGGTGCAGATTTCCCGTTAAGTTCATATGGGAGAGTAGGTCCTCGATCCAGTTTTCGTAGACTAACAAATAGAAACTAGCTAAGTACATTTGTGTTGCTTCACTATTGTCTTTGTAATTTGTGAGTTTTTTAAGTAGTGGATTTCAGTGATATCTAATGTTAAGTATTCTTATTACCAATAAATTTGGTTAGCTACGGCCGACTGAAGGGATGTCATGAGGTTTTCCTGAGCAATTGTTAGGATCGAATAGATAACAATAATATTCAAGAAGAGGGGAGTGGAGGCTGTTTCCCACCAACACCAATGCACCTTGTGCTGTGGAAATACGTCCGGCTAGTCCTCCCAGCCTTTCCATGCTTCTTGATTTCCATGGCTGCTGAAAAGGGTGGTTCTGTTTCAATTTTATTAATCTTTTTTTTTTTGAAGGTTTTCAGAACCAAAAAAAAAAAACAAAAAAATTGGTGGGGGGGAATTAGATTGGCATCGCTCTTTTTTGGGCCAAAAGGTTAAACTTAATTGAGTTTTGAGTGAATTGCCCAATACCCCTTGTCTAATCGTAGTTCTTAAAATAGTATCCCCTGAGCGACAAGGAATACTGAGGTAAAATTCAACTTCATTTTAGAAATTAGTTTACTTAATTTTCAACCTCCATCTACCTCCACCGGATGGCTACGTGCTGATCAGAGCACTGGCCGATATTTTAGCCGGAACCTGACCAGTCAGTTGTCGGCCGTTATTGTTATTATCATTAACTTAATTGTTGTTTTTTTGATCTCCTTGTTTGTATGTTTGCAAGGATTCATTAAAAAAAAATAAAAATCTATTTCTTAGGTATTGCTACTTGTATGTTCAACTTTTGTTGATAAATTTGATGCTGAATTTTGAAGAGGCCCTTGAATCGAAGTCATAAAACTACTTCACTCGCATAAGCGGTAAAGTTTACCTAATGATGTGTACCCAAAAAAAAACTTTTACCCAATCAAAATGCACGGTAAATTCTACAAAATAGACTACATGACCCTAATTAACGAGAATCAAACCGAGAAAACATGTATATAGTAATAACAAATTATCAATATAAACCTTTATTATTCCATCCAACCCTAAAAATTAATCTATATTTACACCCGTTTAATATGATCAATAAGGTGTATATATATACTTTTACAAAATGTAACTATCTTTTTTTTAATTTTTCCATACTATATATGTATCTAACGTTTGTGTATTTCATTTGTGAGCCTTTTTTTTTGTGAATTCTACATTGAAGTCACTTTTAATTGGAGAACGAAAATGGAGAGGAAGGTACTTAATTACATGTATCTTACAAAATTTGATGATGTCATGATGGAGATGGAAGTAATTAAAATCTTCATGAAAAGAGACCAACATATTAAAAAACGAACAGAACCCAACTAAAAAGTATAGAAGAAATTACAAATTTTTGTCAAATAAGTGTACGGATTCCCAAAAAAGAATCAAATGCAAAGGGCTTTTTCTTTCTTGTATAAAGAAAAAAAAAACAATCAATCTCGTACATCATCATATTTCTCCTTATGACGACTCGTCACAACAACACAAATACAATTATATCCCTGCATAAAAGTGTAGCACTGTCAAATATGAGAGCAATGAAGACTGCAACAGCTATAAGAGCCCATATTAGCAGCGTCATTTCCATTTTGGCTTTCCTTTTCCGATATGATCTTATGAATCCGTGCCGCCGGAAGTGTTGAAATCAAAGTACAGTAAAAACTCCCTAAATTAATACTACTACATATACTGATAAATTATATTATTTTCGCTCTAAAAAATAGTCCACATTGAATTTTGAAATTTGTACTGCAGTACAAATTTCAAAATTCAATGTGGACTATTTTTTTATCCACATTGAATTTTCAAATTTGTACTAAAAACAGTACAAAATTCAAAATTCAATGTGAACTATTTTTTTAGGACGGAGGTAGTATTAAATAATAATTTTTTTCATTCCAACTCAGGACAAAAATCAAACATAATCAATAAATTAATAAGATAATACTCCCTCCGTCTCACAAAAATAATCCAGTTTAATAAATAAATTTTTCCAAAAAAATAGTCCAGTTTCACAAAAGTCAAAATTAATTGAATTGAAATGACTTAAATATCCAAAAGAGTAGGGTTAAGGAAAATACGGTTCGCTTCCTTAAATTTTCATTTTTTTTAGTTTTCTTCTATTTTTTCAAATGATTATATCTTTTAATACATGAATAATTAAAAAATGTGTTATATATCAAATTAATCCACGTAACGAGATCTTTCCATCAAGATCCATTGTCAATATTTTTTAAGATAAAATTTTGATCAAATTTAAGTTGTAAAATAAATGCATATGTAGTTAACTTTTATAGAAATAATTAGAAGGGGCATTAGGGAAAGTTAGGGACATAAAATGAGTTGTACATTTGGCGTGTTGACCAAATTAAAAAAGTTATACATTTTCAAACTGGACTATTTTTCTGGGACGGAGGGAGTAAATTTTTAGAGAATTTTCATAAAAATATAGGTCCCTTAAAAATTACAAATTAATAATAATATAAAATTTTACCCAAAAAATTATGAAATTTTAAGAAAGTAGGAGACTATTGAGTTTTGTTTTTTTATTTAAATTTACATTAAAAAAATTTTATCTTTGATTTTTCCTCCATCTAGTAATTAGAAATAATAGGATCATATGTGTGTGTGTGTGTGTGTGTGTGTAGGGAAGTAGAGTTGAAATTAAGTATTTGTTTCTTAATAGAATCGGAAAAAAAATCTTTGAATTAATATTCTTTATAAATTAATAAGTTTTTATGGACTCAGCAGTATTAATTTAGAGAGTTCTTTCTGTTGTGAGGGATCAACGTAAAATGGTGTATGTTAGTATTTATAAGGAAAAAGAATCAGTTGGCCGGGAGAAATCAATCAATTAAGGCTTCATCATTAATAAAGAAGCGAATCAATCTACTTTTATAAATCATTATCATGAAGAATGATGGTTATCTTACTCTTTTACAGCAAATCATTCTTAATGTCAATATTAATTTTTTTTTTCAAAATGAAAACTTGTCATTACTAATAATAAATTGTGAAATAAAACATGAAAGAAAAGGAAAACATTTTCCATGGAAATCAATAAAAAGCTCTATGGGCTAGGCACGGTTTGAAGACACTGTATAACACAGTTGTGACGGCCGGTATACTACAAAAAGAATAGCTTGTTCAGGGATCAAAATTTTTATTTTAGGGTTTTCCTTTCCCTTCATGAGTGTACTAATTTAACCTTGCGATTAATTTTCTTTTGTATCGTTAGGTCTTCTGCCCGTTACAACATGTACATATAAGTTTGATTTTTTTTTTTTTTTCTGGTACTATGATAAACAAAGAGTTTATAAACGATAGGAGAATAAGAAAGAAAGAAGAAACCCTTTATTCCCTGATATAATAACGGTGAATTAGCTTTCCAACTTGGCTTAATTTGCTGGGACGAACATATATATATAGAGCTCCCTCAGTGAGGAGGAGTATTTAATCTAGTTGTTCCTATTTTCCTTTTGTGCTAATTGAGGTTCCAGTCTATAATTGCGTGGTTTGATAAAATGGTGTAAAGTTGTTTATACTATCATAATATTTTCCTCAGGATAAATGAAATTTAATTGTTTTCCTTTAATTTTAGTTTTAAATCTTTGTTCTCTCTATTTTGCCGGTCACCAGAGCCTGACATTTACTCCGATACCAAACCCCCAAAAAATACTACTGTACTACTGAAAAACATGTTTGCATAACTACGACAAAGTAAAATATATAAAAGTTTTTACTTGATTCTTGTAACAAGGATAAGGTTTTAATTGATTTTATCCGCATGCATGTAACCTTATTCAATGAAGGAGAATATATTCATCAGATCAGCAAGTAATATGGAAGTGGAGAACATAATGTAATGTGACATTCTCAAATTATAAAAAAAAAAATAGAAAAGCCAAAAAATGCAAATTAAGTTTACATGTTTTGCAAAATCAAGATCCGAAACCTAGAGTAAAAGAGAGAGATGAGACAACAGTTGTTTTACAGTTCTGGGAAAAAACAAACAAACAGACAAGACAGCCCACACACAGACACGCACTGATTAGAGGACGACATGAATAGCAACATTTTTTCTTGAAGCTTTGGGAGCGTGGTTGAGGCGCAATCTACAATCCAGCTTGGTAGCCAAGGGAAGAGCAGGAGCATGCAACTGCAGAAGCTCAAGCTTCCGAGCATTCCTCAAGAACAGCTCCATGAAATTCAACCAAATTCTTGTCTGGAATCGGTACGTGAAATGTACCCTTTCCAGGGTCCGTATCACGCAACTCGGGAGCTCCGATTCTTCCAACTTATCGAACGCATCGGGTCTCCACATTAGGCTCTCTTGCTACCAAAAAAAAAAATCAAAATGTAAGCAATTTATTATGCAACATCAAAATCAAATTCTCATACTTTAATTTACTACTATCAAATACGTGACACACAAGACATGCGAGTGATTAATTAATTAATCAAGTACTCATAATTATCAGCTGCCCAATTACTATATTCAATGATAATGAACAAAAGTAGTAATACTAATAATCAATATGAAAACGGAGGGGCAAATAATTAAAGAAATAGAGAGATATCCAAGGACTTACAATGTGTAGATCTAAGAACTTGAGAAACGGTGTCGCCCAGAGCAAGTGCAACAAAGTCCCCTTGCCGCTGGTGAATCGTGACTCCACCTTCAAGGAGGTTAGGTTCTGAAAACTTGGAAGGGTTTCTAACCTTCCAACCAGTAACATGGCCTGCACCAAGTTTACATTGATAAAATTACCACAGTCAAATTCGATTATTAGAGTATATATACACCCTCTGTTCCTGCATAATTGTCCAGTTTGGGAAATTACTTTTAATACAATTTGAACTAAAACTGAAAATCCAAACTGGACAATCATTTGGGAATAGAGTATAATAAAACCAATCATCAATTTCAGAATATATGTACCATATACTGCACTAAATATAATACAATTAAGACACACGTAACATTTAGTAAGTATATTCACCTGAGCCACGTCCAGAGAAATCTCAAGGCGATCAACCCATCTGAGCCTTGTAAGCAGATTGGCAGTGGCCTCCCCAGTATGGTAGTAGTCATTGCTCTCGATGACCTGATCCAAAAGAGCCTGCGAAACCGTCGACACCTGCGGCATTAGGAACGTCTCCACCAGATTCCCCGCCCACCTGAACTTATCCATGTTGCAACACTCCGCCAGGTTGACCATGACCAGCCCTACCGTGAACACCTCCCGCCCGTCCCGCGCGTACCTACACCACGACATCTGAAAGTTCAACAGCTTCGGGGCCCTAATCACGATGGCCTCGACATTTCTCCACTGGCAGCACAAGAACCCTAGATCAGTCAAGGCCGGGAGATGGAAGATCAGCTCTGGGAGGTTGTCATCGTTGACCATCCGAACCTTGGACAGGAATAGGGTTTTCAGGTTGAGGAATGTGGTGACCGCGGGCAGGAGCAACCTGCAGGGGAGCTGGAGTTTCAGCTCTTCCAATGCCTGGAGGGTGAAGATGGCGCCCGGGATACCGAAGGTTCCGGAAACAATGCGACAGCCTAAATGGAATTTCTCGAGTTCCCGCCTCATCAGGACGCTGGAGGTCCACTCCCTGAGGCTGTCTCGCTCGTAGGCTTTCGAGCATTTCATATCGAAAGACCTGAGCAATGGACTGTTGCATTTGGTGATTACGTTGTTAGCAAATTCGATGAACCTGCGCTTGCTCTGCGAGTGCCTGGGATCTTCTGAAGGAAGACCTTCGTCAGTGAGATGGATGGCGGTGATTCCCGTCCACGTCGTCCGCCAGGGTTTCGCCAACACGGAGGTGCGGACAGCTTCCTTGGTTGGAATCCGGGACAGAATCATCCCTATCAGGGCTTCTGGTAGGGCAGTCAGCCTGTCCTCCTCTTCGGCCACCACCTGCTTTGAGCATTCTCCACACAGAGTCTGATGAGCCATTAATTTTGGAGCTAGCTTGATGCAGAATTTGATCTGAAATTATTCCAAAAAACAAAAATTTAGTATTTCAATATTTATAATCTCTAATGGAAAATTATACGTACATGGTTTAATTGTGAAGTCATATTTTTAAGTTTGGAAATTAAGAGGCGAACAAGATATGCATCTCAAATGTTTACATATTCTGTGAAATTAAAAATGAGACTGGGAAAAATATACCTCAAAATTAATAAAAATCTGAACAATTTAAAATTATATATTTGGGGGAAAAGGCAAAAAAAATCATGAAACCTTGATTAATCACTGGCGATTTGGCGTACTTAATTAAGCAATGTAAGCACTTAAATCTTGATTAAGCATTTGTAGGGTATCATCCTCTTTCTTCATTTCGAAGGTGCAGATTTTGTAAAGGAAACAAGGGAAATGATACGATCTAGAGAACTCATCTCATCCAGGCAAAATCTCACACTCCCAAAATTGGGAGTCTAGCTATCAAAGATATTATCCTAAGGCAACTACATAGCGTATATACTATATAGATGCACCGCCATCATGAGACTTCTTAAATTAATTCATATAGAAGCAAAACGTATTGAAAAAATTTAATAAAAAGAGAACTATGAATTAACATCAAAGGAAATCATATCAAAACAAGAGAACAAGGGCAAATAAAGAACAGCATCGATTCTACATTTTTCCAACTCTATAAATTGAAAAACGTACACGAATGATAACTAATTAATACATAGGGAAATGATTAATCAAGGTGGAAAGGAGCACTAAACGACTGAATGAATGAAATCAACAAATTACTCAATGAAGTGAACTGAGCTTTTAGTCTCATAAATTCATCATGAATTAATGAAGGATAGGGGGGAAAAAAATCCAATTGAAGATCCATGAGAAAATGGATTGCAAAATCAACAAAGAAACTTGAAGGATTAAAGATCAATCAAATTCACCCACCTCAAGAAGGAATAGATCTGATGGAGCTTGTTAGCTATAGAGAACCTCAGAAGTGATACAGAAGAACTCTTAGATTTGAATGAGAAGGTTTCAAGTACTCATCAGGCTTCACTGGCGTCGGTTACATAAGGGTACGTAGAATGCCTTCGTAGCTGACAGTTGTTGCAATTTTGTTTTCTTCTTTTTATTTTTTTATAATTTTTGGGTTTCACTGCGTGACTGTGTGTAGCCGCTGAACTGAAACATTACTTGTTGCAATTTTCTTCCATTTCCAACACTTGTCAAATTAACCTCTGAATGCCACCACACAACTCACGCATGCATTCACTGATCAAAGTGCTTTCTCTCACCTTTAATTCGTAACGTACCCCAAATGCAACGGTCCTTTCCTAAGTAAGCCTGTTTGTGCAGCGTTTGAATGGATTCTGATAACTAGTACAGATCACATTGCGTAATCCATAGCTTTAACATGTATAGTGTCTATGATTTCCAGCCAAAGGGAAGCTTAGTTAATTTAGCCTTCAAGTTTAGCAGATACATTTAGCTCTATTGAATTATTAATTGATATAGATGGTTAAAAAGGAAAATTCAATCACGTAATCGCGCAGTAAAGTCGCGGTGATATATTTGTCGACATTCTGATATTATGAGGTTGAAAATACCAGTCGTTTCATCATCATGTTCCTATCGGCGCAGCTTACGTAGTCATGGTACAGTATGATCCTTGTGCATGCATTACGGCACCAGAGATATTCAATGCTGTGAAGCAATGAAGATAACGTTTTAATTAGAGCAAAAGAGTATGCCATTTTGCTTTGCAGTTGTGTATGCAGTTGGGAAAGTCTTTATGATGTTTTCCCGGTTTCAAAATTTTTTGTGGATATTGTTTCCTGGCTGCTTTACCATCTTGATTACAGATTCAGAAGGAAAACAAGTAAATTTAACGATATTGATTTCCTATCCAGATAAGACACCCACTGTTGTTCTTCACATCACTGGGGGTATGCCTAAGGAACACCTCAGAACTAATAATGCACAGTACTGGAACACTTCCTAAAAAGTAGGTCTTAGTCACACACTGAAATGTTTTCTGTGCGTATGTAGCCATTAAATTTTGAATCTTCTCCAAAATCATTGTTAGTGGAGGACAGGTAAGAAATTAAAGCTAACAATAACCATCATATAAACGAAATGAGGACACTAAATATGAGACTGGGGGACTTGACAATGGCCATTTTCCACCACAAGATGCATCTGGAGCTATTGATTTAGCTGTGCTTCAGATGCGATAAGAAGAGAATTTTTCAACCAGTTAATGTAGTGATCACCAAAGAAGAGAAAGCATCTAATAGCTAAGAATTGGTTACAATCATTTTCAAAAGATACTGAACAGAGAAATAGCTGCTAGATCATAGATGGAGTGACAAGGTAACCAATGACTATACAGTAGATGTTGCTACTTTCGCTATAATGTATTATATGGTAAGTATGAAGAACGCAATTGGTTCTATATAAGATGTATTACTCCCTCTGTCCCAAAATTATTGTCCAGTTTGAGATTTCATTTTTAGTACAATTTGAACTAGAAATGAAAACTCAAACTGGACAATAATTATGGGACCGAGGGAGTATATGGTAAGTATGGAGTACGTCTATGTGCTTCTGTGTGCGAGGCAGAGACTTGATGAAGGGAGTATGTAATTTTCCTAACACATCGCAGAAAGTGTTTACAAGAGATTAGAAAGCTTTATCATAACGTTGCAGTAGCAAGAAAGCAGTTGCTTTAACAAAACGAGGTCTGTTAACTGACTCAGCGCCTCCAGTCCGCAGAACTAAACAGTGGATTAGAAGTCACTCTTTTTGTGGAGAAGCATTTGAAACCATTGAACGACATGAGTGAACCAACTTTCAGGCCTGCTAACATGCAAGATTTCAAAAATATCAATCTGACAGCTATGTACGAAAGGGTATTGTTCACAAGACTCAAGAAAATAACAGATTCGAATGTTCATGGGTTCTGTTTCCTTTCCAATGTTAGCTTAAATGGAGTCCTTTTACTTAGCATTGAGATAAAAAAAAAAAATTAAATGGATGAATAAAGCTCATGCATGCTAGGCCAGATGGAATTCAACCAGCTTTAGAAGAGGAAAATGGAAAGGCTGGAAGCAGAAATATGCAAGTTTAGAGAAGAAAAACAAAGAAAAGACCAATAAAGCTGACCTTACGGTTAAGTCATTGAATGTGCTGGAATATTTTCAGCATCCACTCAGCATATCCACATCCATGAACAGCTGGGTCTTCAATAAGATTTGCCCCAGGAAATGAGTGCATTGCAGGTTGTTGCATTTCTCTGACGAGATAAGGCAGCTGATCCGAAGGGTTTTCTTTTCTGAGTGTCTCTAGTATCAAGAGCAGCTTTCTTGCCATGTTGTTATCCTGTTCAAAAAGGCTCACCTGACAGCATGTTGCAAAGACATGTCATGCGAAAGTGGCCGGTGGCAAATATATTAGAAGGGATCCTTTAAAGCAAAAAGAACCATCCTGCAAACAGCAAAATGCTAATTCTGTATGCATTCATTTACCCTATCATAAATTAAGCAACACGGTCAGAGAAGACTTAGAAAAAGATTTTGTCGGCCTAAACCTTAGCATTAGAAACTGATACAGAATAAGGGAAAATATGTGAATTTCAAACTGCAAAAGTCTAACAAATTCAAAACCCACGTCAAATTCAGAATGTGTGATGCACAACTTTAACATTGTGGTTATTGAGCTAGATACAGTTATCATATCCCCCCAAAGAAAGAGAATGGAAATAAAGGTAAAAACCGAGAATCTCCTATGATAGATATCCAACGTATCAAGCTCTATTTATTAATTGTAATGAATCAGATATTCAACTACGTATTCAATTTTTTTAAAAAATGCCTAATGTGATGAATACAAAAACAGACCTTCTTAAAATCAGCAGCAGATCCTTTCCCAAGCAAATTAGTTGCAATCTCCGGTGATAATGTTTTCCCAAAGCATATGAGAAATCTGAAACCATCATCATAAATGTACAGGCCTCTGCTATCCAAGCTCTCAGCAGAAAGAGGCAACCTTTTGCAGGTTTTCTTGAACTCATCAACCATCGGGGATGCCTGAAGATACAGTATATCAATTCACTATGAATACAATAATCGACAACACTGCCTTTAAGAAAACCAAAGCAAGATCAAAATACAAATGATAAAAAGCCTACATTCATGAGATAGCCATCGATCCGAATTAAACTTGGGTAAAGGAGTTTCAACAATCTCTTAACAGGTAGAGTCATCATAGCATTCGCTTGAGCACAACATTCATCAATATGACCATCACTACCTCCCTGAAGCGCTTCTGACTTACAAAGAGATAGCCCATATAAAGGCAAATATTTCAGTGATTCCGGATAAAACATCTGCCCCCCTTGCCGATTCTGTAATGGGATAAAACTTTGATAATCTCGTAGAGCTTTCACAATTGGCTGTTGAAGAAAATTTCGGGCATCCTCCAATTTATCACACAGAGTTTTCTCAATGGCTGCCAAAGGAAAAAAAAAAAAAAACAAAAACAAAAACTCATAACTATAACAGGCATCCTAATATATATTGCCCATCCCGGGAACTATTTGCTACTAATTTTGTTAAAGGAAATGGTTAAAAAAACTGGTGAAGTTGAACATTGAGAAGTAATTACCAAGTCTGCTATAAACAGAAATAATGGCGCCAGTGTCTGCATGCCTATACATTTGTCTTAACTCGGTAACTACTGGCACAGCTGCTGTATGAACTCTGACACGCTTTTCTCCAGAAGAAGAGGTGTATCTTTGAAAGATTAAGGTAGTTTGACAATTCTTATTCTTGATTCAGTTCCCTCTATATTAACATAGCCACTAACTGATGAGAGTGCCGCCACCCAGATTTGGGCTGAGCTATAAGCTTCTTTGTTACTTCTGTAGATATTTTCACAATTAATGCATGACAGTAGACCCCCAGAAAAAAGTAGAGAAAGAAACATCATCAAGAAACACCGTAGAAATTAAATGAAAGAACGCTCAAGCCAAGGAAATATAGTTTGTAACATGGTTGAAACATGCATTTGTGAGCAGAAAAAAATAGGCAAATGCACACCATGTCCTTGTCAGGTGTAGCTCAGTTACTTATACTATTAACAAAAAGGATACGCCACTGAAACTTGGAAATATGTGATTGGAGTTTGTAATGTTTCTTCAAGACAAAACAGAGCTGTGTAAGCTTTATCACAGTCTAAAGCTGGAAGCGATGACCCATCAGTGGATCCGAACATCCAGTTCCCATGTATGGATGCCACTCGCAAACCTGTCCACATCAAAGAACAAAATGTGTTCGTAAAGTGAACATGAAAAATAGGAAAAGAAAAGAAAAAAAAAAAAAAAACTTGCCTCTTCCACTCGGAAAAGGAAAGAAAAAAAAGACTTGCCTCTTCCACATCTAATGCACATGAGAGCTTCCCATGCTGTTTCCCGCATTAGATCTCTGCCTAGCTCGTACCTCAGTTTCTCTTTATCATGCTCAGCTGTGAAATTAGGGTAGTGGTATACCTGGCCACCAGTACATGATGAAAGAGCACCTGATATTTTCATAGAAGATTAATTAGACAGTATATGAAGGAATTACATGGTACTTTACATGCTAGCAACATATACATCATTATTCCAGCCGAATACTACACACACAAATTTTTTGTGTATTAAAAGTTTATAAGTTTGGGTAATAATTATATTAGGTAGGAGTTTGAGGACAAACATCTTGCGGGCTAGTTAGCAATAATCATGCAAAGGAATGTTTAACCTAAATGTCATAAGCTTCTACTTCTAAGCATTAAACCTGAAAGAACATTGTCATGCACCTGTATCCACTCATTAGAATCATATCCCTAGTTCACAAACTGAGTTTTCTAAATAATAAAGGGAGTTCAACCAAGTAAAGAGTATATTCATTAGAACTAAACCACTCGTAGACAAACAGCTGTTACAACTTCGGCATATGCATGAAATAAAATGAAAAGGAATCTTATTTACAACTTAAACCACATACGTTAGAATCCTAGTGAAGAAAATGAAAGGGAAAAGGAATGCAACATTTGATTGACAAAAAAATTTTAAGAAAATGAAATCCCATAATATTGACATAATACTATACACATACCTAGAGAGGCTATGTCACCATATTTGTCACTGAAAACGAAAACATCAACAGCTATTCGGTGCTTTACAAGTTCAGAAGCCATCTCAAAATAGAATGCAGCTCCTGGTAATCTTATCTCATGCTCTTTATCTGCTCCGTGATAATGATGACGTAGCAAGAGTCTTCCAGCACCAAGTGATGGCAATGTATTCTCGAAAATTAGCAGTTTGCCACCCATTTCACCCTGCAAAAGAATGATGTCTCATTTACAGTATTTCTGCCTGATAAACTGAAAGTCTTTAATGAAGCAACCTTGAGTATTGTGACAATGAAGAGAAGTAAACATGTTACCATTACATACCATAACCATATCAGCTGCTTTAACCGCAGGACCAAAAGCAGATTCAACTTCGGAAGTATTCTGAAACATGGAAGGTAAGGCATCCAGGAACATATCTACTTGAGCTCTTGATTTGGACAAGTTGACAAGAAGTCCAGAAGGTGAAGGAAGAAATACATCTTCCACATCTGAGACCACCAACATGTGTGGCTGGTTGAAAGATGACTAAAGCAAAAAGAATCACCATTAAGAATTACACAAATTGCAAGGTTATAGGTTTTAATTATTCAGCTGAAAACACTATATCGTACTGTCATATCATAGAAGTGGATCTTGCTGTCAAATGTGATGAAACCAATTTGTGACCCAGGGAAGCTGGCCAACTTATCCAAACATGATCTAATAATATCAGCTATGACCTGCAATACAAACTGAGAAATTTAGGAAAAACTCAAAGAGAAAGGTGGAACAAATCTAAAAGACAAGCGAGTTGGGGTGTTTTTTTTTTTCCTTTTGGGGGTGTTGGGGTTGTGTTTGGGGATGTGAAGCCTAAAGGATCTTCATGACTTCAACATAGATTAAAAATGTTGTACTCCAACTTAACAATGTAAAGCATGGAAAATTATTCCAACTTAATAACATAACATGCACAAAAGAAGAAAGTGATTTCTTCCTACTCATGCCAAAGGAAAAATCAGCTACGCCAATCAATTAAGATAGTACTGTGACATTAGTTTGAATACCAGACATGTTTCCTATTAGAGATCCACTTAGAAGACTTACCCCAAGCATACCACTTTTGTTAGCATTTTGTGATACATCAATCAGGAAAAAGTATACTGGCTTTTTTGACTGAGACGTACAGTCCTGAGCAGCAATATATTCCACGCTGCCATTTATCAGCTCAGGTCTTTCAGCCATATCCATTCTTTTCCCATTAGTTTCTGGTACTGATAAGAAAAAAGTTGAAGTTATTATGGTTTCCCTAGAAATGACAAGTGGAGCTTCACATAAAGAATTAAACGCAAAGAACAAGCTGCAGGGCTAATAGAAAATTAAAAGGTTTGATAGGGAAGTACAAGCCTGCAATTTATCATTAAGGGAAAAGGTTATGTTGACCCTTCACAGTTTGCTGGAATCAAAAGTTTTCCTATTCAAATTGCTCGTGACGTTGGTAATGCCTACAAAAGTATAACGCTCGTGACAAGAACTCAAGAAAAAAGTTGATTGCATCAGAAGTATAATCCTGAAGTAACTGAATCTTTCATTAGAATTGCAATCTTGAAGTGGAAAGTTCTGAATCAGTAAGTGTTTACCAAAATGAGTCCCTTCTTGAGATTAAAAGTTCTACTGAACACAAAAAGATTCTCAAAAATGCATGCTCAATTAATGCAGATCAAAATTCTATCCCGAAGATGTCTATCTTCTCCAGAGTACAATTATTGCCAAGTCATTTGGAAGTGGATGTACTAACTTTAAATATCATGATATAGCATGTGTTCATTATTCAGATATAAAACAACAACATAAACAAGAATCAACGATCAAAGGCATAGTGAAGCCAGACACGCACCATAATTTAGAGATGCACACATGTTGCACTGCCATTGTCGACCACCGTCCATGAAGGTAATGTAGGGATTCATGTATGCACCACATATTTTACAACAGAGGATGCTAGTTGTCAGAAGCTGGACTATGGCCGCCTCCTGGATGAATAACACAAAAGAGAAAACCACAGAGAATTAATTCTTGAAGAAAATATTTTGCAGCTTATTCAGAGTCGTCAGTAAAAATGTATCACCTCGTGTGGAGCTTCAGAAAGAGGACAAATAACTGCTCCAAGAGGGAAGTGCCATCTTGAGGCCAAATCATGGGAGTTTGGCATAGCATAAGTTGTAAGCCGCAAATATCTTGATTTGCAATTCATGGGGTACAACTCAGCCAAAGAAGTTGGCTCCACATCACCTTCCAATGGTCTTGGTAAGGCTCCAATATCAATTCCATGGTTGTTTGACCCAGGAGCAGACATAACTGAGAGAGCATTGAAGTCTTCAACCATGCCATCAACAGCAGCACCAATTGGAGGTAAAGAATCTGTTTGTTGTATTTTGTTCCTTGAATATGAACTTGGATATGCAGGTATTGGCAAAGGCGGCAGATATCTGTTTTGCATATTAGGAAAAGGAGCAGGAGCTGTTGATCTTGGAGAAGTAAAACCAGCTTGATATGGGAAAAAAGGAGCAGGCAATGCTGTAGGTTCGGAATGTTTAAATGCACATCCCTCCATGCCGCTAAAGGATGAGAAATTTGGCTGCCTAGGAGCTAATGGATTATAAGTCGATTCCATTGGAGGGGAAGATGACTTGAGCTTCTGTAGCATAGAAGAACAGGATGAAACCAAAGAAGACCAACGGCTGAGAGTTTTCTCTGACGAAATATCTGTGCTTTGTGGCTGTCTAACCGAAGGCTTAAAGAATCTCTGATCCACAGATGAGAACCATGGAGGAGGTACTTGAACTATAAAGGGTGGCTGTGGCTGCACTGGGAAAGTAGTTGGTGGTACACTACACAGAGATTGAGGTGGCACTTTATCAAAATAGGGGAGCCGAGGCCGCTCAGGGGTAGCAGTTTGCGGAGCACCAGATGAAGATTGGGGTGGCATACATTCACCTCTACCTAGCATAACAGGCCTAAAACTAGGATGGATTTGTCCAACCAGAGGTGTAGGTTGTGAGCAAGAACTTAACATAGTGGTAGCAGTTTGTGGAGCTCCAGATAAAGGTTGGGGTGGCATAGATTCCCCTCTACCAAGCAGAACAGGCCTAAACCTAGGATGGATTTGACCAACCAGAGGTGTCAACTTTGAGGAAGAACTTGACACAGTGGTAGCAGTTTGTGGAGCTCCAAATAAAGGTTGAGGTGGCACAGATTCACCTCTACCTTGCAGAATAGGCCTAGAACCAGGATGTATTTGTCCAACTGTATATTGTGAGCAAGAACTTGGCGCAGGAGTAAAACTGTTAGAATCTGGTTGTTCCTGAGGGCCGCCTGATGTAGGTGGCTTTACACTAGCCGAAACATGCATGGGAGGTTGAACAGGCCTCATTGGTCTAGTTGCTTGGTTAGGATTTTCACTAGCCATTGTTTCATATACAGAGCATTATCAAACTCATGCGGACTACTCTGCCAGAACACAAAGCATTACTCATTATGAATCTACAGAGGCAGCCAGTACATGCAGCTCAACCAACAAGAGGTAAAACAAAGGACGACAAAGATAAAGTTACTGATAATGAATTTCCAGTTATATAAAACAATTCACCAGAAATCAAGCATTAAGTAAAGAAAAGCTATAAAATCATCATTAATCCAGATAATGATTGGTCGTGAAACTGGAAAATGATAATGTACTGACAGTTTTCGCAGTAGTCAATGTCAACTTCTATTATTAATTGAGAGAAGTGAGTAGTTATAATGGAAGCATAAGCGTTATCTAGCTTTCAATACGCCTAATTTCCTTCTTAACCGAGAATTTTTATTCCAGATGTCAATAAAAGCTAGCTTTAACTATCAGCCTATGTTATCACAAAAAAGGAAAAGAAGTGCTAACAAGCTTAACATAAAGAGCAAAAGGACAGACCAAAACCTAACGAACTAGCAAATTGCAATTCACCGCATAGATGACGAACTCGAGTAAATAAATAAATTGAAAAATTACTGCAAAAACAAGTGGAATCAGCTCTGCAAGGAGATCATACTCAACTTATAAAACCACAGGTGGTCGGAAGTAGTGAAATCTACGGTAGGGGGGAAAAAACCTAAAAAGAAAATATGCAACTCACAACCGGAACTCGACTAAATTCGAAATTCGAAATCACTGTGTGCGGGCCATGCAATTGAACTTCAGCACGTACAAAAGGAACGAAAATCACAAAATGCAGAGAACGAAGTAATGAGATACTATAGAAGCAAACGATTTACCGATGCGATTCCGTTTTCGAAACGAAGGAGCACAGACGACAGAAACGGCGCCGATCAACCGGAAGGAAAAGCCGAACCAGAGTAGTAAGGGAGCTAGTAAGCCTGAAAACTAAAATGCTAGAGAATAAAAGGTTTTCCGAAAGGAAAATCTCAGCGCGGTACTCGTTTACATGACGCGCGAACCGCTTTCTGTGTAAATTCCTCGCAGCTTCTGCAAAACGTGAATTTGGAAGGTGTGTGTGTATGTGTGTGTGTGTGAGTCGGTTCAGACTGTAGGGTGGGGGAGTTGGAAATTTGGAGTAGAGCTCTTAATAAAGTGTACGGATATGAGGTCCACAGAAGGTCAAAGTGGTCAAATGAGGCTCTATATGGAAATGCTGTAGACTTTATAGTGCATGTCTTTCGGAGAGAAGATGTCTAGCAGGAGAGTGTGTGGGCTGGACTGGTATGGATAAAATGGTTTAGTAAAAGGCCCATATAATCCCTCTTTAGGCCCTCAGAGAGTATCTAAAGCAATTAGAAGAACCTCACCCAATAGAGGGACTCATATCGTTGCATTTGTGTCCATAACAGCAAATCATCTGCAAATGTCATTATGAACCATATGTATTTGTAATTTTGTATTCTTCACAGTAATACAGTAATTTTATTTTTTTTTTATTTTTGGATGGACTATATGAATCAAATATGGTCATCGTTTTCGATCATTTGAATTTATTAATGTCAGTCATTTGGTGTCCTATAGGTATTCGCTAATTTAGGCCCCCTAAATTTAGTCAATGCTATCTCATTTACGAAATATGGCCAATGTTATCCTGCACTAGTATTGAATCTTCTTTTAGTTCTAAACTTTATATATAAACAATTTTATTTAATCTTCTTACCCTGGTTCATAAAAATTCCCCCACCCCCCTCTTTTTTGCTTCTGTTCTTTTTTTGAATAATAAACTCGAAATTCTAACCAAAGATACTTTGGCCGTAAAAAAAATTTTTTTCCCGCCCAATATGACTGAATTGACTACATTTAAGTAGGTTGGGATTAAATTAGTGAATTATTGTAGGATGGGACTATATTGTAATCCGGCGTAAAAGTTGAAACCAAAACGTCAATTTCCCTAGTATACATTGGGATTTTTGTGACAAAATTACAAACTTTAAAGGAATTGCAAATTCCAACAACTAATTTCACTCATCCTTCATAAATTCAATTGATCAAGGAAATGTAAATAAACAGCTTGAACTAAGGTAAATGAGTTGTAAATGAACACGAGAAATCTTTCCAAAATTGGAATTTGATTCTAACTTATTACTTGTAACACTGTTCCATATTCGTACTCCCTCCGGTCCTTAATATAAAGCATTTTGATTTGTCTTAAGATTAACTTAGTACGCACTTCTAATTGATAAAAAACCTTAAAAATATTTCATAACAATCTAGAAAACACAACGAATATAAAAATATGTTTTTAAGGTTTTTTCGTCAATTAAAAATGCGTACTAGGTGAAACCTAAGACAAATCAAAATGTATTATATTAAAAATCGGAAGGAGTATATTAGTTCAAGTCTTCAAGATAAACAGTCAAACGAAAAAATAAATTAGAAACAAAACTTTTAAATTAAACAATCATTTAAACACGTGAATTGTAGTAAATGAAAGGAAACAATGGCAAAAGAAAGAGAGATAAAAACACTACTCCAAAGGTTTTCGTCCCTCAACGCACTGCTTCTTTTGAGACTAAAATGTGTGGCAGCACTTTGAAATTAATGAAAAAAAAGGGACCAATCCGTTAAGACTTTTTATTCCATTTCTTTGTGAATTCCCAATTGTATGTTGTTGGCAATGGCATTATTAACATGATGACTAATTCATAAGTTAAGTACCCTTTCCATCTCAAACAATGCAATTCATAGTCACAATTTGGTCAGAAAACGGTCATCCGTCATCGTATGTTTAAGAAGGAAAACGAAAAACTAAAAAGAACTAGCATAAATTGTTCTCCCTTACTATTGAAGTTATTTCTGATTCCATCAGAAAAAGCAATTCTTGAAAAATCCTCTTTAGTTATTCGATTTATAGAGACCCACAGGCACTAAATTGTACTACTAGTAAGTAGTAACTATTGCCATTACCCCATTAATTGTAAGATTGTGACAGCTTCTCAGCCCAATGCATATTTATCAAGTGTGGGGAGAAAGAAAAAAAAAAATCAAATGTGAAAACAAACAAGATTTTTGTAAATTTAATTAATTAAAAGTGTGGGAAAAGACGTGCACTGATGAGAGTGAAGAGTGTAGCTGTGAAAAGCTCTCTTTCGATCTATTTCTTTCCCTCCCCCCTCTGGCTGCCTCGGCTTGGATTCTGTTATCAAAAAATAAAATAAAAAATATCCCATGATATCTTTGTCTTAGTCCTTAGCACTAGTTGCTTTTAACAAAATTAAACTAATGCTCCTGCTTTACTAATTGGAGCTAAGAAATTGATAACTGATTAGGGGAGAAATATTCCCATAAACCCTGTTGCTACTTTGTCTTGTTCATACTCCCTTTTTGTGCTTCTTTTGTTGGGTTCTATAGTTCACTCCAACTTGCATCTTCCTTCCATCTAACCCTTCAAAGACCCCAGATTTATGTGACAACCCTTTCCATTTTTCCCATTTCTGAGCTGCAGAAGAAGATTTCGTGGCTTTAGAGAATTTGGAGGGAGTGGTGGAAGAATGAGGGGACCTCTTGGGCCAGTTATTGGAAGGTATCCTTCAAGTGATGGGAATGCTCAAATGGGAGGTGGAATCATAAAGCACAACAGGAAATGTAGGGATGTTGTGTTTCTTCTTGTCTTCATTGCTTTCTGGGTAGCAATGATTGTTAACTCAAGCTTTGGATTCAACCAAGGGAACCCTTTAAGGTGAAAAGGCCCAAAGCTGTCAACTTTCTTCTTCTTTTTTCTGCTTCTTTTCCTCAATTCGTTGATAGAGAAGTATAAAAAGTTCCTCATTATGTCCCTCGTCTCTGCACTTTGATCTGTTTGTGGTTCATAAATTTTTGGTGTAAAAGTGTGTTTGTTGAGTGGCGCTTTTGGTACTTCGGGTCTCCTTGCAGGTCTCATGAATTCTTTGTTGTTTAGTTCTTCTGAATAGATTGTTTCGGGGCTATGGACATTGAGTTTTTATTAGAATTCAGTGATAACAGAGTTCTGGTATGGTTCCAAGTTACCTATCCAGATGCGGGGTAATTTGGATTTCCAGCCAAAGAGCTATTGGGTGTCTGGGTGGAGCAATCCTACAGAATAGCTTTAGCAAACCTGACAACTTTCTTCTTGTTCGTATTACTTCCATTGGGAGTGTGATAAAGTTTGTATGCTCAAGTTGGTGAAAGAAACCAGTCTAAGTGACTTTAACTCCAAAATGGTTGTTCATTTAGATTTCACTATTCATATGTTTTGTATTTTATTCATGCAATGTGAAGTTCGTGGATGTAGTTTTCTCACATAGCTCAGCTTCCTTGCCTGTAAAAATCAATTTAAGTGTTTTTGAGCCCAATGTGCAGTTTGCTCAAGATTGTAAAACATATGTTTGAATCTGACAGGCTAAACTATGGACTGGATTATAAGGGCAATGTGTGTGGTGACAGACATGCAGATCCAAACCTTCGGGAACTGGAACTTACATATTGGTTAAATCCTAACCAGGTTTACCAAAGTGGTTTGAAGGACAGCCATGTAAACTTTGAATATGCTAGGCGTATATGTTTGATGGATTGCCCCATTCCGTCCGAAGATTCGCTGAACTGGGTCTGTGACTACCCAGAGGGTGATGTTAAACTCTCAGTTGATGACTGGATTGACAGAAATTATGATTACTTTGCAGACCTTACTCCTGAGCTGAGAAACAATTCTCTGCAACTTTTGGGTCCATGTTATCCAGTCATTTTTCCTAGCGTTAATGGTAAGTGAAGCTTGAGATTTTGTGCAACGAGGAGTGATAGCAAATCTAAAACAAACAATTTAATATTTCTGCCTGAAGTATTATATTTTCTGCAACTATTTTTCACCTGTAAATGTGAAGTTGGATGAAAGAAAAACTCTTGATAAGATTTCATCTCTTGTTCCATTGTGCAGTTTATTGGAGTTGCCAGTTTATTGCTCGAGCTTCCAATGTATCAATGCGTCATTGGCAGCAGATGGGTGGGGTGAACATTGTTGATGACATTGGAATTGACAAGTCAATTCATAGAGCCATCAACTCTCGATCAGCAGTTTTGAAGGTGGTGGATTTTTCTTTCCTTTTCTATGTGCTTTTCGAATAACTTGGACAGCGCAATGCATTTAGTTAGATAATTGTTCCTATTCTTCTTTTGACGAAGATTGTGATTTTTACTTCTTTTTTTTTTCCCCCTTTTTGAGTTGCAGAGATACGTTGCTGATGTTGGGAAGTCATGGCCAGTTTTGATTGTTTGTGGGGGAATTGTGCCTCTGTTCCTGTCAATTATATGGCTTTTGATGATTCGTCACTTTGTTGTGGGAATGCCATGGGTTACTGTTATTCTCTTCAACATCCTTGTTATTTCTGTCACAATGTTCTACTACTTGAAAGGTGTGTATTCTACTAACTTGAAGCTTTGCTGACACTATGCCTCAGTTCAATTGAATTTGTGACTGATTCTTCCTTTTTCATTACTGAACGTGGGTAAGTGGTCTCGGTTCTGGGATTCAGGTGAGCCATTTGCCTGATTAGTTTCGGCATTGGCGAGTGCAACAAAAATGGTTATCCCCCGAGCATTTTATGTTTGCTCAATTTTCCTCGTGTTACAACCCAAGGGACAATGAGCTGAAAACATAATTTTATTGCTTGAGAGACTCATATGTAATCATTTTTTTGTTTTTTTAAACTTATTCTCTTTATTTTTCGGGGAGTTTCTTTAAGTTCGCCACAAAATTTTCTATAGGGCATTCTGTGCGTGTTTAAATAAACAGAAGCTGTTTCTCAAATCTTTGGGGGAAAAGTTATCACTTTTCAGTTTATCCAGCTAGTCAAAACCTTTTCTTATCATAAGTTTTGAAATGAATCAGAAATGAGATATCTGAGGGTTGATACTTGTGAGACTGTTCTTTCTTAAAGCAAAAACAGGGTTCTAATATTGCTCTATCATGCTTTCAGCGGGCTGGATTGGAAATGATGCCGTCACACCCATCATCGGTGAACATGATCCATATTATCACGTATCTGCAAGGGTATATCTTTATCAAAACCTAACCTTTCATAAGTTGCAGCGGTTGGATCTCTGTTTGATTGTTAAAGGTCACGACTTTGTGCAGGAATTAAGTCATCTGCATGCTGCTGCTGTTTTGATGACTGTTGTTATGATTGTTGCTTTTCTATCATCTATTGCTATAGTCCGACGAATCCTTATGGCTACGTCGGTCCTTAAGGCAAGTAACTATCACTGGCAGCTTTGTTTACCTTGTACATTTGGTATCTTTGTTGTGAAGGTGCCTTTAGTAGCTATCTGGTATATGCTTGTTTCATGGTCGAAGGTGTCATTAGAATCTTGATATCAATGCGATTGTTATTATTTGACTAATTGCTTAGTTTATTGCAATACCTGATGCATCAGCACAAATTTTCTTTTCCATAGCATTTGAAATTTTTAATGTACACATTTCCTATTGTGCATGATATGATGAAGTTACCAATAAGTTTGAAGGGAAGTCCAAGCCTCCGCATTTGTTTTTTTGTCACTTAAAGTTAGCTGCCTTTGTTGATTTAATTTGTGCAATTTCAGGTTGCCGCAAAAGTCATTGGGGAGGTCCAAGCGCTCATAATTTTTCCAGTCATTCCATATGCCCTTCTTGCAATATTTTACATGTTCTGGTTGTCAGCTGCCCTCCATCTTTTTAGTTCTGGAAGGATTGTCCAGAATTCCTGCAGTGAGAATTGTTGTGCCTATGATCTGAAATCAAAGAGAATGATTTGTGATAATTGTTGTGGCTATAGCATACGCTATACTCCTCACCTAACTGCTGCAATCCTTTTCCACCTGTTTGGTTGCTACTGGGCGACTCAGTTTTTTGTTTCTGCCTCCTCAACTGTGATAGCTGGCTCTGTTGCTTCTTACTATTGGGCTCGGGGTGATGGACCGGTAGGTACAATTCTTTGAATAAGATAACCACTATTTGCATCTTTTTGCACAAAATGAATATTCCTTCTTTCCCGACTTCATATGGTTTGCCGCGGTTTTTGCCACAACCATAGAAGCTAAACATATCTCGTGCTGAGTTGACCCTGTGCTTTGAGATCAGACTTCGAAAAATGATTTTGTTGTTGATAAAGCTGAAACTTGAAAATGTCATTTGAGCATATAAATGCTGCAAGCTATTAACTTCCTAGCATGCAGCACACGGCTGTGCCTATCAACTGCTATTTCTTTTTTAATCAATGTTAGAAATTCCACCTTATAAGGATTTCGTAAGTTTATTTTGTGCTATGTGCTACTGGATCATTTTAGTGGATAAAGTCACCATCCCTGTCATAATTTTTTTTCCCCTTTTTATATTGTTGTGTTATCTCTCAAGACATTTCAAGATCTACAGAAGTAATTTTCTTTCAGGCTTTACCATAGCATCATCATGAAATCATATCACTGAGAACAATTTCATGAAATGAGTCCTTTTTTTCTTTGCTTTTGCAGCAGGAGATCCCATTTCTGCCAGTTTTTGCCTCGATGAAGCGACTTATTCGTTACAGCCTGGGATCAGTTGCCCTTGGTTCCCTGATTGTCTCATTTGTTGAGTCAATCAGGTTTATACTTGAAGCTCTTCGTCGCAAGCTTAAGGTTGCAAATTCTATGCCTGATAGCTGGTTTGGGAGGATGATGTTTCATTCTTCCCAGTTTTTCTTGAAATGTATTGGGTGGACCATTAAATCTGTGAACCATAATGCATACATAATGGTAAGTTTTGTAACATTTTTCCCTAAGCTCCTTAAAGCCATCATAACTGGTACCATGTGCATGCGCATAATCTTCCTGTTCTCTTTTGCTCATTATTTTGCATTTGTTGAAGATTGCCATAACAGGGAAAGGCTTCTTTAAAGCTTCAGAGATTGCAACTGAGTTGATCATGAGTAACATTCTTCGAATAGGGAAAGTGAATGTTATTGGAGACGTTATCCTTTTTCTCGGGAAGCTGTGTGTCAGTCTAACAAGTGCACTTTTCGCCTTTCTCATGTTGGATACTCACAAATACAAATCTGGGCATAATAAGATTTCATCTCCTATATTTCCTGTACTGGTAAGTCCAGTTATCTTTTCTCCTATTATCATTATGTTGCCTAACTTGTTTCAAGTTAAATTAGTACCCCTAAACTTTTACATTAGGTTTCAAAACAAACTTGTGATCATATTTCTCTCTTCCATGTTCATGTTCTGTGTTATTTGCGCAGGCATGTTGGAGTCTAGGGTATGTAGTCGCCACCCTTTTCTTTGCAGTCGTTGAAATGTCAATCGATACCATTATCCTATCATTCTGCCAAGACTCTGAAGAGCATCAAGGAACTGCTCAGTATGCACCTCCTCTTCTAATTGAGACTTTGGGTGATCAAAATGAGATGCAAAGACTTACTCAATGACCTAACATATTTAGCGCCTGTCCAGTAGCTTATTGAAATACATCATTCCAATATATATATAAATATATAGTTTTGGCCTTATTTTGTGGAGTCCCTTTTGGTTTTTAACTCATTCTCTGTAGGGTTTGGTTTTTACATAAAATGGACTCTCTATATATGAGTAAACAACATCACCCAGAAATGAAAAAATGTACGACTATTATACAAAAGTAGCGGAGGAAAAACCCTACACATTCATAATGCAAGTAGGCAACAAATTCCAAGAAGCATTAAAAATAATCAAACTCAAGGGCCGGAGTATACCAAAGCGATGCTTAAAAACCGAATTTGCCACCTAAGCCTTTTTCTTTGTTTTACTAAACGATTCACCCAGTGAAGGGTGAAACCCATCTTTTTATGGGGGAGTTTGTACAAGAATTATGAAGGAACACATCCATGCTTGCCCTTCCCTATGAATTCCAAGGTTGAACAGAAAAAGCTATCAGGATTTTCAGTACTAATTTCTCAAAATGCTCTTGGCAGCTGAGTTTCATTTCTGTTTACATACACAGTGGTGAATGATTTGCTAATATGACACTCTGATTGTTAGCGAAGCTCAGTTTTTTGGGATCAATCCGGTCTATCGCGATGACATATACCCACCCATTCTCTTCCTCGGCCCACATAATGCCCTCTTTTGTCAGAAGCCTCGTGATCTGCAACATGGATATCAGAAGTTATAATTGTGAACTCCAGAGTAAATAAGGTCAATGAAGTAGAATTTGAGATGAATCTTGGCCTATGAGAGACGAAAACAGAAAATTATAGCAATGATCATTGGTCTCTGCTACTGCATGATTCGCTAATAACCAAAGGTTATTAACAGCATTCAGTAAACATATGCATTGGGTATGAACCAGGAAGTACAAAGTGCAAACCAAGGTCCTATTTCGTTAATATAGTAAGAAAAGAGGAAAGAAAGAAGAAGAAAACAAAAATAAAAAAAACAAAACAGTACAACACATAGTACCATCTTTAAAAGGAATCATACCCGGCGCTTTCTAGAGCCATCCTTAGCACTTTCCTCGTCTCTCCCCAGACGTACCTTGAGATGTGTAAAACCTAATTGAGGAGAAAGAAGATCAGCCAGTTCACTTCTAAGTAACTACTCCCAGCGCTCCAAAAAATAAAAAACTTTTAAGTAACTCAAACTACGATGTCAGCGAATTTTTTATTTTTATTTTTATTTTTTTTGAAATGGCAGAGAAATTTATTGGTTGAAGAGAAATAACTCACCTGGAACGCCGGAAAGAGAAGTCAATTGAACTTTCAGACAGTGTACGGCTTCTTTAGGTTCAAAATCAAGCAAATCAACATATATCTCTTCCTCATCATTGCTGCACAAGATACTGGGAGTCACTGGATGGAATTCACTTGAATAATTTGAATGGTTGTCTTAAACTCATTTCTAACCTTTCAAAAAGCTTTATGGCAGATTTTTCATCTGCCTCTCGTGCCTTCTTCATAAAGAAATGACCCTAAAACCATGCCCACAATTAGCATAAGTAAATGATGAAATAAAACATGGGCAAGTATACTATACCATTACTGGAGACATTGGATCTCAGTAGGTTGAAACTTATTTTCTAAAAGTTTCCCAACCTAATGACAAAAAAAACCTTGAAAAGATATGCCACTCAAGTTACCATGAGTAAAGCACCACCCTTGTTTAAATAAAAGCAATACAAAAAAGTTAAAAGATAAGAAGTACCTCTTCCATCAGTTTTTGAGCTTTCTCGTGATCTTGATTGGCAAATGCATCAGCAGCCTGTCAGAACAACTAATCTGATCAACATTGATACAGACTCAGATAAAGCATCACATAGAATCTAATTATAAAATTGAAGAAAATAAAGCAATAAAGCTAAGTCTGTGATTGGTTCATAATGATAGGAAAAGGATGATACTGACAGCTTTATAGTACTCTTTCATAACACGCCAGTACTCCGTCACTGCTTTTCGTAAACCATCATAGCTATCCTCACCCTCCTCATCTAGAATTGTCACGATGAATACAAAATTTTTCATAAGCATGAACTAACTCGGTAAAACCAAAATGTCTCAAAATTAGCTTGAAGGAGCATACCATTCACATTAACTCGCTTTCTTCTGATGACAGAACGATGTTCTATTATTGTCTCATTCAGAGGCTTCTCAACCACCTTCCCATATGCTGAAGATGTCCTGACAATTCTCCTTGGGAAATAATCCTTATCTTCTTCCTCAGGTCTTACAGAATAATTAAATAATGCCTCTAAAACTTCTTTCTCAAGATCACTCTTTTTTGTGTCAGAAAGTGGCCTGATGTTTCCAGTAATAAGATTATTAGTATTCAAAATACAGATGAAAAAGAAAGAATGGAAAACAAGACCACCTAGTCACATAAGCAAAAAGGACTTAAACATCAAAAGGTTGGGTTAACTGTTGGCACTGGTACATGAAATAATAAAATGAACTAGGGCTGGTCTTACAAGAAAGATATAGAGGTAGTCAACACCGAAGTACTACCTTTCATAGTGTAATAAATCAAAAGAATCTACAATTGCATCTTACCTTCCAGAAGAAGAATGATGGATGGGAGATTCAGGCTGTACAAGCCCCATATTAGGATTCTTGTTCATTAGCTGCTGCAGAAAAGTTAAGGAAACAGTTTAACATAAAGGCATACCATGGTACGAAGCTGAACTAGTTTTCTCGTGAGAAGCTCATTTTGAAAGAGTTTTCAGATACACAAAATGTAACCACAACAACCCATTTTTTATCCCACAGTTGAGCTTTATGAATTATGATAATTAATCGCCATGTTTCTCTGTCAGATACATAAGATGGTTAAAACATTTTTTCTTTTCCTTCAAAGGGAGGATTGGGAAAAAAGAAACGATAGAATAGTTTTAACTTTTCAAAATCCAATCTTTTCTTTTCTTTCATTGGGCATATGTCACAATAAAACAAAAGGCAATATGTATGCACAATCCGTGGGAAACATACTCTTCCAACAGGTGCTTCAAGAATATCATCACTTTTCCCCAACTTCGACGCAGACAAGTACAGAAGTTTGTCCATGCTCTGCAAATTAAACATAGCAAAAGCAACAGTTGTAATCCTTGTAAATCATTCTCATGGAATTATGAGTGTTAGGGATCTCATAGTGATGGGAAACAGGGGACTAACTAAAAGCAGACAAAATAGGCAAACGACAGAGTCTCTGAAAGCTTCAAAAGCTTAAATTTTATTTTATATAAATCAGAGAAAACGTGAATAACAATTAACAAAAGCTCCAGAACTTCTCTATTTCTATTCTGATAATCCTAATCATAATAGACTTACTAATTACCAAAACTCAGTACTAAAACTGACGTTAAATAAAACACTTAATTAAAAGGAAACTACTTAAAATAATATAATTAAATATAAAGCTATTTCTTTGAGTCTTCCTGCATCACATATAAAGTTGCACCTTTAAACATCCAATAAGTACATACATAACTGAAATAAACAATATCTTAAATAGTCAGCTGGTTTCTGACGCCAGGATACTCTACATGGTTGAGAACTAGATTCGGTAACATTCTAAAGAGGGGCCAAAACTGCTTTCAACCAATAAGCAACAGGTACTCAAACATGCAAGGGAAACAAGTGCTCATCAATAAAACTGTATGCCATCCTACTTAGACGAGAAGGGTAAGTGGGAAGGCACCAGTCAACAATGACAAGATGCCTTCAGACAGATAAGGATATGTCAATCCTTGAGGCAAGCAAAATAAAAGCCAATAGCACCAGAGGCAATATACTCAAACAAAGAAACTTATAAAATATGAATGCGAGGAACCAGAATAATTACTGCAATTTACACATTCTTTTTTGCATAAAACACCCATATAGAACCTAAAATTTCATGCATGATAAATAGGTGAGACTGGAAAATGAGATGAACTGAATACGCAAGGAATTGTAGAAGTGAAATTGGTGGAAAGAACCAACCAAAATTAGTAACTTCAATGTGAATACCAGACTAATTTTTACAAGAGAACTTGAAGATACTTCCGTTTAAAGGTGAACATGTATCAACACATAAATCCTTTCTGTTCATACATTAAAAAAAAGGGATAAAAACTAAATATAGGTAGACTCCTAGCACAAAAAGAATATTCCAGAAAGTGAAAACCATGCAATAGTCTAACCTCAAAATTAGATGAATCTATATGACAATTTGAAGAGTGATCACTAAAAGATAAAAGTATCAACACATACTATCAATACCCTATAGAAACAATTAAACCTTTTTCTGGTTCATACACTCTGGCAAAAGTGCAAGAACTTCTGGCGAAGAGAATTCTTGACAAACGTACACACACACAGGGTTTATCAGACACCACCTGATACTCTTTTATCTTTATCAACAGTTAACAACAGTAGATGCTAAAACAGTTGCAATTACCTTTGTCACATCATAACCGCATTGCCCTGCATATTCAAACAACAGCAGATCAGATACAGACTGGCTTGACTTCAATAACAAAACATGATACCCAAATACACATTATCTGTTGATGAGTCCAGCAATCATTCAAATGAAAAAATCATAGGTGAGACTCAGTACATGAGAGCGTCTCAATCAGATTGTGGACAAGAAAATGGTAATTACCAACAATATCTTGAATGACGCTCTTGTCCAGAGAAAAGCCTTCACCGAGCATTTGAAAAAGGAATTCCTCAATATCCTGATGCATGGTGTCACCATTTGAGATAGGGATTTGAAAATCTTTCTCACTCCATAATTCAGAAACAGGGAAATCATCTGCATTCAATTTCAATGGCTTCTGTTTGAAAGATCCATTACTTGAAACCTTGGGTTTAGCATAAGATTTTCCAATAACACCAGAAACAGTTCCCACGGAAGCCGAACACTTTTTCGGCTTAGACTTAGTAGCTTCAGAAAGCTCCAAGGAGTTGTCAGATGAGGATGCTGAAGACGTACTTGTGGACTCCAAATCCTCCTCTAACAGGTTGGAAGATTTAGATGTGTTTCTTTGCAAACTACAGAGGATATTACCCGCACTGTAAATGTCACGACCTGATTGACAGTAAGCAGACGCTATATCGTCAAGCGAAACCACAGCACCAAACATTTGAAGCAATAGCTCGAGATTTTTCTCATCAGCATCGCAGTATGAAAAGGTTGAAGGACGCGCATCAGATTCCATCCTTCACATGATGAAAATTAATTACTCAATAGATAGTCAAAAAGGGTTCTTCCACTTTTTTAAAAGACAGCAGTAGTTGACAACTTTATAATCTGTTATAGTTACATAGAACACAAAAATCAAATTTTACCACTAAATAGGTGAGCAGAAGGGCCGAGGTCATACATCAAAATGGAAACACAATGTTTTCTTTATCAAATTTGACACCAAATTTTACACTAATGCATATGCAAATTACCAAATATCACAAGTGCAATCCAGATTCAGCATCCATTTGAAGATGAATCATCATTCACCAACATTTCACCTCAAGAAGTGTAAGACCAGGCACACACACACACACACACAAAAAGAAGAAAAGAAAAGAAAAGAAAAAGAAAGAAAACTTAACAGATAAGATCAGCGGTCAACTCAAACTCAGAATCAACATAGGAGTAGTTCGTATATAACATCAAGAGATTAAAATCTTCACGGTTAGCAAGTTCATGGCAAGCAACCTCACACAATGAAATCAGAAATATGCCAATGCACCTAATTTCATGTAACCATACCGATTAAAGCATTACATGTTATGCCATAAAAGCTAACAAACAGAATTAAACATATTGAAAGAAGCAACTTTACCAAAATAAGCTATTTCCATAATTGAATTTCACAAACCCAAAAAAGGGATCGCCGGGGAAAGAAAGAAAAGACGCAATCTTTTTGCACTGAGAAAGAACAACACACGCGCACACACACAGAAAAATCACATTCCAAATGTACAGCGAGTTAAAGCGAACAGTTTTACGAGTTTATACTTTATATAGATTCCCCCTAGGCAGTGATCTTTGTAGATTGCATTTCCTCAATTCGAAACCAGAAATTAGATTTTAGAACAAAGATTGCTATGCGATTACTGAATGCAAGTGACAAAGAAGGGATTTTTTCTTTCTTTCTTACTGAATGCTAAGCTTTGGAGGGCCCCTTCTCACGCCTAATTGTATGATAGTGCGTGATTGTGTGTTCACTGTAAAGTCAATGTCCGTTTCTCCGCATGGTTATAGACTCTGGCCGGCCACTTCCCGGCGAACGAGACGGCAGAGACGTCAGACAATGACAATCGGAGACGAAATTCAGAAGAAAATTACAAAAGAAGGCAAAAAGTGTGGGGAAATAAATTTCAGGTATGCGGTACGAGGAAAACTAATAAAAGAAAGGCGTTATTTTTTCAAGCCACTACCTTTAATTTTTATTGTCATAAATTTTTAATTTAAATTATTTTATCCTTGTTATTTTTTCAAATTAAATAACTTGACTAGAGAGAAAATTAAAAAAAAAATAAAAATTAAAAAAAAAAACTGACCGGCCGTGCAATGAAACCGTCCCGAGTTAACTCGGTACAAGTTCATTGCTCGTCCCGAGTTAACTCGGGACAAGTTCATTGCTTGTCTTGAGTTAACTCGGGACGGGTTCATTGCATGGTAAACACGATTTACAACTTAAAAACTATTACTTCCTTTCGCCTCTCTTTTTCTAATTATATGAACACGCAGAGTGAAACCAAATTTTATAAGAATATATCGCTACGTCATTATATTGCAACGTTTGAAGAGACATTATATTGCAATGTTTGAAGAGCCAGCGTTAAATAATATTACTTTTTATAATTTAAAATTAGAAAGAAATATTAAAAGCGAATATTCTTCTCCGATTACATTTAAATTCCATTTTTTCGAGGAGGGAAGTGAAGTTTTTAAATAGTATTTACAGCAGTCATGTGATTATTTTCATAATTTAGTCACTTTTTTACTTTTTAGACCATTAGTATCCTCCTTAGTAAATTTTTACCATCAGAGAAAATTTAATAAGGGTTCGGGCAGGCCCTAACCGGGCCTTTTTTTTCCCGTATTTGTCAAGTTAATTTCAAAACTTAATTATTTCATCATATTTTTCACTTGAAAGCAGACTCTAATGCCCAATTATAGAATTGGGCCAACTTAGGGCCTCGGGAAAAGCCTATACCCAAATTGGGAAGAGTAAACGTTCGGAGAGTCCTCCGGCAGCTTTTACTACGTAGAAAACTTGTTTCCGACGATCTTCATCCATCATTTCCGGTAAGTTATTACTGAATTCGTCCATTTGTTCATGTTGGATTTGGTTCGCTTACTCTGGCTAGTACTCCATCATCTCCAATAGTGGTGACTCTTTTGGTCTGTAAAAAGGAGTATAGGGTGTTCTCTTTTAGTTTGCAAAATAGAATTTGTTTTCTTGGTGCTATAAAGTGGTGGATTACAGTTTTGATTCCGTTTTTATTTGGAACTTGCAGCTACTGAGAAGCTTTTTTTTTTTTTTTTTGGGTGTCTTTGGAATGCAAACTAAAAGCAATTTTCTTCCATTAGTTGTTTCCTGCTTCCACACCCGATCTTTTACTCAGCGTTTTATTTTATAGTTGAATCTTTGATTGGATATGATGCAGAACCAGGAAATGGAATAGTTGCTTTTGAAACTTTCAGTGGTTCTCACGTTGGTTTTTTCTCCTCGAGAGCCACAGAGATCACTCCTTCGAAAAGAGAAGAAAGAAAAGAAAGAGAAAAATAAAATGCTCATTCTTTTTTACTTGAACTTTAAGCATTGATAACTTGAATAGTTCTTAAGAACTTTTGTGTGAGTGCAACTTGAGTTGGGTAGATGCCTATCTAAGACTCCTCAGTCCATGTTGCATTGATTGGATCAGGTTAGAAGACGTCACAGTCGTTGTACTAACATTAGGGTTCAGATGGTGTAAAATTAGAGGATCATTAACTCATATGAAAAAGACCTAAAAAAATGTTTAGAATAGATGATTTGTTTGGACGTGAATAGGAATATGTGTTTTGATTGAACTCAACGATAAGATAGGGTCGTTCTCTTAAATTTTTGAGACTGTTGTTGTTTTTGCCATTGCATTGCTTTATTGTAGCCATAAGTCATGTGGGTAAACTAGTATCAGTTGTATATATTACTATGAGATTGAAGTTATTTTGCCCTTTCTTTCAACGTTTGGATATTTTCTTCTATTTTGGCCACTTTCGGTTCGCTTATTACTTATGATATTACAAATTCAATAAGTATCTCTAGCTGCTGCATTTCTTGGTTTATACTTCATAATAACCTTCACTCCTGTATGCAGATATGGGATTCGGGAACAGAGGGGTCATTAGCGATAAATGGTCTTCAAGAATTCTTTGGATAAGCGCAATTGGAACTGCAATTGGTATGGTTGTTCTCTAACATTTAGTTTTTTTCTGACTTAAAGAAGGATATAAGCATATTATTTGGTGGTTACTCTGAAATACTTTACCATCACTGAGGGCTCATGACCAGTCATTGTTGTTGATGGATGATTGTTATACAAATTTTGTAACACTCTTCACTGGTAATATGTGGATATTGTGGATTTGGTGAACAAAATGCTAGTGTAACAAAGAGTAAATTAACTATTGGTTGCCACGTGCCTTGTCGGTTCTTTCATGTACTATAGTTTATCTATAATAACTTGGTAAAATTTTACAGTTGAAGATTCGCGATTTAACTAACCCAGGGTTTTTGGAGAACAATTACTAGACCTTTAGAATGAATGATAGGATTTGTTCTCAACCTCAATTTTGTTCGCTTAGCTTAATTTTGGATGTCAAAGACTGAATAATCTTGATGGCTAAAATTTCATTGACTATTCAACTGTTATGAACTTGATTTGTAACTTAAAGTAACAATGTAGCTTAGCTCTGTGTGCATAAACCCTAAAATTCAATCATTTGACAAGTGATGCTGGTTTTTTAAGTTATCTACTCCCTTGGTATTGTTTTTATTGATTATTCTATTTTACAGGCTTTTATATGGTTGCTGTTGAAAGGCAAACTCAGAATAGGGCAAAGATGATGGCCGAAGCTTTGGGAGATGCAGGATCAGGTGGAGAGGAAACTGGATCATAACTTTTCCAGTTCCTCCATGTTCATAAGTTGTTTGAGTGATTCACTTTACAGTATTTTCGAGATAATTTAGTGAATTCAGATGCTTGGCTTGTCCCATTCTGGGCTGAGCTCTAGTTGAACTAGAATCTCCTTTAGTTGTTCTGCAGGCTCTGTGGTTTAAGAAATGGGCGCGCAATCAACTCTAAGAACGTTAACTGGGGATGCCTGCAACATGAAAGTAACATCGTTTGCTGTTCAAACCTCGTTTTAGTGTTCATGAAGTTTTTGCTAAGGTGCTCCTGTAAAGATAACTATGGATGGTTGTGAAGATCCACTATTTCAATCGGGGCCTCTTAATAATGAAATGAACGAACCATTACTTCCAGGCTCACAACATTTTGGTTACCTGTAAAAGATTGCCTCTCGTGCTATCAGATATACTTTTTCCCCCTTCTGTACAAGCTCTGAAAATTTGGCAGACACAATGTGCATGACTCCTCCTTAATGGATTGACAGATTAGCAGCATATTTTCAAGGAATCCCAAGATTGTGCTTCCTGAAACTCTGCAATCAGTTTACAAAGCTCCTTATAAATAGATGGAGCAAATTTGCATGGATGATCAATCCAGTTTGTTTATGAGAGGGGCAATGGCTTCAAAAGGCTGGTTCAGTGTGGGAATGTTATTTCTTAGCATCTTTTTCCATCTTGGCTCTGGTCATAGGCTCCTAAAAGAGCCCCATGCAAGCCACTTAGATCCTCCCCCTTCTCCCATTATGCACATTGGTGAAAACAGTTTTGCAACTTTACTGGCCTCAAACCCTGCCCTCAGAGAACACGTTCATCAACTCAGCTTGGCAGCAGCACTATCCCCAGCTGCTTCCCCCAGTAATCACATTCATGGGCACAATTCACCATCATCAGCACCATCACTATCCCCAGCCCTTTCCCCCAATTTGCACATTCCTGAAAATAGTTTGTCACTATCACAGGCTGTTTCTCCGCTCCCAAGGAAGCGCATGCAGGATGTTCATTTTGAGTCGACGGATTGGTTAGCTGAAGGAGCAAAGACCCCTAAAAGGAAACACCAGACGAAGCCAGTCAGGAAACCAAAGCATAAATCACGATCTCGTCGATCTGCCCATGATCTAACTAGCGAGCCGTGGTTCTTTGATTCATGGGAAAAGAAGACGGATAGTGAACATGACCTGCCTCACAACAAGCCAACTACCGATCAACAGCATGAGCATTTGGTACATAAACAAAGGGTCGATATGATTGGAGCGATGAAGTTGAACTCTCCATATGAAAAGGTGGCATCCTGAGAGCGTGTATGAAAGATCTCCATCGAGCATGAAAAATAATGTTTAAGAAGACTACCCCAGCAAATCAATATGTAGAAGTTAGTTCCTGCTTGATTTGTCCATCTCCTTCATGGCCAAAATGGAAAATTATATAAAAATATGGTAAATGTTGTGTACCTAAACTGTTTTGCAGCTTCTAAATCTCTTGAAAATCCATATATCACAGTTTTTTTTTATAAAAAAAACACGAATATCAAAGTTAATATGTTCCACTTCAAATCCAGGCATTATACATGACATAGTATGGGATTAGATATCTGAAGCTCATCTATGGATTAAGTTTAGCAATGTGTCTAAATGTAAGGTACTTGGTGAGATTCGAGATTCGATCAGAGGGGTGCTTGCGAAATAACCTATTCTTATTTGCAAATTTCACTACAACGTTTCAACATAGTAGATACTAGATATGTAAGTGGAAGTTACACCATTCCTTGATCTATAACTTATGTTACAACTAAACGCCTGCAAAAGTATTCACAGATATCTGAAGCTTGTGGTTTGATTTTGCCATAGCCGAGCTGCTCTGCATTCTATTCATTCATTCTTTCCTTAGTGGCGTTGAATTAGATCGGGTTAGAGTTTCTGGTATACGTCTAGGAGACATACTGGAAGAAATCGAAGCATACTGTCGAAGCAGAGGTGACGCAGGCCTGCTTGAAGTTTCATCAGAAACAGGAGATTGAGCACTTATTATGATAGTTGGAGGCTGTAACTCAATTTCAGTGATACCAGTTGGACCAGGCCGAGGACTATCGAGCAGCTGTTGATCATCATCATCAAGGGATGCCACTGTGCTTGTCTCAGTTCTTATGGTTGTTGAGTCATCATACAATCCATGCCTTCTCTTCCTTCTAGCTTCCTTGCCCCAACCATGTATCGTCTCACGTATCCGCTGTGGAATTATGGCTGCCTTGTAGTTTGAACCCATCTGGACAGCGAAACAGATTTCATGAAACATTAGGCTGCTTTTGCATCACCACAACCACACTATAGATGCTTTTAGTAGCGCATCATATTAATATCTTGAGTAGTACTGATTGAAAAGTACACACAATAAGATTTCAGGGGATTCCAGTCCCTGCAATTGTACCTGAGTTACGAGGGCATAAAGTGGCAAGGTGCTATAACTGCACAGAAACTGTCCAGCAAACCTGGTAGGAGAAGCAATGGGTCCACATTTTATAGTTGACAATAACAAAATGTGAGATAAACTAGGAACATGAGTAACAAGAGGTTTTCACATACCCCACAATTAGCCGAAGATACACAAGCATGTGCTTCTTTATAAAGCATGAATTATAACCAAATTGCCACTGTAAAGAAAATAAAGCTTCATTAGCATTAAACACAGAGCGCCATACATCTTTTTATTAATTAAAGCTTCATTAGCATTTAATATTATTACAGTGCGCCAAATATCTTTTTATTAAGTTAACAAGATTGGTAACTTGATCTTCTTCGTGTAACTTAAAACTAAATTGGCTGAAACTGCTGAGAAGATCAGAATCTATTGTTTCTCAGACCTCTTTCAAATTTTCTTTCATTGAAAGAGTAGTCAAGAACAATAACAAGAAGAGGAAACATTATGACCGGTAACTAGAAATTAGAGTCAACGAAACATTAAGAAAGGATCTAGCATGGAAAGTGAAATACCCAGAACCAGAAGAAAGAGGCCAGTTCAAACGCATTCTGCAAGATTAAAAATACACAAAGATGCACGTCAAAATCAGAAACAGGAAGTTGGAATTTGTTATCCATTTGTCTTAGAGATGAAGGCTTGAGAGTTGGACCACAACCCAGATTTGTGAAGATTGCTTACCTGGAACAGAATAAAGTGAATTAAAGACAACAAAAGCTGTGGCTTCTTGAACCAAAAAAGCTCGTCACGTGGCTTTAACTTGGATTCAGTCTGATATGAAGTTATTCCAGCACTCTCCAATGCCAAGGTTGCAATGATATGCTGCAATTTTGTGCCAACTAGAAGAACCAGCTGCATGACGGCAGAAGGAACAGGAAAAGGAAAAGAGAAATCAGAGGACTAGAATAGTTTAGGCCAAAGTAATGGCAAAAAGAAAACCGAGATTATGCCTGTGTTGTTTTACCCCTACTAACCCTATAGTGACGTTGAATCAAAGTCTAAAGTATTTCTCATCAAATACTTAAAAGCCTAACTTAGTATCATTTTCTCCCCTTTTACAGAACTAACTCTCCATGTAATAGTGAAAAGAAAACACAGTGAAGAAACCATAGATATCCCACTCTTGAGACAGTGATGGTCACCAAGCTAGAAGAACTTACAATAATCGGGATTAACGCAATCCAGAAATAAAGATTTGATCCTGCATTTCGAGAGTGCAAAAAATTAGTGTGTCATGAGTCAACAATTTACACCCAACAAGAAGGGTAGTCCCACAGAAAATTGGGATCTTTAACATGTACTGCAATTATATGAAGTACAAGAGTTTATCGAATGGATTTATGTTATGCTGGTGTACCTTTTACATTGAACAACATAAAAGCCACAACAAATCCCCAGAGAGGACCACTGCAAGAAATTTTACAAGAATATTAGAAAAACTGCTGTAGAAGATCTAATACAATGCTTTAACTTGCAACAATGATGATGCAACAAAATGCTAAATATATTTCCCCGTGTAACAAGCGGTGTTTTCTGTAGATAATTTCAGTTTATCAAAGATATTTTTGTTTAGACAATGCTCCGTGATTTGAGGCAAAACAAATGAAGAAGAAACTGGTAGTTCAAAAAGAACTGAAAATAACTTCTTTGATGAGGTGCCAAATATACAAGAAAGTCAAATGCAAAAGGCTAAAACTATTCAGTTAACCAGACGAGTTTGTGTTGGCTTATACACCAATAAGATGTGCAAGATCATGTGTATTGGGAACAGCTCAGCTCCAGATGACCATAAACCTTAAAGGAGATAATGATGGAAATGCAGTAAAGCGAAAATTTAGAAATTTGTTGCTCAAGCAGAATAATTCTTATGCGATTTCCTTTACCTGACACCAACTATCCTTTGAAATTCTTCCTCCATGGAACGAATCATATAGCTGTGAAAATCATAGGTTGAATTAAGGTTGTGTTTCTGCCATGAATAAGAAGGGAAAACATAAAATTAACACTAACTTATGGAAGCGTGATAAGCCATACACCAGTTATTCAGTGGGTGAAAAACAACCAAAGAATACAAATAACAATTCAGGAAGCTCTCAGGACCTTCTGATGGAAAGAGATTGTAAACCTTAAGGTCCGGAGAAGACATTAAACTTCCTAGAAAAACAGCTACATAACCAGGGAAAAACAATCTGTTCCACTGATGACATACCATGATAAACCCCTTCCGGAGTGTCAGATAATCGGCGCGGACCACTGAGCGCCCAAATTGACGGAAAAAACACGTCTGCAAAATGCAGATGAACAATAGTTCCCAAAGGACAATGAAATATAAGTCTTTGTGCTTGGCTATTATTCAAAAATTAAATAAGTCAGCATGGTTTAATGTGAGGATATCAACAACAGAAAGATGTTAATCAGAACTAATAAATGAATCCCATGCCCAATTGAAACATTTGGCCAAGTATGCTAAATGTACTAGTAGTTAATACATCAGCCTTCACGCCAAAACTTACTATGCTCAGAAGTAAAATTGAGAGTTGAAAACTACCGGTTTACAAGTATTGAAGAATGTTCGGTTGCATGAATATGTTAAAGAAAGAGCAGCTAACATACCACCCAAATTAGTAAACGATTTCTGGTCAAAGGATTTGAAGTATGGACTCTGACAAAAGTTGATTGTCTTCGCATTGTCATGGCTCGTGTGATTTCTGCGGAAGAACAATTTAGTTATTGAGTCTCCATACTGGTAGTCAACATAACTTCAATAAGTGAATTCTGAAGTTGAATTAGCAACAAATTCAATGAACATGTTTATCAATCACATGGTTTAAAATGTAAAAATGTCGGTAGTTGTGGCTTATATTGGTAATGATAGAAAGATGAACCACTAAGGATGCAACCTCTTCTTTGTGATGTTCTTTATTCAAAGTACAAATTTAGAGTGGCCAGACATTTACGCATAAAGAGAAAAGATTGATTCTCTCGTATTCTGCAGCAGCTTTGATGTCTATATTTTTGAGCATATACGAATGGCTGACTGGACAACTTTTAAGAGATATATCATACATGTGACCCGCTAGATATATGAACAATTTTCTTCCGATACTTGCCTGTGAGCGTATCGCATTGGACCCTATGAGCCTCATCCTCCCATCGCCTCCAACTGTGTATCTGCTCAGTTATTAAACATCAAAGGTTCAATGTATAACAAGTTAACAGCATAACATTGTAATAGTTTTTTTACAATGAAATAAGCAAGGTTTCAGTATTATCACAGCATTCAATCGAAACAACTTTTCACTCAACTAGCTACTCCTCTACACATCTCAAGCTTCTTCAAGTGTGCATCATAAACAACATATTCCCAGATTAATTCATTGAGTATAAAATCTGAATCAATTTGGTTTTTTAAATGACAAGAACCATGCTCAGGAATTAAAGTAACGATCCAGCAAAGAGGTTTCACACCTAGTATATTCTCTTTTTAAAATTCGGAAAGACATTGACAGAGCCAAAAATGGTAGAAAATACCTTTACAATTGCCAGCAACATTGTCAAGCAGCTGTAAGATATGTGTGTGATGGCCATGACAAAGATGAAGCGATGGAGTTGCTCAAGGCCTTCATACGAAAGGAAGGGTTCATGGTTCTGTGTAAGAGAAACAGATTTTTAAACCAAGTTCAAAAGCATTGCAGAGAAATGACTAATAGAAGTGCCCTGGATACAAAAGTTGCAGCCCAGATTGAAAATCTTTGACTTCCCTGCCCCTTCCAAAATGCTTAAGTATTCAATATTACGGCCTATTTTCAAAGGACAGTTTTTTTTTTTTTTTTTTAAAAGGTCCAAAGGACAGTTAAACATAAGTGAAAGGAAATTTTAAAAAATAAAGATTAGGTTCCAGGTTGAAACATAAACTCCGCAGCTTTTCACCCCAAGGCACTTTCAGATAATAGGATTTATACTAAACATTTAATTTTCAATTGGATAGTAACTTGCCTCTTTGCAGGTGTTCTGATTCATTGTATTCAACATTCTCCTATATGAGTGAGGAAGAAGAAAGTTTGCTAAAAGTTTACGGTGCATGCTCTTTTCCTTTTCTTCATCTACTTCACCTCTAGTGCATGGAGCAAATACACTGTCATAAAACTTTGAAGGGATGCAAATATTGGAGATAGTACTTGCTGTTGCAGTTAATAGGAGAGATATAAATCCAAGAAGCATCAACTCTGCATATGAAAATCTCAATCAAGATTGGAACTGTAGCAGGAAGCATGAAGAAACCAATACACTAGTTAATTATCTTCAGAGGTTGTTTCAAAGTATTAATGGAAAAGTACCTTCTTTCATTTTCTCCACAGCTGCAAGCAAAGGTTTCCGATTGGTCTTCCTCAACCACTGCGAAAACGGAATCCAAATGCTCATCAAAACAAATGCAATTATGGGAAATGAAACCTTATCCAATATTAAAGAAGAACAAGCACAGATCAGCGAAGGATAAACCAGAGAATCTGTTCTTGAAAACTACCAAATAAATTTATTTTCACATTTAACATCAACACTAACATGCTTCATGCCGAAAAGAGAATGACATTCTAAAATACTATGTCAAATATAACAGTCTGGTACAAATTATTTGATCATCTACATAAAAAAATTACATTGCTTGATTTCCTATAAGCGCCAAAATATAGAAGAGAACAATTGAAAGAGAATCGCAACAGAAATTGGAGACTAAAACAGCAATTTTCAGCAGAGTGCGAGAATAACAAGCAGTTTTACAATTCTTTTCACTAAGCATCAAGATTCAAGGGAAACAAATAAAAACGAATCTCCACAGACCACTCAAAATACGGAAATTTGGCAAGATGCACATGAAGCACCAAACAAAATGCAGTTTGGAGATTCATTTATAACTTACATGGCATAACCGGTGGATTGATCGCTCCACAAGCAGTGAAACGGCAACAAAGATGGTCAATACAGAAGCAACAGACCATGTTGGGGTCAGTGCTAGTGACCTTAATTCCTGCGGATCATTCGACATTCCTAAAGACTTGGAGTTTGACTCAGACATCCTTTTTTAAGTTGCTTCAGCTGGGCTTAACCTTCCAAGAAAGCCGCTTATATGTAGCTGTCTAGCTGCAATGCAATAATGGCCGTTTTTACCTCACAACCAAGTTCTATCCATGCTTGGCAATTGGCATAAACTTAAAAATCAGAAATTTTTTTACAATACAAACTCAACCCACATCATATCAGAATAGTTGAATCTTGATTATGCAATTTCCACGCCCCCAAAACATCCTGCTTTCCGTGAACAAAGGCGGAACTTTAAAATCAAGCCACTTTGTATTGTCCCCTTGTCAAAGTCACTCAATGTCGGTGTTTTCAGACTCCTAAGCTACCGCATTTGACTGAAAAGACTGAAACTTTGGTCCCACTTTTGACTTGCATAACCCCATCGGACAGCCAAACTGGTAAAAGTTTCCCCAGTGTAGAAAATTAGACTGAAATTCAGGGTATGAACTCCAAACTAAAACCCATTTCTGGGAAGAAAGTAAAGGTTTGAATAGGACAAATGAGCCAAAGAGAAAGGGTATCCTTAATGCAAAGGGAGAAAAAAAAAAAAAGGACCCTGTTTTGCTCAGTGGGATTAGACAGAACGTCAAGAGGGAATCTAGAATCAACCTCCAGAACACTATACGAAAGAAAGTATGTGATTTTAAGGTAATGGTAATGAAAAAAAATTCGGTGAAAAGTTAAATGCCCAAATGCATTGCACCTCTGACCTTCCCCAGATTCAAAGATTCAGAAATAAGGGTAATGAATTTCAATGATAAACAGAAACCTGCTTCTCTTTTTGAGGCACTGTAAAACAACCCTTTTGTCAAGTTTTTCCTTCCTTATTGTTGGGTGGTTTGATTTAAAAGGCCCAGGAGAGTAAAAGGCAGCTAAGCAAGCATGTCAATGGACTGAGCTGGATTTTTGAGCTGCACTTTGTATGAAGTTTCCTGGTCTGTGTTTTGGAGCTTAATAATAATTATGTTAATTTCTGGGTTTAAATTATTGTTGATTTGATTGATGGATGGTTTATTTACCGAAGAAACAGGGTCCGTGTTCTTCATTAATTTACACTTTTTGGGGGGATAATTTGGGTGACTCTCTCTCGTTTTTCGTGTAGTCCACCAATTAACCTTCACCAGGAAAGATTTTCATACAATGAACCCCAATGTGCTTCTTAATTTAATTAGTGATTTTATATTTTTATTTTTTTTTGACAGAATCAAGGCTTAGATAGTTTCAAAAATATACTGTACTACGAAGTATGAATACTACTACTAAATTTATTATCCCATTTTGATATACAGAAATTAGTATTTTTTCAAAATTAAAAAAAGAGAGTTATTTTGACAAAAGTACTGATATCACTAATTAATCTCTAATCATGTTGGGGTGGGAGGATTGGGTAAGGTGGTTAGAGAATTAGAATGAGAATGGTTATTACCAATAAGTCGAGGGTTCGATTCTTGTTAGGGTTTTAAAAAAAAAAAAAAAAAGTCTCTAGCCATGTTTGTTTGTGACTTTATGCTTCATTTTTAAAAGAGGGTAAACTATGTAGTGTTTTAAATTCGAGCCAGTGCATAAATGCCTAATTGTTTTTTATATATAGATTTTTGCTATATATATATATATATATATATATATATATATATATATATATATATAGAACTAACCGGGTCAGATGATAGCTCAACAAATTAATAAGAATTTGTTTGGTACATGCAAAAGAAAATTAAATATGACAACCATTTTGAGATAGAAATAGTAAATATTTCTATTGGGAAAATCTTTTTTGTATGTCTACGTGGGAAGGTTTCTAATTTCTATGGATACCTTAGAAAAATCGTATTGACCCAATGATTCTAAGATAAAAAGGGAAGGATGAGAAATGTTTGTGTTTATTTCAATAGAATTTAGTTTCTTTTGACAACATAATTCTGAAACTATAGGTTGGAAAACCAATTACCTGCTGTCCACCGAATTAATCACTTTGTCCCATCCTCTAACGACTCATTACAATATGGTCCTGTACAATGTTGTACATCCTCAAAGTCAAAAATAGAGTTTCGACGAATACAGCAATAAAATAATTGTGATCGAGTTTATGAAACTCCAACACCATGATAACATATAATCATATACAGGAACTATTCCAGGCTTTAGGGGAGGCTATTAAAGATAGGATTTTAGGCTCCAAATCATTTAGTGCCTCATTTTTTAGAATATTATTAATTATATTTATTTTTTAGAATTGTTTTATAATGATATCATTGAAAAATAATGAAAAAAGCTATACTAATTACTGTAAACATTTTGACATGCAAAGTATGTAGAATTTTAGTTATATAATAAAATTATTCGTATCGAAATTATTAAAATATTTTAATAAAACTTTTTTTATCGAAATTCAATTATTAGAAGGCTCCGAATTTAAATTTCGCTTGAGGCCTCAACAGTCAACACCTATTGAGCCAGCTCTGTATTTCATTTCCATAAATCCCAATTCCACAATTTCCAACATGCGAGTCACGAAAGTAAAATCCTAATTGGGGGTGTTCTTCTAGTTTCTTTCTTTTTTATTTTCTTGTTCATTTTTTCTTGACTAAATTGTATAAATGGTCCCCTACATTTGTCCGAATTTAAATTTTGATCCCTTATATCAACATTTATATGGATTGAGCCTTTACATTTTATTTTGAAACTTTTTTTTGTCTCTTTTCACGGTTCCGTCACCATTTCCGTCTTGATGACCGTGACTCTATCGGAATGACACATATAAGATCAAAATAACAAATATTTTTATAATAAAATAGAATAAAATATTAAAAATTATTATTTTATAATAAAATTAAATAATTTAAAAATAAAAATAAATAAATTAAAATGATTTCAAATTTCAAATTTTTTTCACTTCCCACCTTTGTGGGTCCCACATGCTAGTCAATTTCCCCCCCTTTTTTTGTTACAGTAAAAAAAATCAAAATTAAAAAGTAAATTTACCTTCACCCGTCTTTTTTTTGTTTTTTAATTTTGACGGATGAAGGTAAGTTTGTTTTTTAATTTTGATTTTTTTTTACTGTAGCAAAAAATGGGTGGAAATTGACTGGCATGTGGGACCCACAAAGGTGGGAAGTGAAAAAAAAAATTTTGAAATTTGAAATTTGAAATCATTTTAATTTTTTTATTTTTAAATTATTTAATTTTTATTATAAAATAATAATTTTTAATATTTTATTCTATTTTATTATAAAAACATTTGTTATTTTGATCTTATATGTGTCATTCCAAAAATACCCCTGACTTGGTAGGGTCAACGGTGATCAAGACGAAAATTGTGACGGAATAGTGAAAAGAGACTAAAAAAGTTTGAAAATGAAAAGGCTCAATCCATATACATGTTGATGTAGGGGACCAAAATTTAAATTCGGACAAATGTAGGAGACCATTTATACAGTTTAGTATTTTTCCTTTTGTATTCTACTACTAGCTAATAGGTTGGACTCAACGAATTGACTAATTTTTTGGACAAGTCTGTTTAAAAATTGCATGGCCCGCGAACAAGTTGCCATGCATGCACGATGCTCCAACAGTCCAACGTGGGAATCCACGAACAAACAAGTGCCTCTCTCCTAATTCAGAGCTTAGTCTCCATCAGATTGAAATTAATATTAACACTACAATATTAATAGTCGACATATAAACTTACTCAATTGTTTTTTTTTTTCTTTTTTTTTGGAAAAAACTTACTAAATTGTTATTTTCGCAGAGATCTCCGGGTTATTTGCTGCTCATCTAGCTTGAATGTATAAGTGCACTCCAGCGAAACGTCGTCCCCACTTGATAAGGACACTCACTGATCCATTTACCAATTTACAAATAATTTCCAGGAATGTCAAATTGAAATATACTAGTACCACCTCAGTATATACTAATGTACTTCATTGTTCGATAAGCATATCATCATATGGGGATCGATTTACATTAGTTTGCTGGAAACCCACATGTTTGTATCTCCCAATAATTAGATTTTGATTAAGATGATGAGGATGATCAAGTTGCAAGCTGTTTTCATTGATTGATGAAATTTGATGCCCCCAACAAATTTGAGAGAGCCATTGGCTTATACAAGGAACTAGCTGGTACTAACGAATTATTAGGGGAAACGTAATAATTATCCTATCAACCTTTAAAATGCGTAATAAGAATGCTCCATCCGACATTGTTTATGATGCACAAAATTAAACTGTTTACATCGGAAAAATGATTATTCTAAAGGAATTAATTGATGATATCACCAAAGAAAAAAAGGTTCAGGAAGCTTATGTAGGTGATATCCTAGTGAAGTTACTATCTGTTACCGCGTCTAATGGGATACTGAGCTGATCAAGATTGACTTCTGGCTTCTGAGTTCGTTCATGTGGAGAAAGCCATTTTCAAATGTTAATTGTGACTTTGATGAGTAGAAAGTAGAAACAATTCTATTGTCATACTCTCTCTGTCCCAAAATTATTTAATTATAGGACGGAGGGAGTAGAAGGTTACTGATACTAGTAGCCCTATAGCAACTGTAAAAGAGAAATTAGTGAGTGAATAGCAAGAGAGTAGTGATTGGATCATCAGATGAGAATTACGTTTCTCGATCAATAGATAGAAAATCTGCCTCTTGATGACTTAGATAAGTCGATCAGTCAAGATTCAACGCTCATGGTTCCGATGATCATGGAAGTTTAAAGCTGTTGGTGAACACTGAACAGTGTCCATTGTCCAGGCAAACCTTAATGGAAAGTAAAAAGCAGAGAAAGCAAAGATACAACAACATAGGGGTTTATAATTGACAATGAGCTTCGAGTGATGAAAATTTGTCGAGTATCAATCACTCAACTTTTTGTGGCCTGTAGTCATTGTTTACTCGCCGAGGAATGAAATACGACTTGTCAAAAAATGCTAGTGCTGGAGTTTCAAATCATCCAACAAAGATGGCAATGATTAAGGTACATAATCGAACGACTATCGACTTTTCAGACAAAATCTCCAATTTGGTACAATGTAGGGACCATAAAATATGATCTTGTTCCAACTAAAAGACCTCTGCCCGGTAGCTGATGAGCACATGATAAACTGCCACATGCAAGTGAAGAAAAAAGAATTCTATCATCATAATTTCCTTTAATTGCTCCAGGCCAAACACATCATGCAAATATGTGGACAAAGCGCTATCCCAAAAAAATATTAATGGCAAAGAATTCGTCAACTTAAACATGAAATTAATCTTAAAGTCAATATAATTAATGCAAGCTAGATATGTGACAAAATCACAGCTATCAAAACTTAACTAAGTTGCTCCACAGCATCACCCTTCAACTCATTTTCTGTATAAAGGTCCTCTTGAACTGGAACATCTTTCAACTGCTGTGACGAAATAACCTCTGAGATCGCCTTCTTGGCGGCCAATACTTGGTCATCATCATCCACAGTTTTACTCTTTCCTGCATCAGTTTCACCTGGTCCTTCAGTTGACTCATCTTCTTGCTTCGGGGGCGGGACAAAGAATGGTATCTTTCCTCTTTGCCAATCATGAAGAACCATCTTAGCAGCCGTCATCAAATCCGGTTCACCCCCCTGGAAATCAAGTATTCCATAATTCAATCACGTAATCAAGAATTGACTACTTGCTAATCCTGACATTCAAGAGTTTACAATATAACCTATAATTAAACCACACCATCCACCCATCACGAATAATATACTACCTGTTGGTGGTTTAATCTCCCAGAGTAAGTTACATCAGCAAATGCAAGAAACAGAATTTTTCCAACTCAACATACCAAACCTAAAGCAAAGCACTTACCCTTAGAAGTTTGCCGGTGGCTTTGCATAGCTGAACAAGGAAGTCATTATCGTCTTCCCTGAGGACAAAGGAAAAAAGAGATTACAGTTAGAAGAGATATTATAGCCAATATCCACCATGCATCGAACCTTGAGGACATGTTCAGGTATAAAAAATTATACTTAATCAAGGAATTCCAAGTTTCAAAGTTTCAAAGTGGGAATGCGATCCAGACTACCTAAACCATCCCCCCTAGCACCTATCTAATATGTCCGCACCTACTGTTTCAAGGTTGTATCTTCCTCAAAAGACTGAAAATTAATTACACTGCAGTGGTTTACAGATCATTTTCAATATTCATTATATTCAAAATAGAAAATCTTACTGGTCTCTGTTCAGAGTGAAATAGATGAACAAAGAAAGTCAGGCATATAGTACTTTCAACCCCAAATTAAAAAAACATTCTGGAAAAACCCAAGCAGAACATTAACCCAGCACAATAAGCACAACATGTCACTCATTGAATTTGACAAAAGAACACTAGATAGAGGCTAATTATCAGTTTAGCGAGTACCAATCTTTTATTTTGTACGCTCTCTGAAGGTGCTCCTTCTTTACACGTTTCAAAACTTCACCTATGTGCTCAGCAGCATCCTGCAAATTTGTCACCCGAACCTGGAAACAAGGCAAAGTGATCACTAGATTGAACACTTCTGGCCTTAAAAGTACTTCAAAAAGAAAAGCATTAAGCTAACAGGTAGCACAAGTTGTCAATTGCTACCTCCATATTTCAATTTTTCTTAAAAAAAAAAGAACAAGCCCAAAGGGCAAGACTTGGCAACAATTTTTGATATGCTATAGAATTGCTAACATAAGCCTCACAGTGATGAAACCCACAACGATCGATTCCTAAAATGTAAGGCAATATAATACATACCACGCCCTTCAATACAATATCAGTTTCAGAATCGTTATTATTCTGATAAACAACTCCTGGGCAATCAACTAAGAAGATCCTCTTTGTTAAGGTTATGTACTGCCATACTTTGGTCTCTCCAGGAATAGGAGCAACCTTGCAAACCTATAGCAATGTATCAAAGAATCACCAATCAGTTATAGATCAAGACAGCAACAGCGTGCATCTCTTTGAACAAAAGAGCCATGGCATATGCAAATAGTTTCAAATAGAAAATTGTGTCTCTTCAAGCAAACCGTGCAATAAGTAAATAGTTTCAAATAGAAAATTACATTCTTAGTACGCAGAGTGTTGATAACTGATGACTTCCCAACATTGGGGTAACCAACAAAACCCACAGATATGGCTTGCTTGTCGCTCTTCAAACGTGAAAATTGTCTTAATACTGACAGGAGAGAACCCTAAAACCAAAAGGGGTAAGTAAGTTTCAGCTAAATCACAGCAGACTCAACTCAAAGAGAAATTTCTTCTCTCCCTTTTATCATTGCAACATGTGCTTCGGTGGCACAAATTGAGGTTCCAGGGAACAGTGATTACCTTTCCAAAGGACTTGTTGATGCTAGCATGGAATGCCAAAGATGGATATTCTTTTGATAGTACTCTAAGCCACCCTTTCGTTACCCAGGCAGGAACCAAATCACACTAAAAACAAAAATAGGGATTTAGGGCCACTTTTTGTTCCAACAAAGAAACAAGCAATTTACAGCAACATCTAGCTTAAATTTCAAAACCAAAGGGAAAAAAACCTTGTTTAGCAATAGAATCAGATGTTTATGCGTGCAGTGTTCTTTCAAGTGCTTCTCCAGATGATAACATCTGGTACCAAGTGGATCTCGAGCATCTAAAACCTACAACCAACAATTGGTGTAGTAAGTCCTAGACTCTCATAACATTAGAATTATTGAGGAATTATATTCACGGAGATCCCAACCTGAATAACAACATCTGAAGAATCTATAACTTTGTAGAGTTCACCCCATATTCTTTTACTTTGACCTTTCTCAAACATAGTATGTCGAACTAGGTCCCTGAATCCATCTTCATTCTCTTCAACAGAAGAGCTGGCACCACGTTTTTCTTCAAAAGCACCTGTCCAATTGAATATGCAAAAATCAACTCCACCGCTATCTACTGTTGCGCAAAATAACCCCTAAAGCCTGGTAAAAGAAAAACAGAAACATGGAAAGGACAGTAAGAATGAACCAGATTGTACCCTGAGAACCATCAGCTCTCTTTGCTAGTGACTCGTAATTTGATGCAAGAAGCTTGGGTCGTTTCCTCTTTCCCTTGGGACCAAATGCATCAGCAAAAGACTCTGTGTCCAGGAGATGAACTCTGGATTGCTTTACAAATAAAATCAAAAAACAAAAGAAAGAAAATACATAATTAGCAGAGGGAAATAATAAATATGAAACTTGAAATATAAACAGTAGGCATTTCCTCCTAATATTTTCTCACAATTCACTGCAACAACACCAAATTCTCCGTCCCACTATGTCATTTAAAGCCAAATTAATTCAGTGATCTCACCAAAGAACTAGATATTATATATATAATACCTTCGGACGGTACTTAGCAAGTTCAAATCGAACTCGATGGCTGAAGGTTTTTATGATATTTGTTTGAAGGAATAAAAAGGCAATTATTCTTAGAACAAACTAAATAATTTCCTAAATCAAATTTGTCCAGACATTCCAACAATTAACAAAAGCTAAAAGCTTCCCTACCTTCTGTCGATCGTTTAAGAGCGACAAGGGCAGCTTCCTTTCCTTCAACAGAACAGTATAATTACTGGAAAGCCGACTCTGCAGCTCCTCCCGGAAAAATTCGAGCTGTTTTTGCCCCACAACCCTAGTATTCCCTAACAAATTCATTTCTCACTGATTCAATACCCAATTAATGATGAAACGCAACAAAATTTAAGCAAGGCCAACCGAAATGATAACTTTCACATTAATATCAAAGTTAATTTCAACATACCGAACCAATTGCGATCAGGCCGAATTCTAGTAGACGGCAGCTCTGAGGACTGAAAATCGTGCTTAAGAATCTTGCCCTTCCTATCGCGCTTGGGCCTGCTTTTATACATCTTGAGCCGGTTAACGGTGGCAGAGCTGCGGCCGCCGCTGGTCTTGGCAGTGCTGCCATTCCGGTTCACATCCAGGGAATGCTTCGGCTTTCCCGATACATTCACAGACCTCTCCTTCTTCTTCGCCATTGCGACTTAATTAGGGAACCAATGAAAATTCGGAGAACTTCCGCAGCCCTTATAAATGATCTTATTATATCAGACGATCGTCCTATTGCGCAAATGGTACTACCCTCTGCACGGCGGAGTTGTCACCGCCCTAGGGTTTTGAAGAGGGGGATGAGTAGTAGTGATTCGTTCAATTTTGTTAGCGCATAGCAGTTCTTTTTTCCTTTCTTTTTTTCTTTTTTTTTGGAAGGTCCAAAACAGTTTTGGGCTTTGGGCCATCCAGCATTTAACCCAACTACGTATTTCATTTTTTTGGTTAAGAAATCTGTCATGCTTTCGATGATTTAGGTGTAATTTTATGATTATATAAATTTAAGGACTATGTTGTAATAGTTAATTCACTAGGGTTAGGGCCTGCTTGATAAACCTACTTAATGATTATTAGATTAAACACTTTCATTTTAGCTTACTAGGTGTTAGACCCGTCCGATAGACGGGGAAGACATACAAAAATAAATATTTTTATATAAATTTTGTATTTTTATAAAATATGTAATGACTTCATTGGAAAATATAAACACAAACACCAACAACATTTTATCAAATGAATACAATGATAATTTATTTAACGCATGGAGGATTGTTAAGAAATTCAAAATAGAGAATATTAAAAAATAAAAAAAAAGAACTTCGAATTGAATGATTATAATTCTATATATCATGTAAAATTTCTTTGTAGGCTACATTTGTAATCATGGAATTGGCATCATCATTTTCATCAATTATCAGGACCTTTGTTCATTGTCTTGAAGTGACTTATGTTTTTAGTGCTTTTATTTTATTTATTTTTAACATACGATGCATTCTCACATTATCTCTTTTTTTTTTTGCTAACCCATTTGTTCGTTTGATAGAGCTGTTTCTCGTTATCTATCTAATAATTTATTTTTACTTTAACTTACCCGTTGTAAAAAATATTTTATTTAAAATATGAGGGTGGGAGTATCTCTTCTTACAATCTGATGCAATAGCAGACACGCTAACTGAACTTAGATTCAAACTAATAAGGACAAGCTCTTGAAGATTGACAAAGTTTATAGCAATAGCAATCGAACCCTCATCTCCAATTCTATTTGACCTCCACCCATCAATGTGGAGTTTTCTCAAAAGCTTACAGTTCTTAGCTACGACCACCACGCTAGCGTTCGTGCAATCCAAAACCTTTTACTAAATCCAAAATCCCCAGCTTGGAAAATTTAGATATTGCGTAAACCCGATGTCGCTCAATTGCAGCCTCTCTAAGTGAATCTCCACCAAATTATATTCTCTTCCCTTTTAGCCATCGTCTCCAAAAGCCTATCCCAATCGACGGTGACCGGTGACCATGACCAAATTTCAGACGGTGAGATTGTCAACCTTTGCGCATGATAACAGCTCTGAATTAAAAGGAAAAAAATCAATTAGAATCGATAACAAAGAGATATATAAAGAGAACGACGACAGCAAAGTTTATCAATTTCATACATTCTTCATCATCGCAGGCACAACAAAGATGATAAATACCTTAAGATTCGGTTCCTGGTCAGCCAATCATCTCCGGCATCCCTAACAACTCTTCGACTGGCACTCCTCCGCCGTCCGACCAGCCATCTCCACCACCACACTCCTATTTTCCTCAAGCATCTCTCGCCACAGCATCATCATCCAGTACTCTCGCCTTCTTCTTCTTTCGTTCTCGCTGTTTGCCACTTCTGTATCGGTCGTAAACCCACCGGTGTTTTAAGAAAAATATGAAAAGTCGCCTCTCCGAGTCAATTGGGTGATTCAGATGGCTGTGCGGAAGAGAAAGCATATGTTTTAGGGATTTAGTTTATGAGAATCCGCTAGTTTCAGTTTTAAACGTGATTACTTTTGGATTTACATGAATTTGTTTTTTTGTTAAATGACATTTTAAATTCAGTGGTGATAAGGTTTATGCAGATCTTTCTAAAATTTGTTAGGATTTGGTACTCTCTCCGATCAATCTCTCTGTTAAGTTTTGGTTCATGAAAATAAGGGTTCGGTTTTTATTTTTTTAAAAAAAAATTATTTCAGTTGTTTTTTTTTATTATTATTATTTTGTTTTGTGCATTTTTAAGTCTTGGAAATTAAGAAAATAACACATAGGATTAAATCCTATGTGGCATGTACTCCATGCTTTTAGTTTTCTCTCTCTGATATTTGCCTTAGTATAGTATATAGAAGATTTAATAACAAAAAATAAATCTCTTAATAAATTAAGCGGTGCTGAACTGCAGTATAAAATATAAGCAATAAAAGTTAATTTATTGCTTATTCCCTAACTGCTTAATGCATTCAGCAATTCTAATTCAGTACTAAACATTTAAAATTAAACACTAATTTTTATCAAACATGTCCTTAGTCGCTTATATAAATAATGCTGTCTGCGTACTCTGAAGGTTTATCGATTAAATGAAATTGTTTTTATTACCCAGTTAATCACCATCATCGTCTCCATTTATCTTATGTAATTCCTTCTTTCTTTCTGCCCCGTTGCTTTTCATTGCCATCTGAACTCTGATTCTTGGTGCCGTTTTTCACATTTCGATCACCGCATTTTCTTTAATTTACTTTTTGGTCACAATTTGTGATAGAATTCTCCTCCCCGTAAATCCCACCCACATATAACACATGATTATAATCTGTATTTATAACCATTAAAAAATGGGAAAAAAATAAGAAAAAAATAAAGAATGGGTCCTTGGTCATGTAAGCTACCCATCTACTTAAGAATGTGTTACTTTTTATGTTTATTATATTTGTCGGCAGAAACTATTTTTGTGGGATGAAAAGTATTTTTTGTTTGAGTATTTATGCAAAATAATCAATTTCTTCATCTTGAAATGACACATTTTCAACAATAAACCTCCTATGACACTTTGACCATATTATTAACAATATTTAAGCTCAACAATTATATATTATTACTATTGTAAAACAGTAAATATTGTTGGTTGCTTTGTCATCAACTTTTTGTTGCCAGAGACAATTCCGTCATTTTGTATTAGTCTACACCTTTGAAGTCGATTTATATTTTAAATTTATAACAGGAAAATAAGTTCTTTCTCAAGTACTTCTTCCGATTTGTATCTTTATTTTATGCATTTTTTTTTTCAATAGAATGAACGGTTAAAAAGTATTGTCCTCTAAAAAATTTCTCTTCATTTTTATGTGAATATATCCCCAAAAAGCCCTCATTTTTTAAAAATATTTTTCGCTCCATATTTTGAATTTTTTGTTTAACTATAGTCTTCATTAGTCTTGATCACGTTAATAACATAAACAAAAAAAAAAAAACATAACCACACATTAATTTATATATTTTTATCATAATTATAATTCATAATAAAAAAAAAGCTCAACCTAATGTTTTTTGTAAATAATGACGCGAGGCTTTGAAATACCTAATATCCTACTATATTAGAAACAAAAACCTCCCTTTCAAACAATTCATATGATTGCCACGTGGCATATAGAAAGTACTAAATTGCCCTTTTGTCTAAACCATAACTAAATTACTAAATCTCCTACTATATCAGAAACAAAAACCTTCCTTTCAAACACCTCATATGATTGCCACGTGGCATATAGAAAGTACTAAATTGCCCTTTTATCTAAACCATAACTAAATTACTAAATTTCCCTTTGCACTTTACGTGACACGTTTTTTTTTTTAAAAAAAATTTTCTTTATGTTTCATTCATTTAGAGTGGTTTTTTAAGTTAAATTGATCAATTAGGTTTTTGTTATAAAGTGTCAATTTTGTTTTAAGCGTATACCCTGCGGATGAAGCTTATTACAAAGCTATTAAAAATCTCCAAAACTAAGTATTGATTTGGCACGACCGAACATCAATAAATCATCTTACTAATATTTAAATTTATTAGGATGTTTTTATATTTTATCTAGCATTTACTTCAATACATATATTCGATTAAGGCTATTTATATTTAATAAGTAACACTTATAAAATATTTCTATAACTTACATGGCGAAATACAATTTCTTTTTTTTTTGTGAAATACAATTATTTCTATGATCACACTTATAAAACATTTCTAAATCCTTCAAACATTTATAAAATATATCGCTCCAAATACAAAATTTTATTTTTTTCAAATATAACTATTTCTAAGATTTACAGATAGACTGGGCCAGAGTCGCGCGTTGTGCGACCAGACATCACTAGTATATATATATAGAGAGAGAGATCCGTAAATATAACAAAATCTAGATTATTTGTCCATTGCAAGGAAAAAAGGAAAGAAAATGATTCCTTCTAATTATAAAGACAATAGATTATGATGGATTTTCTTTTCGTTTGATTGCGGGGAAGCAATAATTTTTAGTGTTTACAAGAGGTAAATTATTTATTTGTTTATACTAAAATCATAAAACGTTCGAAACGAAAGTATATCATACCAAACTAATTTTCATTCTTCTTACAGTAATGCGCCTTTTATTGAGGAGAAAAATCCCCCACACTTACTATGTTCGAACTTGAATAATGTATTACGATTTGGTTAATTAACACCAAGAAAAATAAAACTCTTTTTTACGTACGAACTTTAATAGGTAACTACGATTTTGTTAATTAACAGTTTAATACTAAAAGAAATTAAAACTGTGTTTTAAGTACATCCCACCTGCAGGTTTACGTGTTCAATGAATGGACTCCAAGTCAACAAAATGAAAAGACCAGATCCAAGGCAGACAGGTCACTCAATTTGCTAGATGTATGCGTCCGGCCGAGTAGTACTAGTATATAAGGCAACAAATTTGTAGTAACATAAATTCTCTTCAATTCCCACACACACACACACACACACACACACAAGTAAAAAGAAAGAAAAAAACACGACTCCTCCTCCTCCTCCTCCTCCTGGTCCTATCCTATTTATTCTCTTCATTTTCAAAATTACCAAGAAACATAAACACAATCCAATTCTTCGTACTTAATTAGTTCCCGGAAAAACATGTCCTCGGGCCCAAATGGTCGGGACCTCCAGGCACCGCTGCTCAACCCCACGCCGCCGGCGCCGGCGTCTAAAGAATCACCCAAACGCTACCAGGAGAAGCTGTGCATCGATGACATGTTGAACAAGTATTGCGGGGAGTTCGGAATATGGCAATTGAGGCACTTCGTGCTGGCGAGCCTGGCGTGGGCCCTGGAGGCCTTTCACACCATGGTTATGATCTTCGCCGACCGGGAACCTCGGTGGCGGTGCTCGGTCGACGGAGGCGGCGGGGGGTGCTTCCCGGAAGCGAGGAGCGTGTGTGAGCTTCGGCCGGGGTCGTGGGAGTGGATGGGCGGGGCGGGAACTTCTACGGTGGCGGAATTTGGTTTGATTTGTGGAGAGAAATACAAGGTGGGTTTGGTTCAAGCCGTTTTTTTCGGAGGCTGCATGATTGGTGAGAGTCTTCCACTTTTTTTGCTTCCTTTGTTCTCACATTAATTATTACCCAATCATTTTTTTTATAAATCTTTTTCTATCTTTCATCACCAGTTAGTAACATGCCATTGTCACATGATGCATTTTAATTTTACACCATCACGATCAAAATGTGTTTTCATAAAATCAATTTACAACAGACACGATTCCTTCCTGAGATGAAGACACTAATCTACATTTGGTTATAAGTAACATATTATCAATGAGAGTAAAATGGGTGCGGGAGGAGAGAAAACGTGAGCTTAGTACAACCTGACAAATATGTCTTTATTTTCCAGAAGAGAACAAAGTTCGTTCACCACATTTCTAGGTTCTATTTGGAACAGAAAATATAAATTGCTATTTAAAGCCATGTCATAATTTAACATGTCGGGGAAGGAAAAATGTTGAACAAAGACTTGGTGTTAATCGTGATTAGGAAAAGATTATCAACTTGTGTGATTTACTTCAATTTTTTGAATAGATTATCCAGTTGTCTACATCTGATCTGTCTCTAGTATTTTTGAAATCCCGTAGGTTGTAGTCACAAAAAATGGTTTATTAGGAATACAGTGGTCCGTGACTTTTTAGCAATAGCACGCATCTCTGACCTCTTACCTTTTCAGCTTATCACAATGGAATCTATCTACAAAGAATATACCGTTAGCTTGATGAGTAATGATGATCGTGATTATGATGAGGGAGTTTTCTAAGTAAGGATTAAGACTGAATCATACACCATACATCAAATACATATGACATCAATTTTGGGACAAATTAAATGAAATACGCTCTCCGTCCAGAAATTATTATTTGATTTGGATTTTTTATTTTTAATACATATTGAATTAAAAATTAAAATCTTTTTATTTTTAATACATATTGAATTAAAAATAAAAATTTAAATTTGATTTTGAGACGCAGAAATTTACAATCAAAATCTTCGTTATCACATATGTAATTTACAATTATCTTATTATTGGTTTTGTTTTCGTTTTTTAGATTAATTAGCTTCATTTTATAGTCATATCTTATCACGTTGAGAATTACACGACGAAAGCTACACCCATATATCATCACATTGTCTCATTCATTAAAATTTCAAAGACGTCGATTCGTAAAATTTATTTTCTATGGCCAGGTTATTAAATATTTCAGACAGCTCTAGTTTTAGTGTCTATCCTTTTTGCCTTTTTGGAAAAATTTACATGCTTACTTTTTTGTCCATTATGACTTGGCCGCCAAAGAATCACGGATATACCTTAATTTGAAATATTGTGGCATTTAAAGTCTCTTGCTGCTGTCACATGGAGTCAAAATTGGTGTGCTCTGTATAACAGTTATGATCTGATGCAATGCAACAATTTGAGTCAAACTTTTCCTCATAAGAACTAAAGTCGAAGGACACCTGACTCTTCCTTCATAATGGAACTGAGTATGACAAAAAAATAGTTTAGTGATGAAATAGTTGACGAGTTTCGTATTAGGAGCATAAAAATGACAAAAAAATAAAAAATCTTCGTGACGATATATACGGCAGCAATGACATTTTGTGCTTCCGAATTCAAATAATTTCTCAAAAACTTATCAATTAGGTGTAAAGGGTGATTAGAAGATGATGGTTGATGACTTGATCGTTCACCTGCAGCCTCTCTACATGAAAATTGCTTTTGGCCTCCTTAAATTCTATTATTGGTTTTAGACCTTTATCCATCAGAAATTTTGTTAGATCAACTTCCTTTTAACAAAGCGGTGCAGAAAAAGGTTTTTTTTTTTTTTTATAAAAAATGTCTCATCTGAAAAATCTGAGCGTATTAAACCCTGCTGCGCCGGAAGCCGCAATGTCCTTTCTTTGGCTTCTAATTGATCTGGCCTTTCAGTACCATTTTTCTTGACTTTTTTCAGTTTTTGGAGAGAAGAGACTCTCTTTATAACAACCTGAGAATACTTAAAGCTCAAGTCTATCGCTATACTGACCATAAGAACTACAGGAGGATGTTCTCGAATAGTGTCTTTTGCCCCTCTGCTTAATTTTGTGTTTTCCTTTGCACGGACTGTTTTACAAGAATTCATTTCTGCTGGGGAAATCAATCTGTCACACTTCTCTATATATAGTAAATATCAGATAGAACATAAAGAAGTCATTCTTTTGATCAAACTATAGTAGTATTATCATGTCTTTTAACTTCTTTGCCGTGAAGCCAAAATCTTGGTATTTTCTTCTCCCAAATTTCGTATGGCTACCTTGTTTTTAACTTGGATTTATATTCACCGGCTGAAAGCGCCTGCCCTTTTAATTGTTATTTGTAATGCACCAGAGTAATTTTTGTTTCGAAAACATATGTCAAACGTGCAAGTATTTGAACTAACTTTAATGTTAATTTGCTCCTTCTAGTTAAAACCGGAGGGAGTATGTTCCAAACAACATACGACAAACAAGAATTCTGAAGCTCGACAACTAAATCAAAACTTTAAACAAATATTAGCCTTATTAATTTACAATTTGGGTGCTTCCTTTTAAAGTATATATCATCAATAATTTTATCTGAGCTAACATTAATTTACATGAAATGCCTGTTGGTGTGCAGGGGCTGGAGTATTTGGCCATTTATCAGACTCCAAATTAGGAAGAAAAGGCTCATTAACTGTTGTTTGCATCTTAAACGCCGTATTTGGATGCCTGACAGCATTCTCGCCAGACTACTGGACTTACCTTCTCCTCCGTTTCCTCACCGGTTTCAGCACCGGTGGAGTCGGCCTTTGCTCCTTCGTCTTGGCAACTGAACCGGTTGGTCCGTCAAAACGAGGAGTCGCCGGAATGTCAACATTCTATTTCTTCTCAGGTGGGATCGCCATTCTCTCCGGTATAGCCTACATTTTCCCAAACTCCTGGCGAGACCTCTACATTGCTTCCTCCGTTCCTTCCATCCTATTTCTTTTAGTCCTACTCCCTTTTGTTTCCGAATCCCCTCGTTGGTGCCTTATCAGAGGCCAACTGAACAGAGCCATGAAAATCATGCGGGACATTGCTAAATTAAACGGGAAATTCCTCCCCGAAAATGCCATCCTGGCTCTTGATGAAGACATCGAGAATCATAATCATCCGAGTAAAATTGAGACTAGTGACAGCAAGATAGATACAGAATCGAATGAAGAAATAAAGGGTTCTTTGATAGATGTCCTGAAATCCCCTGTTACCAGAACTCGGTTATTTTTGGCTGTGGTGATTAATTTCTTATGCTCCATAGTTTACTATGGGTTAAGCCTAAATGTGGTCAACCTTGGAACCAATCTTTACCTGAACGTGCTTCTGAACTCAGTGGCGGAACTGCCAGCTTATTTCTTAACGGCGGTTTTGTTAGATAAATTCGGGCGGAAACCATTAGCAATTGGAACGCAATGGTTTAGTGGCCTATTCTGCGTGGCGGGTTGCCTTTTGAAATGGGCGGGAAAGTGGAAGTTGGTACAAATGGTTTGTGGGATTTTGGGCATATTTGGGATGGCTGGGACATACAATCTGCTGTTTATCTACACGGTTGAGTTGTTCCCGACGGTGGTTAGGAACGCGGCGCTTGGTTGCGCGACTCAGGCGGCGCAAATGGGTGCGATATTGGCACCTTTCGTGGTGGTTTTGGGTGGCGGGTTGCCTTTTGCGGTGTTTGGGGCGTGTGGGATTTTGGGCGGACTCTTATCGTTTTGCTTGCCGGAGACTTTAAATAAGCCTCTTTATGATACAATGGCGGGAATGGAAGATGGAGAACGAGAGTGGACGGTTGAATGATTTTGCCAATTCTTGGAGAAAAATGCAAATGTAACAATGTCGTCCCCCTTTCTCTTGTAACCCTTCTTGTTTAGTTAATTTTAGCCTTTCTTTTTCGTTGTTTCTTTTAAGCACCATGGGAGATGTGTTCCGGATCTAAACACACATGTTTTACATGTACTTGTACAACGAGTTTAGTTTGTATTTACACCGCCATTACTTAAAGCCTCGCACAATTGACAATTGTTGGCTCTTCAGTTTCTTGTTCAATTTTCGTATGATTAACTTCATGAGACGATAGAAAAGTTCACTGAAGTATCGGAAAAAGTAATGTCGTATGGCTTGTCACTCAACATTTCAGATTTTACAGGACTAAAAAAGTTAAAGCATGCCCATGAATTATAGAATAAGGGAGACAACTTGAAATTAGGGGAAAAGTAGAGTTAATCCTTACATAGCTTTTTTTTTAAAAAAAAAAAAAAAATTTTAGAGAGTAAGGTTGATTTTAGTATTGAACTGCGAACTTGTTATGGATGAGGGGTTGAATTTTGGGATGAGGTGTGCAAGGAAACCTGAGTTAGGGATGTTCCATGTGAATTTTAGTTTTTTACTTGAAATCTCAATTCCTCCATGTGATTTGGAACAAGGTGTTGAAGAATTTTCCCTCTTTCCTCTGAACTGAAGACTTGATATTTGGAAAATATCACAAATTGTTGACTATGAAAATGACGTTTTATGCTTGAAGTCTTCCCGCGAAATCCAGTTCACAATGAAGGTCACTTGCTCGTTTACTGTATAGATTATCTTATCTTCAACTTATGATGAATCATTACGAAAAGGATTTTATGTCCTAATTAAATCTGTAATCGACGTGAACATGACGTGGAATTGTGGACTTCCTCTCGATTCCAACTAAACAATTCATGATTATAATAAATAAAATTTAAAGTAATAATTTCTTCTCTCTCTTTTTTTTTTGGTACAAGTAATAATTTCTTCAGTACTACTTGATGGGAAAGTGAATTATAATTGTTTCCTTTTTGTATATAATATCCTGTGGAATAGGCAGAAATTCTAAATTACTTGAGTGAAATCACAAATCTTGTAAAGTTTAAATTGAAAAATTGAAGTCATCCTTTAGTAAAAGCAAAATAAAATAATTGGCAACCCTTTACTAAGCCATTCCAATAGACTTGCCCTAGAATGACTGTTTTGTAACACTATAAGGCGTGTCATTATTTCATCTTTGATCGATTCATAGTCAAAGAGCTAGCATAAGAAACATGTTGTTGGTTTTTTTTTTTCCCCAAAGGGGAACAAACAGAGCTTAGCTCTTTTGGAGATGCACTAAAAATTCTTCTGCAGCAATGTTACATAACATAAAAAGCAGAAGAAGACAAGACACTTTTACATCAAAACAACATGTAAGGATACTACTAACAAACTCGATCTATACAACCTCCAACCCTCAGTCTTTCTTGTTTGTTTGAAGGTGGTAAATGATGTAGTAAAACTTCTCCAAAGTACGTACTGGTACTACCCACAAAGCAATCTACAAATGACAAATCTTCAGTCCTGACTTATTGAGACCAACACGTTGCTTGATTTCCTTTAAATTAACAACTCCACACATCATATATGTACAACGTCCGGAAGCTCCTCAGAACATGAACGGTGCGGGAGAAAATGTAGGCATCACCGCATGAATCGATATCGAATGTCTGAAATCACCAAACGTTAAACAAGTAAATAATCACTCATTCATTACATTAAACTACAAAAGATAAAATAAAAAAAAATCTACCCAGAATCGAATTCCACTCTATATATTTATTGATCATCATCCTAACGTGCAAGTAATTTTATATTATTAGAGTTACAGGTTGACATTTCTTCCCCAGAGAACTAATGGAATACTAATTGACATTTTCTTTTTAATACGGGAGGTCATTTAAAAAAACAAAGCAGAATATGGCGTGGAAAAGTATTCCCCAGTCATATATATTCAGAGATTTTATTGCCATTCTTAATTGAAGTTCAATAAAGAACTGGCAATTTGCCCATTTCGTTTTCACCATTTGAAAATAATTGGCCCCAATTTGCTCGAATGAAAAGTTTCATTATTATTACATTCAAAACGGAATTCAATTCAACCTGAAAACATACGCTAAATTGAATCTACCACAAGAGCGTGCCGTTCCATAAAATCAAAGGAAACACAAGAACAAGCACAAATTGAAACTCACCTCACATCTTCTCGAGAAGAATAAGAGGAAGAAGAAGAAGAACGAGTTCTAGGCGTTGACGTAATCTTCCTTTTGAGATTCCGATCCGACGGTGATGAAGGAGATGTTTTCACGACGGCGGCATCATCCTTACGAGGAGGATGATCCTTGTTCGTCCGCTCACTCAACACGTTCTCTTCGCAAATCGAAGTCAATGAAGGCCGCCAATCAACGGCGGAGCCGCCACCGTTAGCTCCTCCCGACCTCCATCTCTTCCTCCCTTTAGGGCGGCCGGCTCTCGGGGTCGGCGAAGGTGGGGCGGAACCCGGCACCAATAAACTCGCCTCTTCCTTGACCATGGAATTCCCCGAACACGAGCCGCAGCACGCGACCATTTCTAGAAGGAATTTCATATTCACACACACACACAGAGAGGAAATAATCACGTCGAATGATTCTACTATTTACTGTTAGTACTGAAATCAGATCACTAGAATTAAGGATTCAAGTGACGATCGACGAATCAGGTATGGAAAAAGGAAAAGGAAAATCTAGGTGAGTGTGTGAATAAAGTGTTCCATGGATCCGTTTCTGATTGTCGGAATCGAATTGAATCATTGCCATAGGTGTTTTCTTTTTGTCATTTTGTTCCTACTGTGTGTGTGTGTGTATGTGTGTGTGTGAGATATGCATGAAGAAGAAGACGAAGAAGGAGGTGGAAAGTGGGGGAAGATATAGAGGGAAGATATGGGCGAGTGGTTAATGGCGTTACATCACACACATTAATGATTTGATTACTCATTACCCTTAAAAAAAATTAAAAATAAAAATATTCTGATTAATTGTCCTTATCACGAAATTGATTATACTAATCCATGTGGGAGCCACTTCATTTCCCGACATGAGTTTACGTTTTTGTCCTCCTTCCTCCCCTTTACTTATATGGTGGTCCCACTGCTCGGCGGCGGGAACTCCAGGCTGCCCACCACCTCCTCCCCCATCCTATTGACATTTGACTAAATTTACTAAAATGAGTTTTTTACCGAAAAAGTTATCAAAGTAAGAATCTGAACAAAAATAATTTGAAGAGAAAAAATGTCGACAAAAGTAGATGTCCTAGAATTGCTAAATTCGAGAGCAACAAAGAGTTGGATTTCGAAAATCCGAAAGAAAAATAACTCGGATTTAGCTAATTTGAAAGCCGTCCAACCTGAAATTAATTAAAATTAACTGAATGATCAATTAAAACTAATCAAGTTTCGGATTTGGTAAATCCGAATGGTTTCAATAAAAAATAATTTATATTTTTGCAAAAAAAAAAAATCTAAGTGTTTGAAAATGAAATTTGACTAGAAACGGATTAGCCAAATCCGAGACAATGTGTTACGGATTTGCGAAATCCGAGCTGTCGAACAAAACATTATTTTAAATTTCGAAAAAAAATTTCAAGTGTAAAAATAGATAGGAGGGGTCTCGGATTTGGCAAATCCGAAAGGTCTACAGAATCTGCAGAACTCTCGTATTTGCCAAATCCGAAAGGACTCCAAATGGTATTTTTCACATTTGTCAAATCCGAAACATACCAGAAACTTGAAAAAAAAAATGGTCTGGTTTTCACTTGTCCTAAGTCCTAACCCTGTTTAAACAGCACCAACAACCAATTCATGACGAATTAAATCAACAACAAAACGATCACATTTTCATAACAAAATAATATAAAATTCTCAACTAATAATCCAAATCATTCAAAAACCCTAAAAAAGCTAATCAACAATCATTTTTTCCCTCTCCTAGGAATAGTGGGCGGGTAAATTTAACCAGCGGGTTGCGCGGCCTGTCGGATTTGCGAACCCCTTGTTCCTGCTGCTCTGAACGGATTGTAAGAATTGGCTCCACGTTTAGGACTTACGATTCTCCTCCGAGAGTAATGGTGAGAGGTCATGTGGGGTGTAAGATACTCTTGAAGAACCAACATCGTCCTCTCTTTTCACATTGTCTCCTCGCATTTCCTTCCCTCCTCCCACATTCTCTGCTCCTGGGTTCTCTTGTTCGTGTTGGTCCGAAACTTCCGCGTGATCCTGTGATGGCTTGAACAGATTCATTCACTTTCTTCCCCCTCTAATTTTCTCTCTTGACCACGGCTTCATTGTTTCACCGCGCTGACCCTTCTTCGGGCGACGTGGTTCATAATTCAAAAGGATTGAGAATCCTTAATTTCTATCTCATCGTCCTTTCCGAGAGTTAAAGCAGTGTGTGTTACGTCCGCGAAATAGTCGAGCACCTTTTCAAGCTCGTCGTCTAGGTCATGGGCTTTACGACGTTTTTCTCGGAATGATATGGCCCTCATACAGACATTGTTCAACACTTCACCCTGGAAATCAAATGATGCGTTAACTAAAGAAGTATAATTCAAAATTTATATAAATAGAGTAAAATGCACCTCCATATATAGATTATTTGCAAATAAACACTTACATAGATTTTCACCCGGCTCGAGAAAGCCTCATATCCGGCTGATGTGTAGTGGCTCGGATCGCTTATCAATTTCACCGAAACTTTGTTGAACCACTCTTCGTACTTCTCATTAACTTGACTGGGCTCTCCTTCTTCCAAATCTTGGGGAATGTTTCGGTGTCTCCTATTCCAATGGGGGCGTACTTCTTTATGATGATCCACCCAATTTTTCAAAGTAAGGCCAGACATGTTGTGTGAGTGAGCAAAATGAATGTCTTCGATATTGGCAATCATAGGCCATCTCGGAATAACTTGAATGTAGGCAAACTGTCTCACGACCCTGTCAATTTCGTGGGGTTCTCGGATAGCCCAGTAGAACATCCACGTCCTTGCCATCCAAATGGCACTTCCCTGTTTACAACAATCAGAGAGAGTAGGGAGGAGATACTCGTAGGGTTGCAAATAAACTGTGAAAAAAATTGGGAATTAACGAAATAATTCACATAAGAATGGTGGAAAAAAAATAATAATAATAAAATAAGAGGTGATTCATGCTTACATCAGTGGCTTTTAAGGCGGTCAATTAATCTCTAGAACCCGGGAGACTAGACCTTGAGACGTCTTTGTAGGAATACGAGCAATTCCATCTTTCAATACAAAAAAATCAAAGTTATTATTTATCTAATAAAAATAATAATGATGTTAGAAATCTTTAAATTAAGAGTATAGGATATAAACTCACCGATAAGCTAAAAAAGATGTAGGATACTCTTCAAATTTCTTTAAAATTCTTTGGGGCATGATTCTCGGGATCCGCTCGAATGCCCAAACCTAAATCAATAACAACAACAATAAATAATAATACTTCACAATATAATAAATATTTTTCGAATTGAATTGCTACGTATTGAATATATAAATACCTGTAGAAGATACACACATCCGGTTACATCACGTTTCTCATGATTACTAGCCTCGCACAGGCTAGAATACAAATAAGCAAGGAGAGCCGATCCCCAATTAAGTTTTGCACAATGACTAAAATCCGCCAAATGGTTTAATAAATATAACCAACAATATTTTGGCTTCTGTCCGGAAACATAAAAGAACTCATAAACCACATAAGCATTAATTGGGCCCTTTGTTGATACACGAAACCCGGAGAACCTATAAAAACAACACTTCAAACCTTAATATTTGTTTGGCAAAAAAAGTAATTAATTCAAATTATTTTAAAAAATATAAATAAATTTGAATATTACCTTCAGGGAATACATGGCTCGCCGCTGCCTCTACAACCGAAATCTTAAGAGTATTTCCACTTATTCGACCATCGGCAGGAGTGAATCCCAACATCTCCTGGCAAATCGATTGCCATTGCGCTACACCATGGTTTGACACCACACCATAAACCATGTCCCTCTCGACCCGGAGATCAAATATGACTTCCACATCTTGCAACGTCATGGTTGCCTCACCGAATGGAAAGTAGAAAGTGTGTGTCTCATGTCTCCATTTGTTCCACCAATGCGGTGATGAGACAATTATCACACTTTTTGCAACCTATTTTCAATAACCTCTCGAACCCGGCGCTTGCCATGAGCGTTCGTACCTGTGGAGGGGTAAAATTACTATAGTAGCACTCCCAAAACTTTTGATCAAATCGACGATTTTTTAAAAGTTCGGTTTTGATTATTGAATCGGAGCCATAGTAGACTGCTAAACTCCGATGTTCAGCTTGAAGATACAACACTACCCCTCGTAGGGGACCGGGTTGAAGAAACCACTCATTATATTGTGGACTGGGAGGTGGACTGGGTGATACATCCATCAAATACTACACCACAACAAAAAAATAACTAAAAAATCACTTAAACAACGCTATATGTATACATAAACCAAAAAAAAAAAAACCAATTACATCATAAACTCAACAAACACAATTACAACACTATATATACTTAAACAACACAAAAAAAACACCATAAACAACACTATATATCCATAAACAACACAAAAAAATCACTTAAACAATGCTATATACATAAAAAAAAAATCAATTACATCCTAAACTCAACAAACACAATTACAACACTATACATACTTAAACAACACAAAAGAAAAAACTATAAACGACACTATATATACACATTATAAAAAAAAAAACCAATTAGGCCAAATTAGGGAAAAAAAATAAATTAGGGCAAAATTAGGGCTTTATATTAGGAGAAAAATTAAATAATTCAATCATTCAATTTACACTAGGGAGCAACAATTGAAAAAAAAAAAATTACAATAAAACTAGGGCAAAAAAAAAAGGGGCAAAAAAAATTACCTTATTAGGAGTCCCGGCGGAGGCAGCGGTGGAGAGGGAGAGCACAACAGCGGCGGTGCTAGAGAAGGAGGACCAGCGGTGGTGTTACAGCGAGGCGGCAGAGGGGAGGCGGCAGAGATGAGGGAACGCCGGCGGATGTCCAACGGGGGCGGAGGGAGTGGTGGAGGAGGTGGTGTCGCGGCGGAGATGGCAAAATTAGGGCTTTCGATTGGGGAAGAAAGAAAATGAATTGGGGGAAGAAGGTCAAGATTTTTTATACCCCCCTCCCGACACTCGGATTTGGCAAATCTGAGGCTTCCCCTTTAAAAACCATTCAGATTTGCCAAATCCGAGAGATATGCAGAAAATGAGAACTTTCAGATTACCGAAATCCGAAATACCATGTAATAGTGGCTTTCGGAGAACCTAAATCCGAGCCTTCTTGCAATCGAAAAATCAAAGAAACCGGGCAGACTCGGATTTGCCAAATCCGACTCGTGTAGAAAATGTTATGTTTAAGATTTGGCAAATCCGAGGGTTACCCAATTTTTAGAATGTTGACTTTAGTATTTTCAATTCCCAAAGACCTATAAACATCCAACAATTTCCAGCACACTGTACTCTATGATAGTACACAAATAGTTCAATACAAACATCAAACAAGATACGAATTTAACGATCAATCCAAGAGCTAACACTACATAATAAGGTGTTCCACAAAATACAACAACAAACTAATCACTTTGATGCTCTCATTCGTCCACCAAAGGTGTTCCATCTACTTGGGGATGCGAGTGAGGACACGAATTAGCATCGTGATCTACTCCGCATCTCGAACAAGCATTACTTGTTCGTCGAGCACGGTAATCCATTTGCATCTTGCGTCTCCTTCTTTGGTGTCAGCCCGGACCGCCATTTTGCACGAGCTTCTCATAATTAGGATAGAGGAATTCCAATCAACCATAGGCCATTGTCGCTCATCAGGCACCGGTGAAAAACCATTGTATTCAAATCGTTTGATCCATGTTTGGCGCCTCCAACACTTATGGTATAGGGAAACATGACGATCACCTTTTTTACGTGCGATGGAAAGTGCGTGCGTACACGACATATGGTACTCTTGCCATTTCTTGCACGAACACCTTTTGACATTATAGGTGACCGTATATACCGTCCCACCCCTCCCACTAGGCCGTGTCGGCGTTATCACCTCCCAACTATCATCATCGCCATCGAGCGGTTCAGCATCATAGGTGGCGGCTTTGTTGTTCTTCTTTTCGTAGACTATCCATAACTCAGGGGCATGGGCATATCACAACTCGTCGCCAATAATAATTCTTCTCGATAAAATTTCACGGTTTTCTGGAATGTAGCATCGATCATAGCTCTAATGGACAAAAACTGGATTCATTTTAGGGCATTGTTGTAACTCTTGGAAATGTTGGTGGTTGTGACTCCCCGACGACGACGTCTGGCTTTCAAACGAGTCCAATTACACCCCCTATATCACGAAGATACTCCATGCTTCAGGTTTTAATTCGCGGAGCTCTTGCCTCAGTCGCCTGAATTTTTCAAAATTAAGCGTCTTCTCCATATTTTTGCATAACCGCTTGATTCTCGCACTCCTATACTTCGACACTAGATTGCTCCGAAAGTGCCGGAGACAATACACGTGGGCCCCATCACCCAAATTGCTCCATTCTGGTATTTCTGATATTGCCCTCAAAAGTCCAGCGTTCTGGTCAGAAATCACACTAACTTTGTGTCGCCCACAACATGATACCTCAAATGTTTCATGAAAAATGTCCAACTTTCAATGGTCTCTTCATCCACCATGGCAAATGCAACCGGTAAAATGTGTTTATTTGCAGTATAAACTACAGCAACTAGCAACTTACCCTTGTATCCCACGCGTAGGTGTGTTCCATCAACATAAATCACCGGCGGACATTCAAGAAAAGTCACAGCCACTGGTCCAAATGACCAAAACACGTATTTAAAAGTCCTTCTTCCCATATTCCAACCTTCTTCTCCCTCTTTTCATTCCCATTCCACTACTGTTTCGAGATTAGTACTCTTAAGTGCTTCAATATACCTACACATCAAGTTTGCCCGAGTTAAATATATGCTAATACAAGTAAAAACTAAAACAAATTAATTGACATTTATCAAAATAGAAATTTACCTAGGAAGATCTTCAAAATTGGAGGACCAATGCCATAAACAGCCTCTATGGCTTTCCTCCTCCCGTTCCACGCCCTTTTGTAGGGGACATCAACTTTTACCAACTCCTTCACATCTTTTTGCACCGATTTTACCGTGTAATCCACGTTG